TAAATTGAATACCATGCAATGGGGTAAAATGTCTGGCTAAAGGCATTTGATTATACTAGTACACAATTGAATAATCTTCATTGTACTTTAAAGCTAAATAACTAAACTAAAATAAACATTCAGTACAAAAAGGACATCACAATTATCACTAAATATGTATTTACTAAGGGAAAATAAGACTTGATATTTTATTCTCATAGATTAATAACAAAACATAATAATATTCGAACCACATACACCCCATGCGGGAATCAAATTATAATATAGGTTGTTATTATTATCCTATGGTCCCAAAATTAATTATAAGATTACCACATATTGAGGAAACTTAGTAACTTAATAATAAATTGAGTAGATAAGTGACAAGTTGAAGTATATTGGGTGTGGTGTATAGCCAATGAGTGCGGCAGGGAGGTAACTTAACTAATTGCATCTAACAATCTTAACTATTTCAGTCTTAATACCCAGTCTGTCCATAGATTTGTCTACAGTGTAAGACAAAATTACGACATAAAAACATCAATTGTCAGCTTATCAAAAATTTATAAAAAAAGAGGCCATGATATTGGACCTGGGATTGACTTCTGTCTATACAAATGAATTTGTCGCAGAGAACCCAACGGGTAACCGGGGCTCCGGCTCGACGTGCAGAAGAAGGAACGGGGTGATTTTTAGTCAGTAAGAGTCTGACACTCCCTCCCGCCTCACCCAGGCGGGAGCATTCATTCGATGATTTTCCCCCCTTAAAAAAAAATACAAGTGGATTTGGTTTATTTTATACCAGGTGAGCGGGTTAGTGATTACAGTTTATACAGTACAGATTTATCGGAGAGCTTGGTTCTTTTGGCTCTTGCAACACACACTTTATAGCATATTTGGTTCTTCATGCAAAAAGTGTTAAAATTCTGTGTATAGGGACTGAATCTACCAATAAAGTTGTTGAGACTCTACGACAACATCAACAATGTTCAGGAAGACTGTTGTGACATTTTTCTATATACACAAGTATTATTTAAATAAAAAGACAAACTTCTTGATTCTCTTTTTAAAATAGAAATATAATTAAATGTATACTATGGAATTTGCTTCAGTGACTGAATGTGTATTTAACCTTTATGTAAATACTTTGAATCAAAATAATATATGATGTGTTATAGTGCATTGTTATCATTTGTGCATTCTCCTTATACAAATAAGCAGTAGGAAACAATAAAAAAATTTGTTTGTTTATTTGTCCTATTGATTATTGCTATCAGTAACATGATTTTATCAAACACTTATTGGTTATTTTGTCCTATTAATGTTTATTATGTGAATCTACTTCCCAATCGTTAGGACATTATCTATTTTGGTTTTCTTTTATTGTGCATCTACGTACCACCCATTCCCAGATTCTTTTCAAAAATTCTATCCAAAGGTTGTCTGGAATAAATAGCCGCATGTAATAAGACTCAAATTAATATTGCAATGTTTACATTTTTCTCTGTGTGCAATTTAGTATAAATAAATAAGACATTAGTTATAAAAAGTGATATTACTAAACTTTTAAATATTTTTATAACATTACTGTATCAAAGAACCTAGTATTATTACCATAAAGAACAAATGAATACACATGTATTTACAATCAAATTGTAGTTTTTGTTAAGCTGTTGGTGCAGTAACATAGACAAACATTGTTATTCCCATTTAGATCTATGCGAGTGTTGAAATAACTTGTGATGCAACACTAACCGTTACTGTTGACATAGAATGTGTAAATTAAACTACAAGTACCTTGTATCTATCTCTCCACATATATAGAATTGATATTCATATTTGTGTAACATGCTTTGTGAGCTCTGACATCATAGCTGCGTGAAGACAAAACATTTACTACCAACACATATCTGGACAATTAAGTTGAGTCACCACAACTTTACAGGGAACATCATAAATAGCCACAAGACCTTAGTTTTGTTCACAAATACTATAATTCTAATCATTAAGCACTAAAAGCGCATGCATCGACGTGCACTCGCGACAATCATGTACCTACAAGGAATAAGGACAGGAAGTATATAGTGGTGTACAAAGCCTCGATACCAAACCACTGCACAACAAACTAATGGCTTATACAACGTCACCTTCTCTTCAGACACGATGCTCTCGTCGTTCATAGCGTAATTCCCATCGTCAACCTCCCCATTTTCTCCATTACTGCGACGGGTTTTCACCATTGCAGTAGTTGTGTCGTAACGTTACAGACAAGACCCAAAATCCGTTATGTAACAGCCCTTCGACGTTACAAACACACGCGACTGATAAATCATTAACAACACAAACGTTTTACACTCAAAATAGAAAACTAGTACGACAAAGGACGAGCGTTATCACCCGCACATGTCGTTACACAGCGCCATGTTAAATGTACAATGTACTCCTGCTCCCAGTGACTTTTACAATAGTTAACTCACCAATCAAACGCACCGTTTTCTCTTATACACTTTTTATCTAATAGTAAACTATGTCTGTAAGGAAAACTATGAAAAATCAATGAATTAAACTGATACGAAACGAAATCCACAACTCACGATGTTTTTATTGACAACTGTCAAAAATTCCCGCAAATTTGTCATTTTTCAAATTGTACAGAACAACCGTAATTTTAAGCATCTCGATTGTCTATACTCTTTTAACTTACAGATAAACCCGTAAAAAAAATAAGGAATCTAAACTTATAGTAACATGCTTTAAATATTGCATTCTATAACCTGGATTCACAAATACACAGGCGGCCATTCCGAATATTTCTTCCACAGACTTAAAATTCCAGTATTGTTAGAAGTTTTAAAATTATTATCCTATATCCAAATTATTATCCTACTCCATTTCTTTAAACCTAATCTAATTTTTTATTATTTTTTCAAAAGTATTTTTTTTTTACTTGTTTTATTTTGCGCATTTTGGTGATTTTTTTTATTGACACTTTGCAATAGTATTGAATATTCGAACATGAAGAGAAATGGTTTCATCGGCATTTGATGACTGTCATAATAGATAAATAAAATTATGAAAAAGATAATAGACAGTAAATATTTTTCAAAACAGTAAAATAATCGTTTACACATCTATCATATCCAAATGTCTTGTGTACAACACTAAACTAAATGTCAAAAACCAAAATCAAGCAAAAAACGTAGATTTCAGTCAGATGTTTGGACTTGTAATATTTTAAATACATTCCTTTAAATGTACTGAATTGTTACAATAAACCTAGGACATGGTGTTTAACTGAATATTCATGTGTAGTAAGATATAAACGTCAATTAAAATGTAGGTTTCTATGCACAAACAAGTGTACTTTATTATCAACTTTTTTATCGAATAAATTGAAAAATACTTTTGTTTATGTGTCTTCTAGCGGAAAGTTTTAATTAATATACTATTTATATTTCAAAATTGCGAATTAACACAAATTATTTTGATTACAGCTTAAAAATGGCTGAAAATGTAGATCAAGTTTCTCCCTTGGCTGAACCAAAAGACTTGTTAAATGACGATACGATCAAAAGACAAGGCGACATTGATTTGGATGAAGAAATATCAGCGAGAATGACTGCCTCCTATAGTGAAATATCTTTTCACTCTGACCAAGGACAACCAGAGGAACAGGAAAGAGTTGCAGGCCCATCTAGACCTTATGACTTGCCATCAGAAAATAGGAAACAAGAAAAGCTACCTTTAGACATAGATGGACACGTCAGATATGAAGGAGATATGACACATTATGTTGCAGATGATTTAGAATTTAAAATAAAACTTTCAAGTCCTATAGCGAAAAGAGGTGAAACCCCAGTGTTTGGGAGTTCCAGTGCGTCTCGTTCTAGTACACCTTCGGGAAAATTGTATAAGCAAATATTAGCTCCTCAGATTGGTCAAATAGACATAACAGTATTACATGACCTGGAGTATGAAGCACAGAGAATTGCACAATCTGTAGACAATTTAATTGAAAACCTGTCTAGTATACTGCACTCTAATTCTTCATTGACTGCAGAAAACATGGAGGTTTATAAAGATGCTGTTGGTAAAACTTGTGATGCAATGGATAATAATATAAAAAGCATGTACACCATTTTAGCTAAAGGTGAGGAGGTGTCACAAGCTATGATTCCCGTACAGGCGCAGGCAGCCAGAATAGCAGAAATAAAGAGACTTCTACAACTGTTTGAGGATAAGTTCTAGTTGTAAAACAGTTACCTAATGTGTATTATAATTATTAAGTATTAAAAATAATATAAGAAATATATCAGAAAATAATCATTTCATTTAAAGTATACCTACTTCATTAAGTCCTATACTCATTAGTATAATGAGACATTAAAATTCTTGTTGACATTGATAAATAAGATTTTGTTAGAAATAAAGGGTATCATATTAGGGTTGATATCTTCTGTGGTATTGCCCCTATTTATTTATTATTGGGGCAGTTATTACTTTACTCTGATTTTCCAATCTTCCAATTACCCATAACGAAGACTTTCCTACGCTGATGGAAACTTAAGTGTCGATTGGCTGAAATCCTGCCATGTATTCTTGTACTTAATATAAATATCTGGTATTTGCGTCACAAAAAATATGATTCCTATTTGGGTTTTATAAATAAAAAACAAGAAAATTTTATAGTGATGCTAATAGGAAGATATAATAAAACTAATTTTTAAATATTATTTTGGCCACGCCCGATTTATCATTGTACTAACTATTTACTGAACGAAGTATTTAATGTCATCATGTTTATAGTTGCCAACGTCCTTGGTTGCCAAAAATGATAAATTCTCAATTAATTTCCACAAAATTATGCTTGATTGCTATGGTGTAGAATCTATTGGTTACAAGCAAAATTTATTTAATATTAAATACTGAGATTTGTTCACATAGCCCTTAAAACCATATAAATTCTTTTTTTACTTACAACCCTAACTTAACGTCATGTTATCGTAAGTTTGACATAAGTTGTTGTCATTGACATTCATCATTCCGTCATATCGCATCGACCGAGGTGGTTGTAAAATAAAAAGATAAATATTATGTGTATTAAATCTATAAAAATGTAAATTGAATTACTAACATGAATGTTAATATCTTTATAAGATTAGATGTGCAGTTGTCGGTCTCTTGACCATTTAACATTCAGCTGCTATACAGAGAAAACGTATAAATGGGTGACGTTCTAAGCTTATTTTCTGTGATAATAATGAAATTTAAATCTAAGTTCAATGAAAGTAAGATTTATTTTCACTATGATCTTCCGTGGGAGAAGCTGAAGACGGTGAAGTGGATGAATGAGAAGGCCACCGCGAACAGAGCTTACGTTCCTACGACCGTGAGTACCATTTATATATCATTTTCGAAATTAAAATTCACTTAAACATTCATGAAACTTTACGAGCGTTATTGTTTATAGTTCAAAAGATAAGCACATAAGCAAAGCATTAAAGCGGATACAGTGAATAAAATACCGCTACATTTTTAAATAAATTCTGTTTTAAAATTATCAAAACAAACTGCGATTTTTTCTTTATTCGCGTGGAGTTAAATTAAATCGTGTTGTTGTATTGTTTGATAATTAATATTATCATGATTGGAGGCCATGAAAAACAGCAATAGAATAATATTATTATAAATTATATTTTGTAAAGCCTGGATGTTATCATTAAAAATATAAATAGTCAAATATGAATAAAACATACTTTATTAGGTAGTAGTACTTAATTAAAATTTCGCTGTTTTAGCTAACAGTGTTTAAGACCAATGCAAAGCAAGATAAAATAATCTGACTGTGTTTATCCTAGTAGTAAATAGTATATTTCAAGTTAAGCCTAATAGATTTCCTTAACTTTTATAAATGTATTGTGTGGTAAAAATGTTTATTATTATTATCATACTAATACAAAGAGACTATTAAAATTTAATGCATCATTTTAATGAATTCACTTGTATGGATTGATTTTTAACCAAAATTTTCAACCCTTTGCAGCTTCAGAGAAAAAAGAATAGAAACTTAACCATTATGATAATTACCAAAGAGGTTTAAATTATAGTAATAGAAGGCTTCATAAAAAAAAAGCACAACCACTATCAATTCTTCCAAAGAGGTCAAATTATTAAAGAATAATGTACAGTTCACAAGTATTATTGTGCATGATAAATCACTTTACTCCAACAATAGCTATTTCACAATATCTATGTTGCCACACTGTTATTAATGAACTCTATTGATAAGGGCCCAATTATCATCCAACTTTACAAATGCTTTTGATGGATAGTAGACTACCAATAAAATATTCATTTCCTAAACTTTATTTAGACATGGATACCAGTCAATATGATAATTGTGGTTTTACAAGTATTTTTTAAATGTGGAACTTATAGAAAAGTGTTTCTATGTAAACTTGTTTTGTTTTTATTGCTACAAACAATAATTAATTAAGTACATGCCTATCTCATTATGTGGTCTAAATACTATTTCACTTATTATATATTGAGAAAATGCTTGAATCCAATAAGATTACTCACAGAATTTAATACCAATATGACTGATGTTGAATTGGGTAAAATGGTAATAGTTATAGTGAAAATGAGGTGATTTAACTTTTTGGCGCCAAAATAAATTCAGTGAGAAACAACGTTTGCGTTGTATTTCACCGCGTGGGTGAGAAAAAATGGCCGATAATGCACCATCAGGTGATTCGCCAATAAAAATGTTTGAAATGCCTAAGTGCGCTCTTTGATACGTCCGGCGCCCTGTGGTACGACGGGCGGCGCCATACGCACCCCCACATTTACTGATAAATAAAGCAATAGTATTTGTATAATACGCATTAGACACAATTTACCAAATAGATATTAGTCCATTGTAATGGGTAGAAGCAAGACAACAACCTATTCACACACTCGAAAGAAATTATGAAGAAACGAAACGTCCTAAAAATAACAACATTCCAACATAACATAGTGCCTTCAACCCAAAGAGTAAAAAACCTATGCTTCAACCCGACAGTGGCGCTATTGGTGTTGAAGATAACTACTGAATTAATTTCATATCACACTGGCCACACGAAACTTGCAGCAGCAGCAACGCCTTTATGAAAAGCCCTTGACTGACGAATGCCAACGATTTAACATACAATGATAAATGTGGGAAAGACATTGCCGTTGTGTGTCTCCCAAACACAGCGAGGTCTCGTGTTTCTGTCACTATGAAGATAGCTTATTAGCTATAAACAAAAATAATAATCAAAGTTCAAATAACGTTGTGTTTATTTTCCGATACGAAGTATAATCAGTTAGCAAACATTTCAAAATCGTAACACATAATTGTCATAATCTTGATTGACGTAATGGTGTTTGCATATTTATGTATGGAATTAGATAACTATATTCTACGGCTGCTGATATGAAATGTAAATACAACTACCAAAATCGTCGCCAGCGCAAATAAACTTGACCTACAACAGACAGTAATAAGTATAAAATTGTAGCAACACTTGTCGTGCAAGGACATTCAAGGTAGAAATAGACAAACTTACTAAACAGGGGGACAAAGAAAAAACATCCTCTGATTAATCGATTGTTGATGAAGCAAACAAAGAGAACTACAATTTAATGCTCTGACTGAGAATGACGGGAGTCATACAGGAAGAAGTTCTAAATTATTATGTTTTCGGCTTATTCACGTAATAATATGAGGAGGAACTCGACTAGTTTCAAGCCATGCTAGAGGCTCATATTCATGAGCAGCACTGTCGCGCTGCTACTTAGTATGTCTCACGAAAGTTCCAATACGAAGAAGTTGTAGTATTTTATTTTTTAGTAGTAGAACTATTTAGTTATACCATGGCTTCTTTAAGGGATGTGCTCTGATAGGCATTAAACAGGCCTATTAGAGCAACCATGAATGTGCTGTTGGTGAGTGGTTTCATGTGGGGAGAACACATTAGATTTCATTTCCAAAAACTAAGCGCCAATTAGACGTAACCAAAAGAAAAGAAAGCTTTCTCAAAAACTGCAAAATTATTTATGCTTATTTCATATTCAATAACACTGCTCATTTATTTCATCATAGATTTTTGATAGAAGGAAAGTAAAATACATATAGGGCACAAAGTATGAAACAATCGAATAAATATAAATAGCATCACACGTAATCTGGTGAAAACATTATCCCTATCCTATAACTGACCCAGAGCAAATAAGGTCAATGTCAGCGTTCAGATTAAAATTACATCGGAACTTTCCAGAACATCGATGAAAGGTTTTACCTCGTTGCTAATGAGGAGCTGGTTAAATTATTAATGGTATTAATAAGTACCATATCCGTCTATATTTACTGAAGGTTCCTTGAAGATTATATCGAAGACAATATTTTCGGATAAATGAGTTGCCTGTCAATCCTCTAAAATAAGCCGAATTGTAATAAAAAGCTTCATGTACACCGACACGATCGTATTTATTTCTTATAACTAATCTTTATGGCGCTCGGAAAGAAGCTAACCAGATTACCAGATATTTACGCAGCGCGCTCGTGGCGGGGAAAAAGTAGTGTACAAATATTATGCAACGCTTGTTTACACACAAAATTAAGTGTGTTGGTATCTGTCTCGATGATATTATGAAGTACTAACAATCACGGACACGAGTCACGCGATGAGGAGATGTAACATACACGATTGTTACACGATCGTCAATCAAACATACTGCTTTGGTTTTATCATAAATGTTCCCATTAACATTTCGTTTATTCATTACTTTTGCTTCTTACCAATTTCATGTTTTACATTATTCATGCATCCGTCCTCGTTCACTCTTTTTGTTTACCCTTGTGGTTTGATGTCGGTTTATCTTTGAACTCACATGAATCTCGAAAATTACTGACACTGCTTCATTTAGTTACATAAAAACAAGAGTTTCAACGCTTTGTTTAAACTGTCAAATACCAAGCGGTCACCGGTGACCGCAACCTATTGTTCTATAATTGTGTCTGCAAAACCGGTACTCGACGAGTTAAGAGCTTTATTTTATGAAGTTCTCGGGAAAATAATGACCATAAAAACTAGAAACATCGTTTTGAGAGTGTGTATTGAAAGTTTTCATGACATGCAGTAGCTTTTCAGTCCTAATTTGTTTGAAATACGAGACTACATTATGTACGACTAGTGCGTAGCGAAACTTCACGAAATTAAGTTAGCGCGTGACTCCAAGACTCTTATTTTTCTCTATATTTTTATGGGTACTCAACTCATAACTGCTTCTTCTACAAGCAATTAAAAAAAAAAAATTAAAATCTGCTAAATTTGAATTTTTAAGCATATTATTAAAAAGTTGCACAACAACTATACCTAAGATAGTACGCGCATAACAATATTACATTAATCATAGCAACTACATAATTGCGTTAGTGTACGTAACGTCCGACTAAGTTATTTTGCCTTGAACATAAACACTGCCAGCAAAATGTTTCTCGAAGAAATTACTTAGGAATCTTGAAACCTCTAGTACGATAAAATTATATAAAATCCAACAGCGATTAAATAATTGAGTCATTGGGGTCAATCAAAAACTTGCTAATATTGTACAAATTATAGTCCCCGGGGTACTTGATCCCGTAGACCCCGGGGACTCATGGCGCTCGCAAACTAAATTAAGCTACTCTGAAAAGGTTTCTTGTCAATCCTATTTGGTATTTTCAAGCCCAACCCTTGGGTTGTAAACAAAACTTTCCTCTCTATAATATTGAGTGGCTACGGTCAACAACGAAAGCGTGGGAGGCCCCCATACGGCCGACGACATTAGAAATATTACAGGTCACATGTGGCGCCGATTAACGGCTGACCGGGAAAGTGACCTGAACAAAGAGGCATATACTGCATTGGACAGCTATGGCTATAGCCAAGACAGGGAGGCTTTTATACTCCTAATTGCCTATCAGATAAAACAGAACTTTTGTCTAAAGCCCAGTTAACAATTCCAAGCTGCAAATGCATATGACGATTGTCATTTATTCTCTTTGAACTGTCACTGGCTGTTTGTTGTTCTGTCAAAGAATTTTATAGTTTGATCAGAATTTATCATGTACAAGTAGTTGACTACAGATTAGATGTCTATGAGTATGTGCATGTACAGTGCACAACTACTTATATATTTAGTTCTATATTGATTTTGCAACACCGAACCTTACCCCGAAATTGGTTCAAGTTTGTGCACTTGTCGGTGATTGAGCAATAACCTGTTTAAATATCGTACCGAATACCTTTCGAACTGGACGTAGTCGAAGTTCTCTTTTTCTAGTCACTTCTAACCAATTAGTCTCAACCAGATATTGTATAATGACAATATCTTTACTATTTTCAATACTTTTTGTCCACGTTGACTGACGTGAGAATCGTGGTGCAAAGACGCTATTTATTGAAACTTATTAAGATTCTTTCAGCCCCTTAGTAACCGTGATTTATTCTTACCTGTCGGAAGTTGATTCGTTTTCACGTAATTAATACCAGTTGGACGACGGTAGAATTTTGTTATTCGTCAAAACACCTCGGTTATTGATTTGTCATAATATACTTTGATGAATATACGTGCTTGTCTTCCAGATTTTGGTATAACGAGATCATTTCCATACCTCTGTTATTTTTGGCTTGTATCTGATTTATATTCTATGAATAGATATACCTACTGATCGAAACTAAATTAGTATGCAGACGCAATAAAAGAAATTCATTACTTCGATGGTTTGATTTGAAGTTCTTTCTCATGACACTTCCTATTTTAATCGCTTCAAATTAAACTTATTTAGAATGACTTGGCTCCTATCATCCAGAAAAAGGAAATTGTAATTTTCTTGATAAATGTCTTGTAGCGGAGCGAAGGAATTTTTAATACTTTTGTAGAAATAACAGCGAGCTCTCTACCCGTCAGTAAGCCAGTTAGCGATGAGCGGAACGCGCTTATACATTGATCCAATGTGTCTCACATGATCCAATTTAAACGGTGCTCCATTTTCTATTATTATACTAATCTAATATCAACTTCATAAACTCAAAGAAATGCTGCATAAGCCCGATGTTTGGTGCAGTTTTTTTATTTAAGTACCAGCAACTTAAAATGATTATGCGGTTGACTCACGCTGGTCGATATTATCAACTCTTGCGTTTTAAAAATCGGTAAGCCTTCTGAATTCTGAATTGCACAAAAGCTAAATTATAATTTAAGTATTACAAAACAGGAATGGCTTTAACGGTGTGGGAGTGTCGCTTCTCTCCGGAGGGATTCATAAATTTCTTTCACTATAACGAGATCATTCACTTTTATGTTACTTCCCTGTACCTACGTTAAAGAAAATATATTTTCTAAGGAAGTAAAAGTTTTATAACTTTTTCCTCAAATGTTATTGGGAAATGTGGTTCGATGGATCAAAGAAACATCCAAAAATATGGTTGTACTCAATTGAATTATTATAAGCATGCATTTGAAATAGGTTTGAATGCCTGTCATATTTTATCTTACTGGCGACAACGTACGGCCTACGGCATTCAAGATTTTATTAACCTTATAGGAAACTGGGACTTAATCGTCAACTGGCGAGCGCGAATCTCGCGAGCGCGCGCGAGTTGGCACTTTTCGATTTTGCCTACTTTTTTTGTCGTCAACTCGCGCGTCTATATAATTTGATGTTTTAATGTATAGTCAGCTACAAAAACGTTATAACAAATTTAATTTAGTTAGGTACTTACCTACTATAAATGTATAAGAAACTTTATGAAATTTGATTTTTAAAATAAAACAAAATATACATCGTTTTGAAATCAGTTTATTATAAATCAACAGGACAAAATATAAATTATTAGTAGTATTTCCCTTACTAATTATCAACAATATCACATTGATTTGAGAATTTGGCTTATTATCTTATTATCTGGTATGTAAACTGTAAAAAACTAAGTAAATCTTAGGAACCATAGAAAGAGTCTTAGAAACTATAAAATCACAGATCTATATTTTGTTATAACGTTTTTGTAGCTGACTATACATTAAAACATCAAATTATATAGACGCGCGAGTTGACGACAAAAAAAGTAGGCAAAATCGAAAAGTGCCAACTCGCGCGCGCTCGCGAGATTCGCGCTCGCCAGTTGACGATTAAGTCGAAACTGGAATGGCCAACGAACGTAAACGACAGCTGTCCAGATAAAAATTCAATTTGGTAGCTGAAATACTCCCACGACTATTATGACTGGCGAAATTGTACCTATTTTTGTGACGCGGCCAAAAATCGACTTTATTCGTCCAACACGAGGTATACAACAGGTACTGTGTAGTAGGTTACCTAACCAAAATTACATTGTAGCTACACCTACCGCGTCTTGCGAGGTTTTATACAGTTGTCTGTACTGTAATAATTCAAGCAAGCTTGGGAATCTTGACATTAAGGCCACTGAATACCAAGCGGTATATCGAAAGAGTTATATTTTTTCCTTATGGTTTTCTGTTTTTGTTATCAGGTTGAAAATGTAGCGAACGTGTGCACACACGCACTATGCGTCGCCCCTGCATCACTGGGTGCGCGGGAGTTGCTGACGCGCTCCGTCAATGCACCGCAAGCGATTGCTGCAGTCGTCTATGGGCTTGCACTATGCCTACTGTTCGCGGTGTCCACCACCTTTCACTCTGTATGCTGCTGCAGGTCCGACACGTGAGTTGAGAATATTGAGTACTTTATGCTTAACCGCATTCCATCGCTTGAAATCTGCCCTAGTTATACTAAAAAACAAACGATCTGCTTAGCTAGAACAGAAATAAATTATACTGAAACCAAAGTTATTAACACTAAAGTTGCAAGTAACGTGATGTAGATGGTAAATATAGGGAAACTTAGATAACAGCACGTGCACGCGTATGTAGACTACCATGACTTTACTTTCATTAACCGTTCGCAAAATATTTTCGAAATAAAAATGTCTTCCAAATTGCTCCCAATAAAGTTAAATAAATTCTACCTCAAGTGCTTGGTAACTCAATACAATATTGACTTTTACACCACTCAAGGATCCCTCAGAACCTAGATGTTTGACATTTAGAATCCTTAACGCCTTGTAAATCCTTTGATGTCTTAAATTATTTTCTCGTTCAGTAATCACGTCCCTTCTCAAAAGGGCCAACTCTATACTTTCAATTACTTGTAGTAAAAGTAATGGTAGAAGTTGGGAAGTTTCGTGAAAACTTCGGCCGTTGCGCCTAAGTTTTTCCAGCAAAGTAGCGGATGGCGTACGCTAAGAAACGACTTGCCCTCCTTACATATCTTTGCAATGACCCACCCCGTATTTTATGGTGTAATGTGGGGCTGGCCTCGATTATAAGCGATCGAACGTATTTTTCGGCCTAAAAATTAGAAGGGAAAGGGAATATTCAGGTTTAATCTTTCATAATTATTTACGTAGGTGGGTTTATGTTCTGCTCTACTAAATAAAAGGAATCGTATTAAGTTATTTTCATGAATACTTATTAGTTTCGCGAATCCCAGAAGATACTGAAGCACTTACATCGAATGAGTTAACTTCTATTGATGAATAGGTCTTGTGGGATTATAGTGGATATTACTGACAACTATCCCAGGCCTCTAATTAAATCTAACAGATAACCCTTTGTTAAACTCTGCCGTGATAATTGAAAGGTACCTTGTTCAATATGATCATGTTTCCCGTACCCGTGGACTTATCAGGTTGACAATTCAAAACTAGCGTGTACGTACACATGTAATTTACGTTTTTGATAATGGTTAGTTGGAAAATGAGATGTAAAGATTTTTATAGAACGGTTATAGAATAAGTGGGATTAGTAACCAACCGAAGTTTTAAAGTCTTACAGCATTCAGCCATTGTCTCACACAGTATGAAAAGCTGTTCCTGCGTCTGATTGCCCTTGTTTCAAGTTACCGTCTCACGTCCTATTTCATCGCAGTATTATAACACAGGAGAAGAGTACCTACAGTGGTGTCTGCATACACGTACACAATAACAAGTTCAGCGTAGTCTGCTAATCTTATTTTGACAAATATTCGTTTGATCAAGAGGACATTCATGTCCAAAGTTATCCAAAGTTACTCAAACAATGTTATGACAAACTTAACTAATGAGGTGTCTGAAACGTCAGAACAAGCACACAAATGATACAGGTTTCGTGACTAGTGTCGAGGGATATTTGTATCAGAAATACATGTCCCAAGGCAATTTTGAAATTGGTGCCGTACCGACACCATGTGCTACATGCCCCAGTTCTGACAAAACTTTATACAGCCGGTGTAAATTTCCTATTTATTGAAGCATAAATTCCCGACCGTATCGGATGGGGATGGATGCCGTGATTAATTAGGCCAAGGTCAGAACAGAATGCAAGGAATACTACACATTCATATTTACATTCCCTCGTAGTTAATCAACGGAATTTTCAATGTGAAATCTTTGAAATTAAAACCTTTACGAACCTAATTAGCTTAATTAGCCTTTAATAAGTCAAGCGCCACATTTTGGCAAAGACTTGTAATTAGCAACGAGTGTAGTATAGCGTCATGATTGTTTGTGGCATTGTGGCTGCCTTGTTTTATCTTTTACAAAGATCTGAGGGAAATATTTTCTGCTGTTGTCCGGAAAGAAAGCTGGAACTGGAGAACATAAAAGCGTAATTACAGCTGTTGTTGTCACGACAAGTTCATTTTTCAAAATAATATTATGCTTAAAATTCTTGATACATTTGTACTTAATACATTCGCAGATAGAACTCGTAACAAATTAAGGAATGATACATGAATAAGCAATTAGGTTTCGGAACTCCTCCTCTAGACTCGCTTCCTCCAGTAAGATGCCAATTTATATCCACGCTAATCTAATCAATTCAATGAACCGATACGAAGGTTGAAGGGTAATCTGAATTAGCAATAAGCCGTTACCCTTTGGAAAATGATGAACAACTCCCAAGATTATTATTAAAGTTGGCAAAGTTCACGTGATGCGATACAAAGGTGTGATGTAGAGCAAGTCTAACTTATTAATGAGTTATTTAATATCACCTGTGTCTAATCCTATCTATGTGTTGTGAGTAATATTAGAATTATTCTCCTAGGCGTCGTACAATGTAAATTATGGAATAATAGCCAATTTTATTTGATGGCTATGATTGGAAGGGCGCCAATTTAGATAGTCTCGCCATCTGTGGATCGTTAATCATATTAAGATGGTATACGACCACCAATGGCGCCGTTAAATAATCCATCGTTTAACTACTACCTATATATCTCCGGTTCAACTAATTAAATCTATATTTTCTTTGTCTTTAAAGCATTTCTTTTCAATCTTATTATTGGTGCTATAACTCTGGATAGACTGACAAGCTAATTCCAAGCCAGTATCCTCTAGACGTGCAGCTGATTTATTGCCACTTAACTCGTAGATACCCTTGTTGATGCCCGTGACAGCATACTAGATTAAAAAATAACCCGTCTTCATCAAGATGATTCGAGTGGTCGTAATATTGCCAATTTCCGTATTGTAGTCTCAATCTCGAATACCTAACAATACCTATATCATAATAATATGATTACACGTTCGACTTTTCGTGTGAATATCACAATATTAAAAACTGCTGTTTATTTTTTGTTATAGTTAAAGTGGCCGTCGTTCACCATTTTCTAACAATTCTCCCAAAATTCTCTGTGATTTATTAGATTATTTCGTACACTGGTGCTCAGCCAAGGCTGTATTCAAATGTGTATGAATTTATATTCACTTGAAGCAGTAAAGTGGATATGTTATTTAATAATAGTTTCTGTAGAGTTGGAACAATTATCCTGAAAGCCCTAGAGTGTGGTTAGTTGAGGCGTCGAGGGATGATAGGGACTCGTGCGTAATTAGTAAATGATCCTTTACAATTATGTAAATCTTTAGAAAAGAGGTTATTTCATCTGTAATTTGTAAAGCAGAATCCAGATAATAAATAAATGATGAACTTAATCCACACCGGTTACGATCACGATTTAGAATTAGTAAACGACAGACATTAGAAATGATTTTACAGACATTACATTTTATAGACTAGACATGCATATTGATAACTTTAAACGCCAGCTATCAACATAATAAACGGACGTTGTAGTGAACACATTTCTAAACAAACTTTAGCTTTATGAAGAAAACAGCGGGCTATTTTACAAGCAGGCACGGACTGCAATTATCACATAATGTTATACTTCACACGCCTTCTCGTTTTGCCCAATTGTTTCAGTGAATTATACATTTATTGCCGCTTCGGGACTTGGCAAAAAGGCTTCTATTTACTGAATACTATATTTAGGTTCCTCATTTTATTCAGACGCTTCCGAGAATTTATATTAGCTTTTATTATTGAAGTAACACGATAAAGGTATTTTCGCTCTTCCTCTCGGCGTACGTCGTTGTTTTTTAGATGTGGTAATTTAATACACAAATTCATCATAACTTTAATAAAGTTACGTGTTGTGCTTCCTGAAGTTATTTTCGGAAGTGTCTGGCTTGTGTTTTATTTATCTTTGCTGCTTTATAGAAAACTTAATCTTCTCTTTTCATACTTTGTAGAGTGGAAAATTCTGTCAGATACAGATGTCTTTAAAATTAGTGAGAGAGAGGGAATGTATACGGTACACTGAAACAAGCAAACACGAGGGTTGCAACAGCTCAAGGCACTTCAAAGAGACTAATCCTAGTATAAACTATTACAGAGATGGGATTGATACAAAGGACCGGGTCTTACGTAGCGTTCTATATATAGTACATGTTTACAGAAGGGCTGGATAATTTTGGATCAATGCCGAAGCCGGATTTAAATATCAAAAAACAAAGCGTTCTTCCACTGAAATAGATTCAGTAATTCTTAAAAAATAAACCTTGTTAACGTTTGCCTAACTTATAAGCTACTGCAGTACCTACAGAAAGGAAGGTACTTTCTGGAATTGCTTAATAAATAAAGTAAATAAACAGACTGTAATTTCCTTCGGAAAGTTTACAAATGACTGACATTTGTATTGAATGATAAATGACAGTGTAATTTCAATGAACGATGTTGATCGTTTTACTAAGCGGTAGGTATATTTTTGTTGTCAACCGCCCGGTATCCTACATAACCTGTGACTAATGATATGAATTCAATAATGCCATTAACATTACACTTTTATCGCTCACGGTAATGATAGTTGTTAAACTATGTGTTGACACGATTGATCGATTGTTGGACACTATAATTAGGATGTTGATCTAACAAAATAATTGATTGAGTGACAGGAAGGTGATAGTTATGTGACATGCCGTAATATATGGTGTAAAAATGATTCTTTTTACATGTATTTAGGGGTTGATAGATCTCTTATTACATTAAGAAGTATAAGATTTTTGTCAGCATTATTGATGATAATTTTAAGAATAAGAAAAGATCAAAGACGCTCAATTCGTATCACGGTAACAAGATTCCCTGTCGATATAAGCTTTGACGAAATTAGATTTAGGTACTGATATAAATAGAATCAAGGGATATTTATGTTCTATTTTGATAAGTCTGGTATATTTTTATATTAAAATGAACAAAGTCTCGTCTGTAAGTAAACAAGCCCACTTACATTTGAGACCCAGATTTCGTAAACTAAGCCCGGTTAAATCCCTTTTGTGGGTCACTAAATACAATTTTAAGTGCGTTCAACTTTACATGTACTCGTAAAAACTTGTCCGCATTACACTGAAAAATAATTAGTGTAATAAAGAATTTTCAAATATCCTAGATATCGTAACTTATCAAATATTAGGTCAAGGGGCAAACGGTGGTAAGTTAAACAAATACCTGTTAACGACATAGTTTCATGAAGGGTGTTTTTATAAATAGCAACTGTGGTATAATTGGTAAGGCTTCATGTACTGGAAGCAAGGTCGGTCGCAGGAAGTAGCTTGTTATTGTTACGCTAAGACCAACCGATTAGGTTATTGAGACGTACCAACTACCAGCGCACGTCGTGCGGATTTGAATTAGCGCTTTGTGTGGGCGCTGAATACGCAAAGATGGATCACTTCAATTGAATTTAAAGTTTTCCGCTCAAGATTGAGGATGATGAAAGGAAATTTCGCAATAGACGTCTTTAGATCCCTGGGACATGATACACATTTTGTCGACAACAATAAAAAGTCTATATTATTGAACAACTGGAGATTTGGGTCTTCGATAGTGTCAAAATTTAAGGTAAACCCATCTTCGACACCCAAGTCTAGACTTTATTCATATTTGAACAACCCCAACAATTTCAAATTCAGGCCAAACTCAATATGTATTTCCAATTTTTTCTTTACCCCCAAGTCAATCATTTATTGACATTGATTTGGTTACAAAAGGTCAGATTTTTATCTTATATTGAAACTGGTGTCAATTCTTTTATGAAACAAAAATGGAAATATTCTTTGTTCGACTGGACTTTCGACTGGGTTTATGCATTTATCAGTCAGGTATATTACTTTGTCCAATATTTTTCTAAAAAGACGTATACTTCTGTAAAGTTTTCCCCTTCCGCTGTGTGTAACGTTTGTTTAAATTGGGTCGATTGGTACCAGAGGTCAACAAAACCGAAGATACACAAGTAACACAAATTACACAGTCGACTATTGTTGTTTTAAAAAATGCAATCGTTTGAATATTTTATTAGGAACATTTACCGTTGGTTTATGTCTTAGTGATAAAAAGCAGCATGCCGTTTTTTTTATTGGTTCGTTTTCGTGTGTCGTTTGACATGAATTAATTCACGTGGAACTATAGTTCATGTCGTGATGTACTTACTCGCAGGTATCAGATATCGAGTCGATACGATGACCATAATGGTGGCGAACCTCCTGTTACACTAGCCATCAGGTAATTGTATATTTTACGACGCTCGGTTTCCATGCCTTTTAAAGATTCATTTCTGTTCTACTAGTCTATGAAGTCCTAGATTAGTTTTACGGGAAAAGTTATTTAAAAATTCTTTATTAAAGTTATTTAAATATTCTAAAAAGTTATTAAATAATTTCGTTTGTTCACTAGTAAGTCTTCATTTTCGGGGAGGAAAATGCTTTGTTTAGGCACATTATTATGTATGTGTTCGCATTCAAGTATCGCATTCCGAAGAGTATCTAACAATTCAATTGCACAGACACTATTGTTGTGTTACTCTTTAAATTAAAAAAGTAAATTGCGACCTCCCTCCTTTTAGAAAATAAAAACTTTACTTATGCTTTTGACAAAGAGGCTACAATTGCTAGCTTTGTGAGGTTCCCTTTGTAAGTTCCAACTATTAAAAAGTTTGTGAAAATTGTGTTCTTTTACGTTGTTCATTAAAATTCATGACATTTGTACATAAAGACCAAAATAATAAACGTCGTGTTGCTCTAGATGTTTTCCATTTTTGTTTTAAGTACCAATTCCAGCTTAAGTTCTTTTAACCAGCCTTTTAAAAATTCTACGTATTCTTGCCGGCATAGCTGAGCTTCGGTCAGCGGGCATAGTTTGGTTGAATGCTATCGTGTCACTATGTCAAGTCTTGCTTTGTAGACATTGAGATGAGAAGGCTTATTTTTGGACGAGATTTTAACCTAACGCTATTGGACAGAAATACTATCTATTAAAAGAAGCATTGTCTTTTAGGAAAAACGTTCGCACCATGTAAAAATCTTGTACGACTTATTCCTAGATGGAGATTCAGATTGATTCCTTATAATTGTACATTATACACAAATTACACAAATAGTACACCATCGCATTAGATATGTATAATACATTGTAAAAATAATAAATAACTGTATCTGTGTGAGTCAACATAATTATGAGATTGAACTTTAGACTAGTGATTCATATGCTGAAGCAAGCTGAATCTACGGAAGCTCCAAACGGGTGTCCATATTTTGCAACTTTAGTCTTAATATCGACATGCCAATGTCCTCATTCTGCTAATCCACTAAGTAATTAATTAATTAGCTTATCGCACCATCAAATCTAGCTTGCGTATTCTAATGTAACGTATACTAAAATGTATGTGCTAAATGCAAACTAAATTTCACAGTAAAATGAAACACTTCCTGCACCGTTGCGACCGGGCAATGATTTACATATTCATCGCGAGTTCCTACTTCCCGTGGCTGACGGTCGGCACGCTCTCCTGCTGGATGCTCAGGGAACTGCGGTGGGTGATCTGGCTGCTGGCTGTCCTCGGCATCACGTACCAACAGATCTTCCACGAGAGATACAAGATGTTGGAGCTGCTCCTTTATCTGGTCATGGGGCTAGGTCCGGCGGCCATCATTGTCACGTCTAATGTACGTCCATGGCTTAGTAACTTGTTATTTTCGGCACGGTAACTGTTACGATAAAGTTGTACTCGAAATTGCGTAGGTAATATATTTAGTAACGAGATTAATGCCATAATCCGATTATACACGTAATCGGATGTACAATCTACTTAGTTTCCGTCCATGCAAATCACTCAAGAAATGCCATTCGGGTAATTTATCATTAATCGGGAAAGTCTTCGATGATCGTTTTGAGTCGAGTTAATTGCGTGTATAGCAATGTAAATAAACGTGACCCATCACTATCAAGTGCAGTTGCGGTGCTGAAAATATCACGTGCGAGTGTCTGCACGCTTATTACCTACTATGACTTAGTGCTTGCATAGAAAGGACGCGATCACGTACCTACATATTTCCACAACATTTTAACGTTATTTTTCTCCATGTTGTGTTTAAAAAGTATAGAGTATTGAGGCGCATTCTTTCTATGATCGCTTTATGCTATTTGCACGTGCATGTTTGCTTGTTTGCGGTGACGTAGTTTATTATTCATGTGTATGTGTTGGCGTAACTTCTATTATGTAATTGTTTGTTTATTATGGTAAGTATTAAAGGTTAGTGTCGTGTCGTTATGAGTAATGTTACCGGATATTATTTTGGTCAGCTTGTATGCTTGCACTTTTCTCTTTAAATGTTATCAACGTTGTCTTTGTAATGGCAAGCCTTCCAATTTTAATCGTATCATTTTGCAATCTTATAAGCCATCTCACTTATAATTCTTTTTTTTATAGTATTCTGTTCTCCTATAATTTATGCAGGACTTGTGATTTAATTCTCGGTGAGTTGCTTTAGTAGTAAATGTTAGATTGTTTTAAAGTGAGCTAGAGCCAAACAGAGAACAACTTTATGATTACAGACTGATTTAGGTTTCAAGACAAGGTTACCAAGGTCGTATTATTTTTACTTACACTTACTCGAAACTTGTTGTACAAACTTTATGAACGAAACTTATTAAATTTTCCTAAACTCCCAACACACGTGTAATATAGAAATTCTATTACACGATAATGGATTACAAAGCAGTTCTGATACGTACTTTGCAATACAAAGTCTATAATCACTCTATTATAAGGTATATAGTACAAAGTTCATGGCTTAAGCTTATCAACAGACCATTAGGTCATATAGAAGTCGTATAAGAAATGTAGTTATTCAACAAGTATTCAAGTCAAGAGCTCACCTTTGTTGGAAACTCTTATCTTCTATAATGTACGTGTGACATGCAAAACCTCTTTGTACACGTTTAGCTTTGAAATATAACGCCTACAACCTTTGTACGAAATTCTGAAATAATAAGTAAAGTTTTTGTGCTTAGGTATTATGTATGAGTACTATAGTAGTTATCTAGATAGTTTGCCATTTTCTCATGGTCATCGTTTCCCCCTCGAGGAAATGTAGACCCTGATGGGGCTATGTCTAATATTATATGCCCTTCTATGATATTGACTACAGAAGGTTAATTACCGTCAGTAATGGTGGTTAGTCTTTTAATATCAGTGCACTATTATTAGTGAGGTATTTTTTGTCTATCCCTTTATCGGTATTTCATATTCGCTGCTTTAATGTCTCATATGGAAGTCTCCTGTTTTGATTATAAGTAGAATCGATTTTTTCGGCCTGCTAACTGCAACCGGGAATGGGGTTGTGTATTGAAGCTTCTCTATCTCCAGGTGGGTCTATCGAATTTTGAATGTTCAATAGTCGTTCCTAAAAATAAGTATGTATCTGTCTTAACTAAAAATCGCTGGTTACTCACGTAAATATGACTATACTGAGAAAAGCTCTACTATTTTCGAGCCACAGAGGGGCTCATGGGGGGACGTTGCTCATGAGGAAGACCTCATGAGCAACGTGCGCAGTCGCGGTGATGTCGCGCAGACTACTGTACGACATCGCTGCGATCGATTTTTAGTATGTCTCACGACAGTTATTATGAAAACAATTTTTTCAAGACCAAGAAAGGTCTTTAAAAACTATCATTTTATATGAAGTTAAAGTCTTACTTTGGGTGTCTCTAGGTACCTACTGGCTATAGATACTGTCGTATCTATAAATAGTGCATTGTGCCACTGCCGAGCTGAAACTGAATGGGAGCGTCGATTGTATCTACCCACATCTGATGTAAATGTCAGCTGAGAGAAATTGCTTGCTCTCCGCACATATGGGCCAGTCTTGTGTAACCCATCACAATGTTCTAAATATAAATATTTTGTAAATATAATGTGTTAAGGTGTATGGTATGTAGACATCTTTGTGACAGGTACAATTTTTATGCTATGAACCTTTTTTGAGGCTTTTCTTTTTTCTTATTATTGTTAAAAACACTTTTCAAGGTTATGTTTGTGGTCCTAAGTTCCAGTACTGAGTGCGATGTCCGATTTCAGTTCAAATGTTCTAAAAAGTATTGATTGATTACCGTATTTTCGACTGGTTTTTTTTTTCATTCACCGTATCCAGCAACTCTCGAGACAATTCTTATCAACCGTCGTCAGTTGGGATGGGACTAATACACCCTTTTCCTTATTTACGGTGAAATAAGGAAAGTTAGATAAAAATAAACGGAAAAAGTACATTTAAATTCAAGTCGAATTCGCGTGGAAACACAAAATTTGATATTACATAAGTATGTAATTATGTTGTAATAAATAGGTACGTATAATAAAAGGTGACCTGAGCGCCCTTATGGCTTGTGCGAAAAACGATGAAAATTAAATAATAATGGAAGCAGAAGGCAAAACATTTACATAATACGGACCAGTAACTCAATGAATAGTTAGTTAATTTTAAAAATTAATGAGATATACATTTCTGAAAATTCCCTGAACTAGAACTTCTTCCACACAAATAAATATAATAAAATATATAATGTTGGTCCAAATGTTCCATTTTCCACACTAAAACACTTTAAACAGAGATCCACGTTAATATTTGCCTCCTAATTAAACATTAGGCCATCTTTTAATTATGTACTACAATTTAAAGTATACGTAAAAAGATTATTAAAACACCGAAATGTGTTTTTTGCTAACAAACAAGTATAAAGACGTTCACACTCACACCATGACCTTGTATGGTTGACCATGACTTGTACCTACTTAGATTAATACACCTTGATGAATATTCTATATAATGATTATTATGTAAGCAACGAACTATAAAACAAATTTAAACTAGTACCTAAATAACCAAACAATCTGCGAGATTCCGGGATGAAAATCTGATGTTAAAGTAGGTCATGGTCTGTTTGTACCTACATCATATCAATGTAGGGTTAAACATTTTTTTGTTTTTTTTTTCGGGGTAACAGACAAAAGATGCTTAGTTGAATGTATGTACTGGTCATAGAAAATTGCAAAGTACGTACTTTTAGTTCAGTGTGAAAAAGAAGGACGAAAAAGAATTTCAGACACATTTTAGGCGTTTTAAATTTTATTTATTTATGTACAACACACATACAACATAAAGGACAACACATATAATATCTATATTATTGAAGTGCAAAGTATTGGAATTTCTTCCTGTGGACCGATGGCAGAAAAAGTAATTATGATATAAGACAGTGTGTAATATAACAAATAGAAAATTGACATAGAAAACAGACTTGAACTTAAACATATTAAAAAATGCATATCACTTACATATAAAAAGAATGTAAATATAATACACTTATAACAAATAAATACAGTACCTATAATATATGTATAGAATATACATATAAATAAAGAAATACGCATATCTTTTACTTGCGATTCACGGGCAAAAAAAAACGTAATGGTTTATGTTGAGTGGGATTTTTAAAACAAACATCCATCTATCCGTCATCATAAATTCTTATAAGTTGTAACTCTTCAATTCAATTTTTCTAGTGCGTTATTTTGGCAAAATACATTTTATAGGTCTTTTTCTCAAAATATAATAGATCTAATGTTTAACAAGATTGATTCCTTATGGTTGTTAATAACTGGCACACCGCACTAGATTAAATCATCATCATTATTGCAGAAAAAATATACATATTTCTTGGTAAACATTCTCCAAGTTTCGAATTGTTTTTTGGAATTGTTTTTCTCGTATGTACGTACATATACAGATGTAATTGGTACCATTTTAGAACGCAAAGTATTTTTACTGTGGTTTGCCTTGACTCATGTTTAGAGGAACATGCAATTGGATTTATCACTCAATGCAGTCTCTCGTTTGTTGAACTTTTGTCTTACTAACTTGTTTTTTAGTGTGATCGCAGCTGTTATTCCTAGAACGTGTAGGCAGACACTACTAGTGCCTAAACTAATTTTCGCAGCATTTGTTATTAGTTTATTACGCTATACCGAATTTATTAGCTAGAGGATGAGCCTTCTTGTAAACGGTATATAAAATGACTCGGTACCAGTCTGTAAAACTATAGATCTCTTAGCAATCGTGCTCACTAAAACTACAAAGTTGTAGAATAAATTTCCTTTTAAAATGTCTTCAAATACCTAAGTATTTAGTGGCTAACCACAACTTCACAGTTTTAAAACATACGATGGTTATAATAACTAGTAATTATGGGTAAGTATTCCTAGAAGCAACTGTGTAAATACTAAGATATTATACTTGTTCATCTAATTATGTGTTATAAATGAATATTATACGGAACGAGCAATTATCTCCCATTACATGTCTTATTTCGTTAGCTCGCAGACACGGTATGTTACAATTAAGTAGGTAGAATATCAATACGATGCGATGGGAATAGAAAAGGGGCAAGTAGTTCTAAAGTTAACAAACATTTTATCACGAATTAAGTAATTTATACCCTTTTTGACACGTAGCTCTCTGATAAACAAGAACCTTTTCAATTGCGATCTCAACCCGCCTGGCATGCATGAAGATTATAGCGAGCTGTCTTATGTAGAGGATCCACCACATGTAGCCACAATCCTTCTTCCGGCTATTTAATAAAGATGAATTGAATTGTGTTCATTAAAGTGATCCGACGTTGAACTGAGCTCAGTGTGAAGGCCACATGCACTTTAACGTTACTTGAGAATGTAAACAATCATTGCTTTTGTTACGAAAATTGTATTACATGATTCACTCTTGTGGGTTGTGATAGTCTGTGACAAAAGTCACAAGAATTATTGTATTTATCAACCTCATAATTGTACGCTTGGAGTCTCAAATAGTCGAATGCTACCCGGTATTTAGCAGTACTTTCGTCTTCTATTACAGTAGAACGAATAGTAAAAGGGTTTTTAAAAAAATAAAATAATAGACACATTCACATCTTATCTTATACCTTAAACTATTATAATTATAAAGCGGAAGAGTTTCTTTGTTTGTTTGTTTGAACGCGCTAATCTCCGTAACTACAAGTCTGATTTGAATAATTATTTTTGTGTTGGATAGCGCATTTATCGACGATGGCTATAGGTTATAAAACATCACGCTACGACCAATAGGAGCTGAGCAGAGCGTGTGAAACCGCGCGGAAGTAGCTAGTTCACTATATGCAAGTGAGTTACTAAGGAATTACACTGTTCATCATATTGCAGTATCTATGTCGTAGAGCTGCATAATTTAGTGTTCGTAGCATTGTATTCTGAAGTACAGCCACAAAGTCGGAAGCTTTGCTGTCAACATGTCACTTGTGATTGCTTAAGTGCCTTTCTGCATCATTCTGGCGTGAAAAGTTCTACTTTGTTCGCCAAACGCGGTTTTAGAAAATGTAGACCACATTTGTAGGTCTCAGTGGAAGCTATCACAGGCTTTTCTTCTCTTTAAATGTTTAAATAGTTGATATCTTTTCAGCTATAAAATTCTGCTTTACGACATAATTATACGTCTTAATTATATAGGTGCCTGTTTAATCGACACTTTTCTTGTATCTGCTGCAACTACATCGAGTAACCTATGCGATTCCTAGCAAGATACTAGGATATTATCCCATTCCAGCGAATGAGGAATTACAGCAATTTGTCCTTGGTTGTTACGACTAAAGGTCCCTCTTCTGCGTCGGCCTTCAATTATTATATTGATAATATAGAAAGGATGTCTATTTATAAGTCCCCAAGGATGTCATATAAGCGGTTCCAAATAATTTATTGACCGTTTTGGGCCTCTTTTCATGATAAATTATGTTTATTTCTGTAAATTATTGTCTATTACTTATTTATGAAGAAGTTAGGAGAACTTTCGTGAATAGGAACTTACTAGGAAAAGTACGTAACCCTTTATTGCTCTTTTTCAGAAATGAGTGTTTGTCGTATTTATTCTTCAAAACTGTTCTTCAAAGGCTTTTTGCTGATTTTCCAAGTGTCTATTTGAAAGATACGGGAAAAATGTAATAACATTTTTCTCTATGACTTTACAAGGCGTCCTCAAGAGTGTTGATGTCGTGTCACATAAATTTAATTTAGAAGCTGGTTCGTATCGCCGGGAGATTGAAATGTAGTTAACTGGCCACATTCCCAGCGGAGACTGGCAACTCTAAAATATTACTTCGTACATTGTGCCCTCATTGTTCGCATTGTTCACGTTAGGGCGGACTAGGAGGGTAATTCTAGATTCTAGTATATTGTTTGAACTTATTTTTAGAGTAAGAGTTTTGTTAGACATTAGAAACGATATTTCTGCTTAGTATTAAATGAACTTGCGCATTTTTTTTATTAATATTCGATTTACATCCAAAAATGAATCTCATTCCAAAATATCTCTGTTACATATAAACCCATTCGAAAATATATTAAATTAGATCTGCTATTTTCGGTTTCTTTTACGACAATGTGCACGACTATATGGTCCAAAAACACTATCGGAACACTTTTATTGACCTGTTGAAAACAAACTCGTCAACTGCCCCAGAGTAGACCACTAGAACAAAAGGGCAATCAACCAGCATTTGAATTATTTGTTAGTAGGAAGAGAATCAATTTCAGTATTAGTTCAACCCTGTTTTAAGTACTTTAAATAGAACTTAATAATTTATGGACTTCAATTTACAATTGTAGTAAGTTCCCAATAGAATTTGAAAGTGTTTTGGCGACCTAATTAATTAATTATAATGTGTTAGAATACATTAACATTTTCATTTCTAAATAGAGAACATTATACGTGAGTTACTGGGCTTTAACTACTTAGGCATTATTTGCCACATAACACCGAGCCTGATTTGTTTGTCGCGGAGAACCTAACGGACTTGCACGAGAAGGAACGGGGTGGTTTTTAGTCAGTAAGAGTCTGACACTCCCTCCCGCCAAACCCAGACGCGAGTAGTCATTCGATGATTTTCCCCCATTAAAAAAAGCCTGATTTGTTTTTCCCTATAATGGTAGAATATGTAATGGTGTACACATGCAGGTTTTCAAGTGCTCTGCACTCTTGAGACTCGATTCTGGAGCTACTATTATAAAACTCAAAAATGAATCTCTGTAACATCCATTTGCTACAATTTTTAGTTAATTACAAAATAAATTTCCTACCAAATGTGTGTGTATGAATACAAAGTAATTAAGCATCGTAGCCGTTTAATGAAAACAATTAAAAACTACAATTTAATGTTTATTAGTTTTGAATAAAAACGGTAATCAATATCGCATTACTGATATCGTTCATGTTATACCAATATCATTTATCTAGCATGTGTAATTTACTTTCCGAGGTTGAAATATTTAATGCAATCGGCCATCCATGACATTTTGGGGCACCGCCATGACAGTTTTCCTTATTACGTATTTTTTTGTATTAACGGATATAATTTGACTGAGTACCTCGTCGTTTATAGAATGTTATTTTGATTGCGAAATGAGAAAGCTATTTTGCGGATTCATCAGTAACTGACGAACAAATCGGATCAAGGTTCCTTGTTTTTTTTATGGCATAAGCCGGTAAACGAGCAGACGGATCACCTGATGGTAAGCAATCGGCATCGCCCATGGACACCTGGAACACCAGAGGCGTTACAAGTGCGTTACCGGCTTTTTGGGGATTAGGAGTTTGAGGATCGTTGGGGATTCCGGGATTGGGGAGATTGGGTACAGTATTATGCCTCAGAAAAGGCAATCCTTTTCGTGTGGATTGGTATCTCGTTACCATGACTTATTGATTTTGTTGGCAGGTGTCAATATTATGTATGTTCTTCAATAACGGAACCTGTTGCTCATATTATAACCATCATGCTCCTAAATATCCATAGAAACTATATTTTACATGGTAACATTGGTATTCTTTGTGCATATCCACTTGGATACTCCGTCAAATATAAATTTATTTAAAGGTGGAATGATTTCACGTGCTCTATAGAATTCTCAACATCGGCACTAAGCTTTGGCACTTCTCGGAACCACGTGTAAACGTTGGTGAAGCGTTCCTAATTGTAATATGTATTTGTAATCTATTGACTCTTGCCAAAATGTATGCAACTATGCACTGTTCTTATTATTAAGGAGGAACATTTATATTCCAGAATCAATTTCGAATAAAAACTTATACGGGATCGAAATAATATTGAGTTTCAATTTTGAGCTATGAAAATTATCCATAAAAAGGCTATCACGCCCGTAATTAAAACAAATTAAATCAGTGCGGGGCCAGGCTAATTTTAGAATTGAGCGAAAATCAATAGACGTCCATTTATTTTTCTCATTTTGTACAATATTTAACGATAGGCACCTCGCTCTGGAGCCTCCGGGCTACGGGTTATGTAGGAGTTTAACGTTGTACAATATTTTTGATTAAAATACATGACTTACTTTCCTTGTTTAAGCTTTTTTATAATTTGCATGGAAATGACTAACTCCGTTTTATTTTCTTTCGGGTTTTAACAAGCACAGTTCATTTTGGTCTCATTCTTCACCTAATCCACGTTTTGGTGGAATTCTTTCTTCATTTGCCAGTATTGTCAAAGTAAAGACCTTTTCATGTATATTTGCTTTGTCGGGCAATTGTGAGCGCTGTCGGTTGTTGAACTACGTCCCTTTGATTAAACGTAGCGAAGTAATTTTGTGTTGTGTTTAATTAGGACTGGTCGTACCTGACCGTTTTATTATCCAATCATTGCTTCACTTTGATGTAGTTAAGTAACCGTGTTTGTAGTTCTGCATGATATAAAGGGACTTACAGCTCGTAATTGATGTTTTTGTTTTATTAAAAAGCTTATTTGAGATATTTTAGTGTTTGTCGAATAGCCACTTAGTTTGTTAGTACTGTATGTTGTCAGCATGTTAACGTGTGGTGTTTGTTTTCCAGCACCAGTTCCCGGCGATGTATGACCTGAAGCTGGGCGGCATGCTGTACCTGGCCGGCGTGTTCTTCTTCAAGTCGGACGGCCGCATTCCCTTCGCTCACGCTATCTGGCACATATTCGTAGCGCTGGCCGCCACCGTTCACTACTTGGCCATCCTGCGACATCTCTTCCCAGAACTTAAATCTCATTGAAGACTGCCCCTTTAACCTATTGAATCTCCATTATTAGAGCTCTCTAAAGCTATTTTTGTATCCTAACTCGACAACAAGGCCGCAAATTAAATAATTCCACCGACAATCGTCCGAAGTATCGGACGATCAACGGTGTTGCAGCTCCGATTTGCGGCTTTGTGCAGTCGTTAACTTCGTAATGTGTGTGTGAATCTTTTGTGTAGTGATTTGGTATATACTAAAATAAACTACAGTAGGTTTTATGCTGTTAACCGGGACGAATCGTAAGTGTATGCCTATTCGTGTGGATGTAGACTACCGTAAGCGACATACAATAGCCGTTTGTTATATTTTTCGGTAAGATGAGCACTAATTGAAATTTTGCAAAGAAAATTATTAGTTGTGTGTTGTAATTTTACATTTTCCAAACAAAATTTCTACGCATATCGTCGTTAATTCATTTATACACAAGTCTGTCGGGACTGCGTGTCGCCTGAACAATATCGTATGCATGTAAATATTATGATATAGAGTAGTGCTCGAGTCGAGTCGCTCAGGTAGTACGTGTAAGTAACCGTGGTATACAGTTACGTGAGCTTCCGGTCTCTCCACGCGCCATACTGCAATCAATATTGTCACATCAAGGCCACATGCCGCAGCATCCACGCTCATACTCCGGGTCTGTGTTCAACACGTGTCACTCATCTTTCTTATATCGGATATTCAATTACATGTTTACGGAAAATATAATACTGAGGGCACTTACATGAATATTTTGGAGGCAACTTATAATATTGACAATGCATGACTAATGACTTTAAAGTTCACATTACTGTGTTCTTTATTTAAATTATTTGTATAACATGCAGCCATTAAAACATTGCGTCTGCACTAGTGTAGAGTATTACACATTAATTTATCGACTAATCGGTCGGTGATTTCGGCAGGAAATTGCGAAGGAAGTTTATTCCTGTTGCTGCTTCGCTCGCCCACATTATGTACACCGTAATGAATAGTAAAGTCATTTACGAAATACTCGTATCGTGCTCGATAACAAACTTTTGTAAACTTGTCAATCGGTTTACAACTCTATTCACGAGCATTATTTATAGACAAATGTTTGTCCGGATTGACCGTTGTCCTATCACGAAAGCGATGAACAACGAAACGAATTGATTTTTCTTTGAAACAGAAAGTAATTTAACTTTGATTGTGGTTAATTTAAATGGTGTTTCCATTTAAATTGGGTGGTTTAGTTTTCTGACTTAGCCCACATAAGGGATTTGTTTTGTATGATATTTAACGTAGCAGGCCATTCCTTACGTCTAGAGAACAAATTTTAACTTAGGTTTTGGGAGGGTTCGATGTCTTTATTATAAGTTGCGTGACTAGTAGCTGCCAGTGCGAGTTTTCAGTGTCCCAGTAGTGTTGCCCTTCGTCGTGAAGTGTGACGGTTGTCGAATGCAGTATGGCGCGTCTCTCACAGACACCATAAATACGAGTATTTATTAGACGTAACATATTAGCAGCATGAACCACGTTCGGCCAAACTTACTACAAATGGTAAATGTGTGTATATTTTGTAACATATTGTTGAACTTATTGTACTATTGTTGTAGTGTTTGTAGTCGTATCTCAGAATCTCGAGACCAATCCAACCCTTTTTAGAGTAACTATTTAAAAAAATCGTATTGAGGGTTTTTAGAAACGTTTATACCTATTAACTTATTATACTTATACGGAATCCAGTTTTTTCAGCGAAATCTTTTATACACCTCAATGTGACTTTTTCCTTAGTATTAGTCGTTATAGTTTAGCTAGTTGAATGTATATACCATCTCGTGTCTATGAATTAGGATTTTAAAATTTGAACATCTTCAATATTTATTTAATTTTTAAATTATTTATTTATGTCCCAATTTAGATTTTTTAAGGATTGCTCAATCGTTCGTGTGATTAGGTAATATTTTGCCAGACTTCCAATGATTACAGTAGGATGTGCGAGGTATCGGTTGCGTGTTGGTGGCAGTCGTAGGTACCTACGTGTGAGTGATGTGTTATCACGCTGGCACCGCCGAGCATTGTTCCCTGTCCCTGTGCTCACTGTGCTCTTACGATACCTGAACAATCGACTCTGTTTCAAAACTAGGACGACAGCGCCTCCATACTTAGACAGTTGCGGGCTCACACAATGGACAGAGGGAAATTGAATGTATAACTTCAGACCTTTAACCTGTTTGGACTAAAAAATACTCTTCGTAAAGCGATAGCATTACTTTATGATAAAATGTGTTAATTTGTAATTATATTCAATGGGTTGCCTAATCGAAGGTTTTAGTGTCGCATCAAGTGCTATTTTTGATTTTGTAATCATTCTAGTCATTGTTTTTGCTACAAACATTTGTGTATTGAATGTGAATTAATTTTATGCAATGTGCATGCAGCCGCGCGGTTGAAAGATCAACAGCCGAGTCATTGATACTGAACCGTTTTATTTAGGCTAATTACATTTTGGATGCGCGGCTTATGACATATAAGCGAATTGGTTGAGTAAAGAATCATGACAACCGGTTAGCCAAGGTTATCACAGGGTAATATCAACTATTACAAGAATGCACAAACACTAAAATTATTAATTCATTCAACAAAATTATCTCACTACAATTAGTTAAATAGTATGAAATTTATTTTAAAATTAGGAAGAGGTGTTTTTGTTTTAGAGTACGGTGTCAGACAGGCGTTGTAGCGATACCTGTTTGTAATATCATAGTAGATGAGAACTCCTCAAAAGTGCAAAGTATTCGTAAGTAGGGAAGGGTAGCGTCGGAACGTGTAACAGTAATGTTTCGGATATTATTAGGGTCCTATTATTAAATACGTACGATGGAGACAATTTTCTGTAGTCATTATAATATTCGAATTGTGCTCGACAGTACCGGTATGTAATACTTGTCGCTTTGATTGTACCTAGCCAAATACATGTTGTATGTTCTCGTGTTACGACTGTTGCTGTAAATGTTGTTGTTGCTAAAGCAATGCGCGTGTCTCAAGTCTTCCAGAGATGCTATTGGTAGGTCTTCTAAATCAAATTAACATTCCTTAATTATTCCATACGTTTTAATGTAATCAAACTCTCTTACGGCCGTCTTCCTTTGACGTACCTTTTTATTTTCCAACCACCTTGAGTCGCAAACTCTTCTATTTTAAAACTCTGTCTGACTTCTAAATAAATTAAAATTATGGCTTAATATTAGAATATTATGAATGAAAATAATTCAAATTAATAAGGAAAAATATACCTATATGTATATTTTAGCTGAAATATTCCATTTTAAATTAATTCTAGACTACAGGTGATTTAATAGTTTCCCACTGTTGAAAATTGTACCTATTATTAAACTTTTATGTAAATTCAACAATATTATGGCGTATTACGTCAATGTAATAGAATGTACTAGATTTTGATGTATTAATTAGAGGGAATAATCATCTCGTTATACATAATTAGCTGTCGTAGGAGCGTCCACCGTTGAAATATTCGAGATTTACTTGAGACCGTTGTTTGTCTAATTCCAGGGATTATTTGACACTATCGTATCGGTGGACACTCGTACGAGAGCAGTAACTTGTTGTCTGTACGATGTTTAATGTGATGTAACGTGTATTGTTGTAGATGGTAAGATAATGCAAACATCTTAACGTAAGGCAGGTAACACAGTGGACTGCATTCTATTGTAAGTTTGGTAAAAGCCTGTTCCACACAGTTGACACAGTCCACAGAATGTGTGACCACAGATTAAGGTCCAACTTAAGTCTTCGTAATTATCGTGGATTATTGGCTCTGTTTATTAAAAATTACGGTTTTCAAACTGCATAAATTTTGTCCATTTTCCATCGATTCAACTCAAATTTTGGTTACATAAAAGTACAATATTTTTTTTAAATTTACTTTTTAAATTATTATAATTTCTGTCTAATATGTTACCTGCTTTACAAATAAAATCCAGTGACTATTCTATATAATTTTTCTAACAGATAGTGTTATGAACATGAAGTTACCTTTGATATCGGACCCTGGTATAGTTTTGTAGAGGTTTTTGGGAACTCAATAAATAAAATTTTACAAACAATTTACTCTTATTATTTATTAATACAAACCTTTAGGCATTACTTATAAATGGTTAGTGGTATAAATTAAAATTGTGATATGCCTAAAACTAGTGAGGGCCTACTTTGAGTAGTTACATTTTGGATACTGTTTTGATTCCTAGGATGTCTAAGCATTTCTCCATGACTCTGGCAGTGATTTCACATAACATCAACCTTTCGTAGATTATCTTGACTATCTTTCCTTCTTTATCCTTCTCGACACAATAGCACTTGTCGTAAAATTCAGTGAATGCTGAAGATATTTCATACAAGTATTCACACAGGCTGTGCAGGTACAGATCACTGGATACTTTCAATATAATTTCTGGGAACCTTAGTAATACTTTTCCTAGTTTCCATTCAGCTTCATGACCAAACTTGAAGCCAGACTTCTCAATCTCAGCCTTCAGTTGTTCTTGTGAGATCTGTGCAGTCCTTGCTATTGACCGGATTCGAGTCAAAGCATACAAGAGATAGACAGCGGTGTTACCTTTGTCATCCAACATCTTATCAAAAGAGAATATGTAATCATTAATTCTGTTGTGTGAGAGATCAGCATATTTAATACATCCATAGGCAATGGCTTCCTGAGCCTGCTTCAGTTCTTCAGGTGACAAGACTTTGTCTCGTCCTTTCTCAACCAGTTTGTCCATGGACCTTTTCAAACCTTCATCAAGTAACTCAATAAGCTTTATAGTGTCACCAGACCTTGTTTTAAATTTTTTCTTATCCTCTCCTAACACTACACCGAAACCAACATGTTCTATCTTCTGGTTATTCTTCAAGATGCCAGCCCTACGGGCACAAGCCTCTATGATAACAAAATGTGTGGCTTGGCCAGCATCAGTGACGTAAATAAACCTGTCCCCTTTTTCTTCCTCTACCCTTTGCTTTATGGTGGCCATGTCAGATGTATCATAGGTGTAGCCTCCATCAGACTTTACAACTGTTAGTGGTATACCTTCATGTTTATCAGGGTTTCCCCACATGATTAGCCTGCCTTCGTCTTCTTCTAAGTACCCAGCATCTTTTAACTGCTTCACTACAACATCCATCCTGTCTTGATAAAAAGACTCTCCTCGGTCAATGATACTGACATCTAGCCGGTCATAAATTTTCTGGAACTCTTGTCGGGACACATCACATATTAGTTTCCATGCAGAGATGTAGTCAGGCTGGTGTGACTGTAATTGCACCACACATGCATAAGCTCGCTTCTTGAATTCTTCATCTTCATCAAACCTTTTCTTAGATTCTTTATAGAAAGCTTGCAGATCTGAGATTGGTGGGGAATGAGTCTTGTAGTCAGGGAATTTATCTTGGAGATGAGCTATCAACATTCCAAACTGTGTTCCCCAGTCTCCTAAATGATTGATCCTCAAAACATCATGACCCAAGAACTCAAGTATGCGACAAATGCTTTCTCCAATGATAGTAGACCTTAAGTGCCCAACATGCATCTCTTTAGCGATGTTGGGAGATGAGAAGTCGACAACAATCTTTTCCCTTTTCACTGGAGGAGGTTTTACTCCAAATCTTAGGATACAGTTTAAGATGTGTTCAGCCATCATTTTGTTGATGTAGATGTTTAAGAAGCCAGCACCAGCCACTTCTATTCGCTCAATGAATGGTGAGGTTGGGGTTTTGTTCAAGATGTTATTGGCCACTTCTCGAGGGTTAGTCTTAACATTCTTCGCTTTTAATAGTTGTGAGATTGCCATAGCTGAATTGCATTGGTAGTCGCCAAATTTAGGGTTGTTACCAGACAAAGTAATAACAACAGGGGGATCTTCCAGGTCAGGATAGGCAGATGTAATTGCCACTTCGAATATGTTTTTTAACTCATCCACTAAACATATGTTGCCTTCAACAGAGTTGACGTCAGTGATTAAGTTTGGGCGCTTCTTCGGCTCCTTTTTAACAGCTGTTGTCTTAGACCCGGAACATTCAGCTTTGATCGCATTTTCTAAAATAACTAAGCGATGTTTTAACTTCTCATTCTCAGTGGATAGCTTCTCTAGCCGCGGGTCACCGACGTAACTGAGATCTCCTCGAGATATCTTGTCTAATTCTTCTTCGATAGCCTGCGCTTCCCTTTCTGCCTGCATCGTCCTTTCTTCTATAGTTTTATGATCAGACATTTTAGCAGTAATAACGCCTTTTCACTTGTATGTGTACCTTTTATACACAATTATTTCCAATTCGATGTATTTTGACTCAAAACCATTAAAATCTAATAAGATTTTAGGTTATTGCCACCGCAACAAGCAACAAGAAAAACACATGTCATAATTGTCAATAATTTCGTCAGCCGATTTGACATTGACGTTACGTGCGTAGAAATATCGTGCGTTCAGAAACAAAAATTATTCATGCTTGTGAAATCCATTGAATCGAATGCATATTTGAAATAATAATATCAACTAAACAAGAGTTTTACTGTACTTTCATAGAGTCATTCATTTCTTACTAGGGTAGGTACTTTCATAGGTTTCAGTATTATTAATTACAAAATTTTCTTCACCAAGGTTTTTGTTCACGTGAAACTATTCAATAAGTATAGGGGAAATAACCATAGCAACCAAGGTCAAACAAACAGCGGCAAAAATATGTTTCAAAAGAGGCAAGTGTGAATGAAGATTAAATTTATCAATAATATTTATAAAAAGCGTGTTATTTTGTTATTTATATTTTTTTAAACTTAGATCGGCTAGTGGAAATTATATCCAAACCACTTTCTGTGTCGAGTGGGTTAAAGAATGAGTCTAATACCCAATAAATTTTTACATTCTCTTCAAAGATAACAATAATCCCATGGCTCAAGGATGGCACATCAGCAAAATGGGCTTGACTATGCAAACAAGGACCGGGACCTGCCGTACTGGCTCGAAAACCTTACGAAGTAAGTGTGACCTCTTTCCATTAGAAGTACCCAGAATGATTAATGAATCGTTTACTTTACCTACATAAAGGAAAGACGTCAATATGGAAATTCTTGGTACAATGCACTCTTATAACTTCCGTGTCAAGGCTGGGCCAAACTGATACCAGACCAGACCTACCTTAGTATACGATGTCTTCGAACGCTTGCTTTGAACAGTTATTTTTTCAGGGAGATGAAAGAGACGCATATTCGAAATAGCAACAGTGATTCTCCAATTCTGGAGGATACCAAATACAAAATCGAAAATTCTAAATTAGAAGGCCGTAGGTAAGGACATTTTACGATATGTTTTAGGTCAAGCCGTCTTGCACCATATTAAGTATTAGGTAGGTATTTATTATCTGATAAAATAACATTCCAGGTTAACGCGCCGGACATCATTAGATACAACAATGGATATGTTAATGAAACCGCAGCTAGGATCTGTTGCGCACTCTGCTGGTACTTTGCGCCAACCAAAAGGTAAATAATTTCTTAATTCTATTAATTTCTCATTCTTCTACTCATTTATTTTCTTATTCGGTGAATTCTATCTAACTTCAATGATCTGCTTATTTAACAGCCCTTTAACAATGTTCAAAATGTTTTTCAAGCGTACAGCCAAAACGGACGCCGCGTTTACAACGTTAGGGGTAAATTGGACTGGGGAGACTCTTCCAATGCAAGCTCCAATGACTTCTTATCAGACTTGCTACCACATTACGTTACGCCACGGCATCGACGAGCCAATAATTTGATGGACGATGATTTTCATGACGTCATTCTAGGCCCCAGTAAGTACAACGAGATAATAATTAGGTATACATTGCAATTATGTTATGCAAAATATATACATACCTATTGAGTCTTGTCGATATCTAAATGTCTTTCATTTTAGGGCCGCAAGAGCCAAAAACTCGTAAAAAGCTCGTTACCAAAGAGGGCATTACTAGCTTGCAAGAAAGTAATTCAGTCAAGAGACCTGGTCCAAAAAACATTACGAAGAAACCTTCATCATTAAGTTCAGTTCCATTAAAACATGGATTGAAGGAGAAGGCCAAGAATGAGTTCGTCATTCCTGAGTTACCAGAAGGACGGTTGTTGGAGCTAAAGATTTTCTCTAACTGGGGTGATAAATATTTGGTTGGCTTGAATGGGATAGAACTCTTTGATTCGGATGGCAATCCTGTTATTGTGGAGAAGGTATATTTTCATTTAGTATGTTGTAGTGTAAAATGTAAAATATGACACGTTGTATTTCTACTCAGATTTCTTTCTAGGTGTGGACTGATTCGGACACAGGGGACCAATCGAAACACGGGCGCGCTGAGAACATAATAGACGGCGTGATGCGCACTCGTGATGAACGGCATGCTTGGACCGTGCCAGCGCCACGTGGCAACCCTATAGCTTTATCTGTTTTATTAGCTGGAGGCTCCAGACTGGCGTTATTGAGGATATGGGTAAGATAAGTTATTTCGCACCGTTATGTTATGGAACGTAGGTAGTCATGGAATTCTAGAGTTGTCTATTAAAATAAAGCAATTTGTAAGTCTCGTAGGATTCAGTAATTTTGTTTCTTTATTTTTTCAGAATTACAATAAATCGCGCATATATTCTGCTCGTGGCGTCAGGTTGGTTCAAATAAAATTAGATGACCAAGTTATATTCCACGGAGAAATCGCGAGGTCCAGTGGGGAGCTGAAGGGGCCGTTGTCGTCGTTTGGTGATGTAAGAATTGATACCATTATTTATGCAACTATGATGGTAGACTTGCTTACAGCCTATTTGACGCAAAGCAGTTACCTACTACAATTATGGACCTATACGATTGTTTGCAAATTTGAGGTAGATGCTTTGTAGGTGGTAAAGCATTTGAAAATTTTCCTGTAATATTTCAAAAGGTACACTTATCTATTACAATGAGACTGCAAATATTGCCGTACATTTCTGTTAAAAAGTAGACTTTATTGCGAACATATATGTCATTTTCTCCGTACAAAAATAACAAAGAACGAACACACTCGCCTATTAATACATAACGATGTATCAGCTGTAAATCGATCTAGCACTATAGCGTTCTTGGAAGTTGAAGTGCACCGGTATTGATTCTAGCTTCACACTTGAATTATATGTTATACCAACAGCTACACGTGTTATAATATTCTTGTAGCTTGTAATAGGTGCTGAAGTTTCTAGATTATTAATTTAACGAATTACTACGGGGCGTGTCTAGTTTGTGAAAGACCTGAAATAAAACGCAATCTAGACGAAACCTAAATGAATCTTTTATTAGGATTTGCTTCGTAATGATCGCAAGCGTGATTGCTTGTTTGTTTGAATACTACTACTACTAACTACATTCTAAGACTAACTATTGTTAGTCTTTCTGGCAGAATTAAGTAATCTTTAACGACTTGACGCCTAATTAGGACGTTTCAGTCATTTACAAGGCATGATGCACAAGAACAAAACTCTCAACTTTTCTTTTCTAGACAATCCTCTTCACGAAAGACCCTGCTATACTGGAGGCTATAATGCAAAATGACAAGAACTTCCAAGCCTTACTAAAGGACAATGAGCCGATGGCCGACTTCCCGAACATTATCGAGAAGCGACCTCCAACGGCGAACGATAGTAATCATAATATGAGCCCAACGGCACTTTTAGAAGCTCTGGATATTGAAGAGAAGGAGATCAAGTACATCGCCAAGAAAATCAAAATGACGCTCATGTCTACTTGGGGACAAAGGCATTTGGTTGGACTCACTGGTAAGGACGTTAAATTAAGTACCTACTTAATTTTGATACGTAAAGCAATAGTAAAAAATTATTTACAATAAAATACAACAGCACTTATCGTAACTTCAGACTCGTTGTCTGGCCATTATTTTTAATTTATAAGACAAATGGATCCGAAATCGTAATGATCCCATAGCACGAACTTTCCCCATGTTTAAATATAGGAGCCAAACAATAACAATGATAACAAATAACAAACAATAACATGTTTCGTCGATTTGGCGCCCTACAGGGATCGAGCTCCTTTGTTACAACGAGCCGGTCAAGATTCACCGAGCGTATGCATACACTGCATTCATTACTGAGGACCAAGCGGCGGAACATAGTAATCTCATAGAGTGCAAGAGTTTGTTCAACGGTAGGAACATCACCACCGACTTCGAAGACATGTGGTGCACGAACTTTGCGACCGGCAACAAATTCTGTCATATTGTTATGGAGCTGATGGAACCCACTGAGATTACCAGTAAGAAATATATCCAGTTACATATGTATAAAGTATAGCATGAGTCTCGACATTTTCCTTTTGCTTACATTAAAATTAAGGCTTTATCAAATAATTGTGTTAAATCAAGTCGTCCTCTTTATTTAATTAGGTATCCGTTTATGGAACTACAACGCGAATATGGAGCTCTCGTACATAGGTGCGAAACACGCGCGGATCTCCCTGGACGGTGCCCCACTAAACTACCGACCATTGTTACTACGCCGCGCTCCAGGAGACACATGCTATGATTACGTGCAGCAGATCGACTTGCTCGCTGTCGACGATAGGTAAGGTTTCTGTTGAAAGTCATCATAGAGTTTCGGCCTCATTGTCGAATTTGATTGGTCTAATGCTAGTACCTAAAGTTATTGATTTATTTATTGTGCCCCACACGGTCATTATTATTAATTATTAGGTAGATTCAGCTTTTTACTTCATTTCCCGCAAGTTTGGCCTATTCGCGAAAATATTGAAAACTAGTGAACGGTAAACTTTAACTCGTCGAGTACCGGTTTTGTAGACACAATTATAGAACAATAGGTTGCGGTCACCGGTGACCGCTTGGTGTTTGACAGTTTAAACCTTCCATTTAAAGTTTAAATATTGAAGTCAAGGTTTGAATACTACGATTCACGAGTAAAGTTATTGGACGGAAAGCTAACTGCACCATTGTTTCTTTGTCTTCCTAGGCTAGACGATGCGAAAGATACGGATAGCTTCCGCATGGATTGCTTAGTATACGGTACTAACCTGGATATGGGCGCTCCCACCGGCTTCGTGCTGCAGCTGAACATATTCTCCACTTGGGGCGACCCTTACTATGTCGGCCTCACAGGAGTCGAGCTGTTTGACCCTCATGGAAACTTGGTACCGCTCACTGAGACAAGTATGTCGAATGTTTGTAAATATTTGTGTTTCTTATGTACCAATGTCAAACTTAATCGGTAATTTCCAATCCGGTTTCCTCATCATATCGTCCAGAAGAACTTTCCAGTAACAATAGCCTCCCTAACGACTTCGGCCGATTGAAAGCGACCTCTTCTCACACCACAATTTTTTTGGCAATCCCAAAGTTGTTACCAATAAAAGAAATAATCAATGAAGGACTGACCTTGTCATCGGCCTAGGAATGCAGGAGCTTGTTCCTTAGATTCTCGTTTGTATCCCAGATGTATGCGCTCATCCAGCGAGTGTGAACGTGCTGGACCCGCGCGCTGCAGACGTGCGCACTCCGGACAAACTCATTGACGGACACAACGCGCGCGTCGGAGACGCTTCGCACTCCTGGCTAGCACCTGTACTACCACACACACTCAACAGGTCAGCACTGAACATTTTGTATTCACACATACCATTTCTTCTATTTCTTGTTGACCGCTAGTAGCTTCTTGGCTTAGCACATACGGTAGGTGTCATATGATAAAAGCCGTCATAGCTTGCGGTCTCCACTGAACCACTTCCATTAACTGCACACTGGCGGCGCTGAATATAAAGCTGTAAAGACGATAGTTGTGTCATAAACGTGTGTGTTATAAAATAAAACGTAAACGACAGTAGGTTTACGCACTATATTAATTACTTTGGGTAAACGTATGAGTATGACGAGACAAATGGTACCTGGTACTTGTACGCCAAATAACTAAAATTCCATAGCTCTAAAGCCGAATACAACTGCTAAGGTATTATTTCCTTAAGAAGTAAGCAGCAAGTAGGATTGTCTATAAACAAGCTACTTGTTCTAAATTGAATGTTACCTGACTGCTTCCAGGGTTTATTTTGTATTCGATGTCCCGGTATCCGTTTATGGTATCAAGATCTGGAACTATGGGAAAACTCCAACAAGAGGCGTCAAGGAGTTTGGAGTGAGTTGTGATTCATCAATTTTATAGTTAAGATTTATATTCGTTCGATGGTGTGATAAGTTCTTGAACTTTACTTGTCTTCTTGATCTTGGATCTTTTGGAAGTTGTTACTATTGAATTTTGATTGTGTCCAGGTTTTAATGGATGACTTGTTGCTGTACAACGGAACTTTGGACTGTGCCAAAAGTGATGAAAATCTCATGCCGCAGTGGTTCTGCTTGCAGAATTTAGATGTGGACACATTGACGCCGACGTGAGTAGTCCTCCAGGGTCCAGTCTACCCATTCAACTTTGCTAGTAGATCAGACAGATTTCTTTTCTTTTGATCTAGTTATCTCTAGGTCTTGTTAATGGTCGGTATACACTGGGTACCTTTATCAGGTCGTCGGAGATGAGCCAGCGGACGACGACGAGTGGTTCGAGCGAGAGCGCGGACCCGAGCGCGCGCCCACACACCAGCGTGCACCTGCTGCACAAACACTAGCCGCGCCCGCGGCACCGCCCGCCATGCATTAACTTTTATCTAATTCTGACAAAAACCATCCGCAGTAATGCTAAACTATACTATTCGTTACGGTCACAACACGACTAAATTAAACTCTGCCTTATTGAGTTACAACCGAATTTGCCCCATTATAGATTAATTCTTACTTATAAGATTTTGTTTAGGAACTAGATCGCATCGTTCAATGTGCTATTTTGAAGGTGAAGTTTGAAATTTCAGAGATTTCTTGTCAGTTAGTGTAAGATGGGTTTCTTTCGAGACGAGCGTAGTTTCACTTGAGCACTCGGTTTCATTGAAAATATGTTAGATGTTAGTAGGATATGCAGGCATGTAGTAATTTCGTAGACTGCGCACCCGCCAAACTAATTTAATCTTTATTTATTTATAACACGAACTAATTTTATATTTTAACGTATCGTACCTCATTACTTAGAATAAAAACGGTAAAATTGAAAGCTTGGACGTAAGTAAATACATATTGAAATGATTTGAATGTGTTGGAATATTTAATAATATAATATAATAGTGTCCGTCCAATATAAGTGTGGCCTGTGATGATGTTGCTAGTCGGAAATTGTTGTAATTAGTTACGTGACCGTGTAACGTCAATTTTTGTACCACAAAATAAATGATGATTTATAATCAAATTGTTTTATTTCATATTCAGTACCGATTTTTTTTTAAATAAAACCACATAAGTAAATTAAATTCAGCTTCATTTATTGTTCAACTACTAGCAATCACAGTTTATTATTGCAACTTGCAACATTATTGCAACTTGACGACAAAAAATCTTTAACAAGATTACATCTTTAACTTTGTCAATATTTGGTTCACTACTTATGATTTATATACATAGATATAATAGACAAGTCATCCAGTTGTGTCGATTATAATATTAACCAAATATAATTAATTAAATATTAACACAGCAATTTTTGTACTCTACAAGAGTAAACTAAAACAATATTACTTCAAGTTATTTGTACTAAAATCTTATTAGAACATAGGCAGTAGTTACGGCAGTTGAAATTAGTATCTATGAAGTAAGTAAGGTTCATTTTGGTTTGAAACCTTAGGCAGTTTTGAGGACACGATAGTTTGTGTAAAACACGGCTTTATTTACAGGTCTCAAGATTTATATTTCATTAAAACATTTAATTAAAAACAGGGCAGTAGATAGAATTATGTTTACATAACGCATTGACGCATTGATGTAAGAATAAGATTTTGGTACAAATAACTATATTCGTAACTACACTATAAAACATTTGAGACAACAAAGCGTAATCAATACAAAGCCAGTCTCAAGAAATCAATGGAAGAATGAAATACAAGAATGTACAAAATTTCTAAGCAGTTACCAACAGTAACATTTTATTAGAAAATTACAAAAGACCTAACAATATTCAAATATCCACCACGTGTTTACCTTCAGTCTATCTCTAAGTCCTTACATGGCAACACTTAATTTAAGGCGGCCATTTTGGAATTTCTCATTCGTATCAGTTGCCATTTCCCCGTAGATTTTTGTCTACTCCATTTCTATTCTTCATAGTGTCAATAAGTTTAACAATATTAAATTAATTTCTTGGAACTATTAACAGGCGGTAACCAAGTTTTAGGTAGATCAGGCAAAGCAATAACGTTCCCGCCCCTAGCATTTCTAACCGACTTATTTGATATTAAGTAATCATTTCATAATACTATATTGAAATTCAAATACATAATGGAAACATAAGCTCTGCATTACAATCACTAACATAGTTGAGAGGTAGGGAACTACTAGTCAAGGTAGAATTAGGTTTTGGTCATAACATGATGTCACTTTAACAATATTTGTTTAAGTTTCGATTGAATCCGTGTTTCCTTTAACTGAAGAAGTAGACAGACCTTAGAACGCTTTTGAGGTCGAAATTTCCTTTACTGGGCACTTGTTGTAGAAGGTTGTTCACGCGTTTCTTGTTCGCTGCGCCCACGCTTCTGTCTTCCAGTTCACTGGAAAATATTTAAAACTTATAGCGACCGTCCTCACCATAGACTTCACGAAAAATAAACATAACTTCAATAATAAAGTGGACAGAATTACTGACTCTATTTAATGTATATGGATAAACTCACCTCTCATCATAACTATATCGATTTGTGAGGAATTCTGATAAGTCTTCTAAGATCGGCTGTGAGTGCAGAGCTACGAACTGCTCACGGCAAATCTGTTACAATAAAATGATAATGTTAAATAATAAGTTTTTTTACGGATTCAATTTCTGTTATACAACTTTTAACTAACGTTACAAGTGAAATAAAATGTATAAAAACTTCAAGAACTAATTTACTGACAGACAACTTTTGAGTTCTAGGACAACTCAACTCAACTCAACGTTTGAAAAGTGCCTGTACCTTATGTGGATTCATCGTCATTATGATAGAAAACATCCATTGCTAAACATAGATCTCCTTCATACCTTTCCAAGTTGTAAGAAGCCTGCGGTTCCTTAAAACCTCTATTAAATCGTCGTTTGGTAATTAGAATAATTGAAAATGAATGACTTAGATTTACCTTATTCATGATATCGACGGTATTTGGATGCGTCCAGAAGCAGTCGTGTACAGAGACGAAGGTGACGGCGGCCGCCTCGCAGTGCAGGCCGGTCAGCATCATGTGCGACGAGTCCAGCGAGTGGATGAAGTTCGGGGGGAACGCGTTGCGCTGCTTCATGGTACACGGACGTCTGGAAACAGAGGCGGCTTTATTATTAACTAGATACTCCTGCGCGGTTCCACCGTCTCTGCTAGGCTCCTATAATTGATCGTAGCCTTCTGTCTTAATTAGTTAACATAACATAACATCACGGCTAGGCAGAAGTGCGCATTACGGCACTTAATGTCACTGTACCATGTAACACCCACTTTTCATTATTTATGTTATGAGTCCCATGTAATAGGGGGTGAGGCTATTGTCATATACAAAGCACAAAACTCCGTGGTACTACTGAGAATTTTTAAAAACACAGTAATACTTTGCCTGGCCCGGGAATCGCACATGCGACCACTCTGCCAACGAGGTCGTTCTTAATTAGTTAATTGAAACATATTTGAAATAGGAATTTAGACAGACAGAGAGAAACAGTTTTAAGTTTCCTAATACACTTAAAATCATGCTTGCTTAGTGTATTTCAAAAACGTACTTTATGTTGTGAGCCGTTTAGACCTGCCCTTTTCATAGAACCTAGATCAATGGTGTCTACTTACTGATGCTGGTCTAATGCCGGTCGGTACTGTCCGACGGAGGGTCCCGCTCTCCTGTAGTAAGGTTGCACTACGGGTAAGCCCAGTGGAGTCACCCACTCTACACTCTCGCCACATACTGCTGATATTAGCCTGTAAGAAAGAGTTTAAACAGTGAACATTATTATTCAAAAAATCGATAGAATAAATAAACAGTATGAAGTGGATCATTTTCCGTAACTTGAATACAAAAACTATTGATAAAGGATGACGGGCAGATACCTATGTTTGGAAAATGTACCTATCGAACAAAAATCGACCAGACGTGTTCGTTAGAAAGCTCTATTCATGACTATAATTTGTTATTATAGGGCCTAGTTTCAAATCGTTATGGGGAAAATGATATAGTACTTAACAGTTTGACTGCTGACAGAAAACTGTTGAAGGTAAATTCTCCACTATCGTGGCCTATACCTTGTCCCCTATGGCGTTCAAGGTGTTAAATGATATCTAGTCTAGGACATGGAGTAATGTTGGGTCCACCTCTACAGGTACATTCTGCACGTCATCCTTTGTGAACTAATTTAGTAGCTCGTAAGTTGCTTATGGGTAGGCGCGCTATCTTTGACCGTATCATCACGTATGATCAGTGGTACAAAAGTCGCTTCTTTGTGCAATAAAAAAATACCAGCCATACATTTGCATTAGCTAGTTTAAAGTGACTAATTTAACATGTAAAATAAACTCACTTGGCGCAGTCAGTGAACCAGTCCTGTATGAGTTTGGTGGATGTGAACATCTCGCGTAGACTGTCGAAGGTTTTCGTCGTCAGGTACTGAGAGCACGCCCATACATGCTCCTTCGGGAACTCCTCTATGTCTGGAAACCAAAAGGTATATATGTTTAAACTATAATTATAAGCCGATATTATTATTACTTAGTCGGTGACGGACTGACGGTGGTGACGGCAGTGCAGTGTATGGATATCACCACCGTTACTCTTTAAACTGTCAAACACCAAGCGGTCACCGGTGACCGCAACCTATTGTTCTATAATTGTGTCTACAAAACCGGTACTCGACGAGTTAAGTGGGTGAAATTTTCATATGTATGATGTATGATCAAACGAATAGAATATTTACCTTTTAGTTGCTTAGCGATCTGCAGCCGGGCTCCGAACTTGGTGACTCCATACACAGTGGTCATGACAGTTTGCTTAATGACCTTCCTTCGTACAAAGTTCTCCAGGATAATGGCTGCTGGCACTCCGGCAGCTGCGTCACGAGCTCTCATTTCTTCTACCTGTGTATTAGGACGGCTGTTAACATTTGTATGGATCTAATAGTACTACTTCGACGACGAGGTAGCTCAACTGGTTTCATGCTATACTGGGGACCAATAGACGTGGGCAACATGGGCGACGCTGCCAGTCATTATTTTAAAGAGACTTTAATCTGTAATATTCCTATATCAGCATAATTCTGGAGTTTAAAATAGGTTTTTTTGATGTCCCTATCCTTAAGGTAATGTTCCATAAAAACCAGGTTAAGAAAGATTGTCTCAAACACGATAAGTATCACTTGAAACAAAAAAAAACCACAATAAATAATAAAATAAGTTACCAAAGCAGCGACAGCGCTGTAGACGTCCTGCGGGCGGGCGAGCGGCGCGAGGTTGACGGCGCGCGCGCCGGCCGCGTCCCCGCCCAGCGCCGCGTAGTGCTGCAGACCGTTGCAGGACCCGTCCTGGTGCACCGGGAACCCGCACAGGTACTCTACACAACACGAAGTGTATACGTTTATTACTTTGGAAACTTTAACATTCATTTATTCTCGAAAACGGTATGCAACACATCAAATCATCATCATCAACAGCCTATAAATGCCCACTGCTGAGCAAAGCCTCTTCTCATACGGAGAAGGTTTGAGTATTAATCACATCAAATATTAATATAAAAATTATTTATTTTTACAGGTTTTAAAATTCGATAAATCTAAGTAAGTACAAATCTTATGCTCAATAAATCAGTTTCTACTCCTGTAAAATTAAAGAGCCCATAAATTTTGTGACCTGTAAATTTAGAAATGAACATCTGTCAATTAATGATAATGAAACAACACAAAGGCAGTATAATTTTGAATTAATTACAACCTAAAAGTACTAACGAAAACCAAAAATTATAATAATATGTACCTACCTTCATGATTAGGCGATCGTACAGCGTTAGCTATCTCCATACAACAAGCGAGTGTCTGCCAGGGCTCCTCGGACTCCGCCCACCATCGCTGGCCCTCCAGCGGACGGTCTGCTGAGTCCAGGATCTTGTCCATTATACTGTCTGCATATGCCAATCTGTAGAACAAAGATTTTTGGATATAGCATTGGGTAAACGAGCACGGATCATTTGATAATAAGCAATTGGGAATTAGAGATTTGATTTGAGGGATTGTAGGTAGAGTGGGAGCATCAAACCTCTAGTGTGCACTATTTATTAGTTAATTGAATAACTATATACCAAGGGTAATAGCCACAGTTTGGGTTAATTTTCAATTTCTTCAATTGGAACTGGCTTAACATGCTCTTTTTAATGTTAAAATTCTGATCCCATTTTCAAGCAGAAATAAAAATCAACATGGCAAAGTGAGTCACCTCTCATCGACAGTGCTCTTCTTCATAGTGCCGGTGAGGTTGACGGCGTGCAGTTTGAGCCAGCGCAGTCCGCGCGGTCCGAGCGCGCGCGGCCGCGCGAAGGCGAGCAGCGCGCGCGCCGTGTCGGCGCCCAGCGCGGACACGTGCGGCCCGCACGCGTACACGCGCCCGCGGAAGTCCAGGTTGTGCGGCAGCCAGAATACCGAGTCCCTGGGACAAAATATACGGATTACAGCGTGTTTTACCTGTTACCTTAACTAACATATGTTTTAACAAATTGCCTTTGGCAGAAATGCGTTAAATTTAGATCAATGAAAACTTATCTAGAAGTGACAAAATAGGTCTTGTAACTGTATAAAGACCTAGGACTTAGATTCTAACACTTGGTTGGACTAAGAAACTTTCAACTAATCTTAAATTTAACACACCTTTTCTGTGAAATAACACCAGACCCAAAAATTTTTACAAAACATGCCGTTTTTGATAAATAGAAAGAAAGAAAAAAGGTTTATTTGCATAACATCACAAAGTACGGCAAATAACACACAAAAAATTAAACAGTGAAGACGGCGCAAAAATGCCAGAGCTCAGCTTAAATGCCGTGACCCGAGTGCGTTCGAGTCGCGGCGCATTAAATACATTACAAAATACGCCATATACGTATATTTATTGATATTAATCTTTAAAATGAAATCTCTACTCGTCGAGTACCGTCATTATAGACACAATTATAGAACAACAACAGTTTAATTGGTAAAAATATCCCATATAGACTTAAACTGTCAAACACCAAGCGGTCACCGGTGACCGCAATCTATTGTTCTATAATTGTGTCTATAATGACGGTACTCAACGAGTTAAACAAGTAACAAAATTAAACATACCTATAGTGGTTAGCAAGCGATAGTTTATACAGCGCGTCACACCACAGAGAATGCATCTCAGCGCGCGCTCTGTTGATGGCGACGCGACGTTTGAACGCGGCCGCCGCGTCTGAACCAGTTTGGAACTGAGACGTATCTAGTTTTGATGATGGAGGAGCTATGTCTAGCTTCTTGTTGCCACCTTCCCTGTAAGATAAGTGTCGCTTTAGTAAGCTTTATGTTATTCGGCGTAAAAATTTATTAAACAAGGTTTTGCTAAGTCATTATTGAACTAAATTTTGAGAGAGTCATGCTTCGGCACGAATCGGCCGACTCGAATGGAGTGATACCACGGCCTCACAGAAAATAGACGTGAAATAACGCTAGCGTTGTGTTTCGTCGTGTAAGTGAGGTTACCGGAAGCCCAATTGCCTTAAAGTCTCCCCACTCCCTAACTCTCCAACTACCCTCAAATACCGAATCCCCAAAAGGCCGGTAACGCACTTGTAACGCCTCTGGTGTTCCATGTGTCCATGAGCGACGCCGATTGCTCATCGTCACGTGATCCGTCTGCTTGTTTACTGGCTTATCTCATAAAATAGCTTATTTTAAGGAAAGCTTTTTTACGTCAATAGGGAATGCTAATGTCAAAGTATAGATCTATTAATAAGATATTTGATTCTATTAGGCTACACTTTATAAAACTTTTGATAAATAGAGCGATAGGACTTTGAACTTCCCCAGCGTCATCTAGTGAACGCAAAATTATTATTCGACAGAATTTTACTTTAGCCTCCCCATTAATTGGAATAATTTTATTTTAAGATACCTAATGAGGTTGCCTGCTTGAGATAGAGATGGATGGATAGCTGTTTACAGTTATTTTCAGAAACACTCTAACAATTAATAAATAAGCCATTATATTAACATCTAAGTAACAAATATTAAAAGATAATTATAGTTTTAAAACATGTGGCTTACCTGAATATCTTGATCTGCAAGTCCAGTATACGCTTGTTGATGACCCAGGGCACTTCGCCCAGTTGGTTGAGACTGTCCAGGACTGGGTACAAACTCTCTGGTGGCGCAGACTCAAGACGCTTCCATTGACTCATCACGTAGAATGGCATTCTAATTGGAAAGAAAAATATTAGCGCTAGTGCGTGGTGCTATTGGTCAAAAGAAGCTCAGCCTATTTAATGCTTATTATTGGTTCATTGGAGCCGGCTAATCATAGCGTCGAACGCGGTTTCGTGTCGATCTCGTTAAATGTACAAACTCGTACTAAGCCCTTTGAGCCCTGAGTGTGGCTTGAAACTAGTCGAGTTACCTGGTCCATATGTATTTGAGTAAGTCAGAAAGCATAATTAATCGAAATATTGGTTAGTTATACAAGTTTTTAGTTACATAGGCTTAGTAAATAATTATATTAGGGGATTGCTGGTAGTAGTGTGTAGTACTAGTTTACCTGACGAATGGTGTGGGGGTAACAAGATAAGCCCCCTTGGCGGGCGAGGCCCAGGGCGCGGGCGGCGCGGCGGTGGGCGTGAGCGCGGCGCGCATGCGCAGGCCGGGCGGCGCGGCGCCGGCCCACACGCGCGCCAGCACGGGGTGCGGCTTCAGCTCCAGCCGCACCACGCGCGCCCACGGACGGTGCACCTTGTACACCGCCGGGAGCTTCTTCCTACGGGACAACACTCTCAATAACAACACTTACACATACTTCCTCTCATTTAAGATAACACTTCTATCAACAACAACACTAAATTATTCTGCTAATACATAGATTTTGGCCTTTGTTACAAAATAACAAAGTTGAAATTCTGTTAAAGAAATGCCAATAGATTGACTTTAACATTCGTTACATTCGTAGAAAATTTCCAGAGGCGCGAGTGAATACGATGATCATGTGAATACGAGATGGAAGCCAAGCGTAAAAAGTGATCCATTGCATTAAACAAAAACAGTAAGGGAAATAAAATCGTTATCACTTACTCTTTAGCAGCTTTACTCTTGAACATGTTGACGTCAATCTTGACGTCGTTGATGATGATATTATACAGGAACTTGCCGACGTTTTGTTTCATTTCCATTGGCCATTGCGTCTCCTCGATATCCTAAACAATTAATAATGTTCATAAAAACGTTTTCTTATCGTCGGAAAGAACTAGAATGTCAAATTGGATTATTTTATATATATATGCTTTATTGTCCACATTTATGTAGCTTAAAACAAACAACCATACATGTTAAAATAATACATAGACACAGTTTAACATAGTCGTAGTCGTCAGAGAGGATTTGTATATCTCCCACGGGATTAGGCAGAGATTATGTTAAACTGATGTATAGTTAATTATGTTTCACGACTTATTCATGTTACTATTTGACGAGGCAGCTCGATTAGTTTCAAGCCACGCTCGGAACTCATAGTCATAAACAGCATTGCTCAACAAATAATGCCACATTTGCCGCGTCAAACATTTACGTGAATAAGCCGCGTAAAGTATAATTATTATACAAAAACTAAATTAAATAACATAACATCACGCCTTTTATCCCCGAAGGGCTAGGCAGAGGTGGACATTATGCCACTGTACAATGTAACGCCCACTTTTCATTATTTATGTTATGAGTCCCATGTAATAGGGGGTGAGCCTATTGCCATATACCGGGCACAATTCCAGACACGGAGTCTGGGAATGGGCTACTACTGGGAATTTTTTGAAAAACCCAGTAATACTTTTGCCCGACCCGGGAATTGAACCCGAGACCCCTTGCCCGGCAGTCGCACTTGCGACCACTCGGCCAATGAGGCAGTAAATTAATAAGATCCAGAAATTTAAGTATTTCTAATTATAGTATCAAGGTTTATTTTACACTGAAATATCTAAGAGACATAATTAAATATTATTTGCATTTTAATAGTAAACTCACCAAGCTAGCCCCTTCTCTATTCATATGTACGAGTGCCTGCCACGCCTGGCGTCCGTTGTACGGCGCGCCCGTCCCGTCCACCGAGTGTCGGTTCACGTACCACTCACAATACTTCGCGTAAACACGCTCTATCTTCTGCAGGATACCGTTACGACGATATTGCTCAATTTGATACCTGAGGCAGAAATGTATTGTTAATAGTTTTAATGACAACTGAATCTATCTTAATGTCGGTGGATTAAGGTTCACATTGCCATGGAGTCATGTAATTCATTAAAAAATATAATAAAACAACGTTATTTAGATCCATCTCGCTTCATCACTGCCATAGTAGGCGGTGCTCCAGCACCGCCTACTATGGCAGTGATGAAGCGACAGTTATGGAATCAAAAATGGAGTAGTTGATTTTCATTTAGCATGTAGAATTTTCAACCTTATTTCAATGGAATAAAGATTATTATGTTGTTATAGGACTGCTTTATGAAAACAAAATTCGATTCCCTTTACAAATCTGTCATACGTAAAATATACAATTAAGGTTAACTAAATCTTGTATTCACGATAACAAAATTAAACTGAAGTGCATCGAATGACTTACTTCTGATAGACTTGTGCTCCTAGATCTCTCTGCAAGAGTTTCAGTGTAGGACTGTATGTTTCACTACCATCCACTAGCTTGGACAGTTCCCCCATTATTAGATCTACAAATTGATCTACCTGTAACAACATTGTATCATTATTTACACACATTTTTTTTCTATAGTAAAGCTAAAGTTGTTTGGTTCAATGCACTGATCTCCAGAACTACTAATTCGAGTTTAGAATTTCTTTTCGTGTTGGACAGTTCATATATCGAGGAAAGCCGTAAAACATGAGGCGCTAGTAGAAGCTAAGCAAAGTCACAATTTGTTAATGTCACCAACATTTTAATAGAAAAGCGATTAACTATTCTGTTCAATCAAAGGTTGCAAACTTGAAAATATACGTCACAGAAAAAATATCCAATCGGTGCGCGTTACTCGTACACCCGTGTGTACAATTGAGCGATGGGCACTCAACTCTCTCGTACACCCGTGTGCACAAGAAACACGCGAGAGGACAAAGTACTCATAAGTGTTTTAAAATCAACCTTTTTCGTCTTATAAGGTCACAAAAATGTTAACACAGCTACAGTATTAAATAAAATTTCCAGCTTACCTCTAAAACTTTAAGATATGGATACAGTGTGATAGCAGTATGCGAGGCACTGCTCTGTGACTTGAGCGTGCCGAGGTTACGTATGAACGACTCCTTGATCACACTGCGCCATTCCTTCTCCGTCTCTGCCAGTTTTTGTCTCTGAAACACAAAAATTACTAGGTTAATCATCAATTATTAACAGCTCATTAAATCCATCGTTGGGCTATGTACCACATAAGTGAGGTTTTTCATCATCTCCACGCTTAGCAAGCAACTTAGAGATCGTAATTTGCGATATTTATCACAGATCGCTGAAGCTCGATCTCTGTGGTAGCTTAGTAATGATGACAAATGTACAAACAATTCGGCATTTAATGTGTTAATCTTCTATGAAACAATAACCAATTAGAGTTTGTTACTTACACAAAACTTCACAGACTCCGACTCCTCATTTTTAACACCAATATTCTGTATTTCGATCTCTCCTTTAATTTCAATATTCAATTGTTCCTTGCCTTTCTGGATCATTTCTTCTAAGGACAGTAGACCTTCAGCGGGTGACGTCATCAGGCCTTGTCTGTTCTCCACTTTGTCTAATGTAATATTGTTAAGTAAGGAGCAGTTGTAGTCTAGTACTGGAGTTGTGTATTGAGGTTGGAAGTCTGGTTCTATCCTATGGATGGCCTTTAATACTACTTCTCGTTGGTCGTACAGGAATTTTGTTTTGTCTAACAAGTCGTTTAGTGATATGTCCTGTAAATAGGAATATAATTTTAATTTGAGTCAACAATGGTTTCTAAGAGTAAAGTAACTACAAAAGCCTCACATTTGTAGCCTTGCAAACAAATTAAAATACTTAAAATTAACTTCAAGTCTCTCACTCACTTACACACCACTCACTAAGACTCACAAGATCAAAAGCGACTACGGAGCCTCTATCCTTACGATACATAAATATTATAAATCGGAAAGTGAGTTTGTTTGTTTGTTCTGCTTTCACGCCGTAACTACTAAACCGATTGCTTTGAATTTTTGCAGACATAAAGTTAGAAGTCCGGATTAAATAATAGGGTAATTTTTATCCCGGAAAAATTTGATATTCCCGAGGGAAAACAAAAGTATTGGTATAAATGGCATTGTATGTATTGGTATATGTCACATAGGCTACGTTTTATCCTTTTGTGACGCGAGCGAAGCCGCGGGTAAAAGCTAGTAACAGAAATAAATAATTACACAATTAAATTACCTTTTGTTTCATCTTCTGTTGATAATGTTGCAGCAGTTCGAATTTGTCTTGTTCCTCACTTCGCTCCACACATTCGAACATCGCCGCAAACGTCTGAGGGTTAGGTTCTACTCCATCTTCAGACATGTGAGAGAGCAGTTGCTTGGCGTTATCTAGCATACCCTGTAAAAATAAAAAAAAAAAGTAATAATTAAGATCCTATGATGAAAATGGTTGTTTAACTCGTCGAGTACCGGTTTTGTAGACACAATTATAGAACAATAGGTTGCGGTCACCGGTGACCGCTTGGTGTTTGACAGTTTAAAGTGTCATAGATCTATACTTAACATAAAAAAGAAGAAATATTTTATTGTTTCTTCATATTGAATAAGCTCCTACTTAACTACTGATTCTGATTGTTTTACCTTTAGAAAATATAGTTTTCAGAGGAAACATAGTCTACTTTTATCCTTATTTTCCCATTTTACTAGGGTTTACTCGAGAATAATGACTGATTATTGTGTTATATAAGCATGATATTATTATTATTACTTACAGTGTACGCATATCCATGTAGTAATGTGTTGTAGACTTTGACGTCGTTAATTTTGGGATGGCTGGCGACCCTCGAGCCTCTCTGTCGGTAATACTGTAGCACTTGTTGGGCCTGTAAAAATTACAATGAACGTAATAATGTGTACTGTAGTGAATAAATTCTATGTAATATGATACATCTAGTTACAATAGTTTGTTTATCTTTAGAAAATACAAGTATGGTGTTTTGGTTTTGTGTAGGGATGTCGATTATGGTCTACGTCTCTATTTCATACTAGAATTGGTTTTTGTAAATGAGTAATAGCTTGAAGCCTGGAATAGAGATGGGTGTAAGGCAAAATAGACTCCATTCATTCGGGGAACAAAATGTGTAAAAATAACATATTTTTTAAAATGTAATAAGTATTCGAAACTAAATGTTATGTTCCATTTTTGGGATTACATCCAATCCCCCATTCGTCTTCGCTTATCGCGAGACGCGCATGTCGACGGTCAGCGACACCTTAGATAAGATAACAGAGATTTTCGCATAAAAACTAGGTTACAAAGATTCGTAAATATTTTGACTCTATATTTTTAATAATAAATATCTTCCGGACAACTGATGTCAAAACCATTTATAGAACTATTTTTATATCGCTACTTCTAGTAGAAACCGAACCATAGTTACTTAGACAAATAGACGCGACCTACATACAGCGTTCAAGCGTTGACGTTATTATTGTGCTAATTGACCCAGAAAGTCCGTGCTAACGACCCTCAAACAACAATGGTTTAGACACATTTTCAATGGAAACCACATATCCAGACAAGTACTGTTGTTGTTATTTTAATATGAGCAATGAATAAGTAGCAAGAACCTCCCACTGTTTTTTCACTTCTCTCTGCACAAAGCTATCTGCTGTCATTACTTGTTTTAATTTAAAAAGTATTTAGTATAACAATGGTTTAGAAACACTTTACTTGCATAGCAACTGAAACCCTTGTATAGGTACACAATTTATGTTTGGTTAAACTTGATCAAAATGAGTGATTACTAGAAATACTGTCTATATTCAATAGAAATAGGGAAATTGATGGAAAAAAGACTATTCAAAATGTTTACCTCTTGTATCATGTTCAGTGAGCAGAGTAGTTGCAGATGTGCTGTGAGCACTCGATGCAAGGATTCTTGCTTGCCTTGCCGCTCTACATCTTTGATATCATGCTTCATACTCAGCTCTTGTTTGGCTCTTCTCTTGTCACGTTTTGCTTTAATTTTGTCCCTCATCTCTTTTTTTCTGTAAATGCAATAATTGGATTTATAAGACACATTTAATGAATATATTATTTCTAAAAAATTTGAGCAGAAGTATATATTTTTTCATCAAATATTCCATAGCTATCGTTGAAAATACTATTTATAGCAAATTAATAAGTGTTTGTTATTTATTTATTTTTTTGAGTTAAAAAAATTATACTTACGCCTGTTTAATTTTCAATGTTTTAGAAGGAGTAGGTTCATGGCTAGGTTCCATATCAAGGTATTCCGGGTTGTCTACTATTTCATTGTGTAAAGCTGGATCATCATAGATATCCTCTATTGCTGGGTGTGCTAAGCCTTGTGCTCTGAAAGATTAGGAAAATATTATAACTAAGGTTAAAATATTATAAATAAGGTAAGGCAAATAAATTTTTTGATTACTTATTTGGATATTGATAAATAAATTAATGCAATATACTTACTGCATATTGGTAATGTGGCTCACTAGTTCTTGATCATAGCTATCTAAATGGCTATCAACAAAAAGTTCTCTAAACACTGCATGAGGTCCCTTTGGTAAGTGATCCAAGTGTTCATCCAACTTGAGGTCATTTTTACTAGATATTGTAGCATTCAGATCAAACTCTTGAGTCAACCCTTCACTTATTGCATACCTAAGGTCTTGCAACTTCTGATCATAAAGGGTAGCTTTTCTAAAATCATAGTAACTTTCTTTTACCATATCTATGTATTGTTTCGTCTTGAATTTGTCCTCAAAATTAGATAATGGATGTGCAGTGTAAACAAGTGCACATTTATCATCTTCTAACATAATGTCCGAGGAGGCTGCCTTCTCAGAACTAGTTTTTGATGACACCTTCGTAGGTGTTTTCTTTAAAATTTTGTCCCTCACTGTTTGAAGCAGTTCAGGGTCCACTTCAGCCACTTTCAAGTTCTTTGGAGTCTTTGTAGTGAGTTGATGTAACTGACCAAGTGACACTGGACTAGAAGCTAACTTAGACAGATGTACAGCTCGTAACTTGCTTATTGAAACCTTAGTTTCAGTCATAGCCTGGTCACCAACTATAAGAATAAAATGAAAATATTTAGAACAATTAATTATTTAATATGCAATATCAGTGATAAAAATGTAAACAAACCATACCTTCAAGTAATTCCGCATATTTGTGATAGTTCTTTCGTTTAGCCTTTTTTCTTAGTGAACTGAGTAGATTAGCCGTTTTCGTAGATTGGTGTCTCACAGTATATAAGTTTTCTAGAAAAAATATACTTGTTAGACATGTTATGCAACTGGATAACCTATATATAGTGCAAGTAATTATATTCTTTAATATATGGTAGCTACATTATATCACAAATTGTACTATAAATATGATTTACCTGCACCCACACGGCCTAATAAAATCCTTCGGCAAAATGAACATTTTATTTCCGTATTTGACGTACTTTTTAACGTATTATTAGAAGGCAGCGAAACTCCATGTAAAGTACTTTGGTACAAATTTCTGGCATATGCAATTCGATGCATTGTCGCCGATTTAATTCAAAAATACAAGTAAATAGTGTAAAACATGCCGAAATGTGTAAAACCACGTGAAAATTGTAGGACGAATCGCAGAACCAAAATAATATCCTAGGGATGTCCTCCCGCTTGTCATTCTTGTCAAATCAAAACTGTCATAAAAGTAGACCTCACGAACCGTAACTGTGTGTTTAGTCGATTTTTAACGAGTACAGTGTTGCAAGCCGTTAAAATGTGTCATCCACTCGACTGATCCACTCACAGCCTGTCATATAAAATAAATATCAAAACAATTCGCCAACTTGCCATATTTTTGTACCATTTTGCAAAATAATAATACAAATACTTGTGTATATAAAATCGTCTAAATAATTATTATTCCGAACCCACCAAAAAACTTATATCCATAATATGGAGGATAAAACCTTTACATGTGAGTGGTTTAGGCCTTTTGGTCATTACGAAGAAAGCAGTTCGTTGCTATTAGATGAAGGATTTACTAAATGAGTATGTTTTATGTATTATAGGGACATCTGACCTCAATAAGAGACTATTACAACTTCGTTTTGAAAATGACTGGCTTTTTAAAAGTAAAAAGCAACCTTGGAGGTGAGTATCAAAACAAAGGTTTCTATGTAGAGATTGTAGTTGGAGTACGTTACCTACTATATCGTCAAACTTTCCATTCTTTTTCATTCAAAGAAGACTCAAAGTAGAGAGGGATCCACCCTCACTGCTTTGAATCACACTTTTGTTTTCATTACAATATAAACAACATTAAACAAACATAACTCATGCAAAACCCATAAAATGTTTATCTATCTTTAATCATTTTTTTTTGTATTGTTCCAATACTGAATTGTTAGTGGCCAGTTACTTTCCATTATTTTTAATTATCGAGTGTGAAATTAGGAAAAGAATGTAGAACTATCAACAATATTGTTATGATTAACAATAATATTATTGTTTCTATTGCCAGTGAATTTCGCAAATTACTATTGGAAAATGGATTCCCAAATGAAATGACTATAGACCATGTCAGAAAGAAGTGGTCATACACTTATGATGTAAGTATTTAACAATGGGTTAATTATTATTCAAATTAAACAATAGGACCAATAGTTAAATACAACATTGATTGTTATTGCATACCTACATAATTATAATTGCAAATATTTTGATGATGTTGTCTATTACCCAATAACCAAAGTTTAGTAGGTATGGCAAGCAGAACAGGATGTATGTATAGTTTTATAATTAATTCAAATAACTTCTTGCAGATGTACAAAATAGCAAAGAAAACAAATAACAAGAGTTGGAAATATTTTAAAATATTCGATAAGCATTTTGGTAATAATGAAATATTGGATAAGTATGAATCATGTAAGTATTTGAACAATTTATCAGTTTCTTATAAGAATCTATTACAATAATTAGTCTATCATGTACTTTCCATGATATCCTACAGAAACAGACAGGAATTATCCAAACATCCTGGCTATGCACCTAAAGAATAATAATACCATTTTAAAGGCTAAAACAAAAAGCCCCGAGAGACCTTTAAGGGTCGAAATATAAAGGGTCCATGTTAGTGCAGTGGTTGACCCTACAAGGCCAATAAATCTCTAGACCATAACTATGCTGAATGTTTACAAGAAACATTTCAGAATAACATATAAATAAAAAAAGAAATTGCTAATAGAACATTTAAAATGGGAGTTTTAATTAAAATCCTCTCTCTCTTAAATCAATAGGCAACAAATAATTGGACCCTGTTAACCAGAAAAGATCCAGCCTACATTTGATTACTTTTGAGTAAATGAAGTTTAATGTTGGGCAGATAATAAAAAACTTATGACACAAACCTAGTGAATAGGACTTTAAAAACTTCATATGATTACTTTAAACTTCATTTACTAAAAAGTAATAAAATGTGGGCTGGATCATTTCTGCTTAAAAGGTCCAATTATAAGTTTAAAATTTTTATCTTTCACAGCATCTTAAGGCTTTCGCTTTCCTTACTTTAAGATAACAATGAAAACTTATTTTTGCAGACTGCTGCATGAACTTATTCATGAAATGTGTCTAACAAACATCTTCATTTACAGGGAGTGATGAATGGCGGCTAAAATTAATAATCTGTGTCACAGAAACTAAGGAAATGAAGCTGGATCCTATGACGATGTGGAAGTAAATATAATATTAAATATCACAATACTTTACTATTCATAGTTGGATTCATGATTTAGTTTATTGTACATACATGACTTATCTACAACACAAATGGAGGAATGTAAATAAGTTGTCTTTTAGCGACTATTCTATTGTTCTTACTTATGCCTAGTAAAAAATATGCAGTGAAATTACTCAATCAAATCTTTGCCTTATAATTTAAAATTTACAGAGATTTTTTTTGTCACTCTCACTTCAGTTTCCGAATATTTATGGAAGAATGAGACAAAAACAACCACATCTCGAACTATTCTCTTTTTTTACTAATGACTTTTTTGTATGTTTTTCTTTTTTAGGACTGTTGAGAGAGCCATGAGATGTCAAGATCTGCCTCTGGACTGCTGTGTGCAGGACATGAAGGGACTGTGGCATCATATTAAAATTACTTTTGGTGTAAGTATCTTTAGAAATTAGTTACCTACTCTAATTATGCATTATCCAATCAATTTTTTAAGTAACATCACGTATTTTATTCATTTATTTGGGCCTCCGGTAACCTTACACAGACGACGAAACACAACGTTGTTTCACGTCGGTTTGTGAGGCCGTGGTATCACTCCGGTCGGGCCCGCATTTGTGCCGAAGCATGGCTCTCCCACACTTAAAAGTCTCTGTTGTAGTATGTATGTAAAGACAGAAACGTGATGTATGAAATGCATTAACCATTGTTACAGAGAAAACATCGTATGAAACTAAAAAAGAGTTCGGAACGAAGTGAGTGGCCGTTGTATGACACCATGTATTCTTACTTCGAGAAGTTTGAGCCTGATGTTCTAACCAGGTTAGAAGAACAGGGCACCTGTGGGAACAGAATACCTTGTGCTAGATTTTTTAAACATAATAAGAAGAACAGCGATAAAAACGAGAGCGAAAATGAAACTGAATTTCAATGTAAGTATTTTTTATTTATTTTGCCAATTTAGCATGATTGACAATAGCTTTTCTCAGTATTTTCACGTAAGTAACTCCCGATTTTTACTTAATTTAATATTGTACTGTACAGGGTCTAAGGATATCACAGAAACGTTTATCCAGATCAGGTTACAACATGACTGGCTGTTCAGACAGAAAAAATGGGCGTGGAAGTGAGTAATAGTTATCACAATTCATAGAGTCTAGAGTAATCTAAATGTATGTCACTAAGTTCAGTGTCAAGTTAACTTTTTCACAACATAAAATTGTATTATATTTATGTAAGGTTCAAGGTCTACATTGTAACTTCAATTACATAAAAATGACGTGTAGAAGTGCGAAATCCCCCTTACTTAGAAGTTGATATCCAATAATTCGTATCAAATGCCTATTTTTATTTTTTATGTTTTAAACAGTGAGTTGCTGAAAATCATGGTTGAGGAATATGGCTTCCCTAAAACGTTGACATCAAGAGAATTGGGAAGAAAATGGGCGTCAACGTTTTCTGTAAGTATTACTAGGTGATACAACTCCAATTCTTAGAAATGACAATTTTTTAACTAAAACGAAAATTGTTTGCGAAACTATGTTTGCGAACTCGATTTCGAACCTTACGGAGCAAAGAATAAAGAAGAAACATTATTTTGCCAGGAATATCAAAAGGCCAAGGCGACGAACAATAAAACTTGGGTGTACCACAACTTATTCGAGCTGTACTTGGGTGAATCATCGAACCTTAGCTTGAATCCACTCGTTGACTGTAAGTGCACTTTCACTCTTTTTAAACACATTTCTTAAGCTTGCTTAAAAACTTAAATTATTATTGAAACGTGTCAATAGCCTTTCAATTGCTCATATTTTAGCGACAACCTACGCAACCATAAATTAGCAAGTCTATCCATTTAAAACTCCTTTTAACACAACCTAATAGATATTTATTTAGACTACATTTTTTGAGTCAAGTAGGCTTTTTTAACTGGCGAACTAGTGAATAAACGCTGTCTGATTATAAAAAAGCAATCGTAGGCGATTATTTTAATACATGGTGCTATCCCCCCAGTTTGGGTCCCCCTAATGGGTCCGTGGACAAAAAGCTGATTTTTTTATCCCCGTGGTAGGTTTGTTTGTCAATAGGTTCACCCTCACATGTCATCTTAATAGACGAAATGAGGATGTACTGGACATATATATAAATACATTTATACCTATCCTTCAGACTTCTAAAGAATATTATCTATGTCTTTTAATCACATCGTACTCTTAATGGTTTTGTTATAAAATATTAACTTTCTAATAAAGGGCAAGAAGAATGGGTGTTCAATTTAATCAGCGCCCGGACAAACTTGGAACATACGTTTAGAAGTTTTAAGGACCCCCAGCATGGATGGCGGTATGTATCATGTAATCAGTCACTATTTAAATACACTTTTATTTGAAAATAATTATTTTTCTTCTTCATTTAGTGAGGTTGAGAAAATGTTAAGAAGTATCGGATTACCGTTGGACCACAGCTTATTGGATCTGCAAGAAATATGGCTACATCTGATAAAAACGTTTAAGGTAATCTAACGAACATGCTTCAAGTAAATTCTTGTAATATTTTTGTAAGTTATTAATTTGTGCGTCGCTCTATTTTAGTGGAAAACAAAATTTGCAAATAAAGGCATTCTAAACGAACAGTGGCCTTACTTCGAAGCTATGAGTCGATATTCAGAGATACAAGAGAAAAATGCAATTAAAAAGCAGAAAATTGAAGAGAGTGATCATTACGCTGATGCTACAAATGACGATGATTTCGAAGATGATATGAAGTTATTGGACTTGAAACAAAAATTGCAGCTTCAAGTGCAGCCTAAGTTTGAAGAAGAAGACGATGATTCGGATCGATGTCGATCGTGCTCCAATCTGACAGCTTCCATAAACATATTTGAACAAACAGATGATGACGGATTTGATGTCGCTCACAAGCTCAAACTTATAGGAGGAATTGAGGTAAGTTTATTAAATAGTACATTACATTCTATTATTGATAATATTGCAGTTAGTAAAATTTGTCTATCTATTTGTCCTAGGTCGAAAAAACAGATAATCTTCCGTCCCACATATGCCTAAGCTGCCTCGAAATGCTAGAAAGTGCTTACAAATTCAGAAGAAAATGTCAAGATATTGATAAAATGCTCCGTGGTACGGCACGACGTATCAAAGTAGAAATGGTCGATAAACATGACCTTAATGAGACACACAATGATGACCAAGGAGATGACAGTCATGATGTAGATGAAGTTGAAATTACCTTCGACCAGATACCTGGTGACATGGTACAACAATCCGAAAACGAAGTCAAACTCAAAGTTAAAAAGGAACAAGTTAGAAGGAAAAAGAAGAAAATGAAAAAATTAAGATATGATTACTGGAAAATATGCGAAATCTGCGGAAAAAATACTCGAAATCTCGTCAGCCATTTAGATACGCACTCCACTGACAAACTGTACTCGTGTAACGTGTGCGACAAAAAGTTTAAGTTCAAAAGTGGTTTGATCATACATAAAGCGATCCACGATCCTACGCCGCGGAAAACTTGCGAAGTATGTGGGAAAACGTTTCATATATTGGCTCAGTACAGGAGACATTTTGTGTACCACGCGAACGAGAGGAAATACGAATGTGAGACGTGTGGGAAGCGATTCAATACCTTAGATATATTAAAAGTTCATAACAGGACACACACAGACGAACGACCGTTCAGCTGTCAAGAGTGTGGGAAAACATTCAGGACAGCCGGCTGCGTCAGTAGACATAGGAGAATTGTACATAGAAATATAAAAAAAGTTCAATAAATGTAAGGGAAGCGGCCTTGGTTGTCTGATTTGATCTTTAGATCGACCTATTATCAGTTGAACTTGTACACACTTCGTTATCTTACTTTAATTTCTCTGAACCGGCGGCATGATTCCGTCTCAGTGATATAAATTACTATTAGTCTATTAGGTTTACAATATTAATGAGGTGTACAGATCATATACATTTTGCGATGTAGTTAGTAATTAGCAGACTTACAGTATCCAACTAGGCTAGAAAAATATAGCCGCATACTTCAAAGATAGCGCCTGGCGCCAACACTTGTGTATATTGACTTGACCGAAATCAAAAGAGCAATGTCCTAGCATAATTAACCTGATGTTTGTGATGTATCATCGAGATTGGATTTTAATTAACAACAAGACTTTGTTTGATGAGCTTTATTGAGAACAGATCACCTCTTTACATTAAGTTGGTGGAGGGTTCGAGGATTAGCAATGATCATATTGATTGATGGTGTCCAAAAATACAGACCTCTCAACCCTTGGAATGTTGATCGAGGTATACGTGAGTAAGTGATTATAAGCAGGCGCGTTGAGCCTGCACCGGCGCCGGCGCAGCTCTGTAAAGTTCACCGTCAGTTCGCAGTGGACAGCGCGCGCGGACGGAGTCTCGCGCTCTACCTAATTTAGAATCATCGTCGCGCACGTCTCAGTGCTACACTAAAACGAACAAAGGGTGCTTCCTAGTTTTATTTAGAATTAATAGGGCGACATGGCGATACACTGCCCGGTGAGTTTATTTTTTTATTTTTTGTGTTACCTTTTTAGTTAAGATAGTCGAGATGGGATTATAATAACTGCCTACAACGAACATGTCACAGGAGATTACCATTTTAAATGAGATGCTATAATAAAATGTCTCAGTACAGGTATAGGATAATCATTTAAAGACATGGAATGATGATTATTAAATTATTTCTTGGATGCATTAACATATTTTTACTTTATCGGTCACTTGAAATATTTTTTTATTCAAAATACACGGTACTACAGCGAGCACATCGGAATATTTTTATCAATATGTCATTAATTCAGATAATATTGAAAATGAGGAAACAATCGTAAAAAATAATACCGGCTTGGCTAAGTAATATTGCATAAGGAAATAAAAAAACTGTTTATGGAACAGAACACATGTATCTACACCCATTACCTACCGGCAGCCGTAGCTGTTGCAAATTATCATAACTATTATAATTCGTATTACTCAGATATAATTCCCTAAATACATCAATAGTTTTGTAGGTAAATAAATTAATTGGAAGCTGACATTGGGGTCATTGGAATTAAGTCACATTTTATTAGAGCAAAGACTTGTTATCAATGTAATGGCTAGAAAAACAACAGCTAGCTTACTTATTACGACATTACAGATTATTAACGTACCTTATTGGAGCATAATAATGTTTGCAGGGACACTTGAGACTTTTATAAATGTGGTTAGTAAGTAGCTGTCGATGTCGATACAAAAGTTTATTGCCCTAAGGTGTTGCATTAACGTGCTTTTCGCACCTTCTCGCCCGTGTTTTGCGTACGCGCATATTTAACGAGCTCTTAGTTTGTTTTGCGACCACGATAATTGGACTCAATGTGTTTTGTAGGTTTTCGAGTATCTTTATGATGTTCCGTTTATTTACGAACGAGTAGTTATTGTAGCAATGTATTGCCTAATTGGTAAGTGCATATCTAAGTGTACGCTGTGCAATATTTGTTTTGGTTTAGATAAAGTTTTGTACTGAGAACTGTCCTCGTTTACTCAAGCTCCAGAAAAAAATAAGTAAGTAAATATTATGAACTTTTATCTTTGAAGTAATTGATAGGAGGCAAAAAATATGAAATTATCTGTAATCCGGTACTTTACATAAAACAACGCATTTTATTTCCTAAAGTACTTAGTAGGCAGAAATATTGACATTAAGGAAACACTTCTTTTCGTTTAGTTTTGTTTTACCGGGATCGGGAACCATTCTAGAGTCCTGTTATTATATTTCTATAATTATACATAACTTCTCAGAGCCTTTTGGCTACCTAGATAAGACCAGTTCTGTACTAAGACCATCTTTATCTTACCTATAATTGATGCCATGGAGATGAACTGCGACTAGTTGCAGATGACTTGAGTTAAATATAGCAGTGGGTTAACATCTAACTGTAAACTGTGACAAAGATGCGACACAAAGAATGTGTCACAGTATAGAACGACATGCGGTCTAGAGTCTAATGACTAGTGTCGCAAATCGCGCACAATCTCGTGCGAGAGAATTATTAATACTTAAATATAAACAGATTGGAGAGGTCAACGTGAAAATTGAAAGTTCTCGTCTTATTATCGAGTGTCTAGACAAGTGCTTTTTTTAGAATAGAATGGAAATTATTTTGCATGTTATGTGATTGTTTTGTAGGTATCTCTAATCAAATGTATAAGTTGTGATGAACTTCGAAACTCATAGAATTGTCAAGGCAAGAATAACTTGAGCTTAAAAGCTATTTCAGTACAATGAATTTCTTCAGTATCTTGGTGTTAATTTGTTTAGAGGATGAAAACATCCTGAGGCCTAAACTTAAGTTCCGTTAACCCCCGATAGGTCAGGTGCATTAATTGAATGTTAGCGTAGTTAACTAGGTAATACTTACCCTCTTTTTAAAGCAAAAGGTTGGTCCCTCATTTACATGAGACTTAAACCACACCACGCATCATGTTATAGAAAAAATAGGCTTAGACTTTAACACTGTTTGCACCGAGATAGGAGTAGAGGTAATCATGTATTGTGCTGTCAACTTTCGCGGTCATCCTAGTCGGAAAGGGCAAATAACTAATAGGAATTAATAACATAGGTACCTAGTTGGTTGAAAGCTTTGTCCATCTGCATGACTGGGCTGGATCCCGGCCAAGGCCTGCACGTTGTTTCAGAACCTAGACTCCTTTCGCTTTGTGACATGTTCAATCTAAAATAGGATTACTGTGCCTATTAGTGCGTCTGCGTCGGTCTCTACATTCTGCTTTTTTTTAGGAAATAAGTTCATCCTCAGTTTTAATGGTGTATGGTAAGACTAAGCAGGTACTATGAACCATTCTTTAAAATCTAGGCATAGAATATCGAATATACCGATCTTTTTATGGATTTACCTATGAATTTTTCAAACAGTGAATTTTCATGTATTTAATCGTTCTTTTCGACTATGTGTAAGAAGTATAAGGTCATCACAAAAAATATCCCGTGGTCCAACAAAATGGACTTAATTTAACAGATAGCCGTTAAATTAACGTAAAAATGTCGAGTCATGAACTTCGAGAGGGAATCTCCAAATTGACGTGTAAATTCAATTCGTTATCTACGGAGTACAGATGTTCGTCCACTTATGCTGTAATTTTAATTAAACTACTATTTAAATTGATACAAAAAACCAAATAAGGCTCAAGGTTCAACAACCCCTAATCAATAGTATCAGATACTTAATTTGGAATAATGGTGTTTAATTTGGGAAAAAGGGGGTTACTTACTTAATTAGGAGTACCTACATAAGAAAATTAGTGTTTAATTTAACACACACCTCTGAATCGTTGAGAATTTTGGAAAATGAAAAATATAATAATTCTTAGCCAAAGAAATAAGGCGTGTGTACCTACCTAACTATTTCAGCAGTTTTATAATATGACCATTTGACCAACTAGTTTCAAGCTAGAGTTCTAGACGGAACATTAAATTGACAGTTGACACATTATATATGTGCCGAAATATTCATTTTATTTTAAAAAGTTAGCTCATCACTAACTGTTCCTACACCCACGTTACAGACAAAATAGGAAGGATTGGTTTCACTAAACTCTCTAAATCTGTGTAGGTATCACTCTTCCTCAGCATACTTATTTCTGGTGCAGACTCAATGGTAATCATACGGTATACAATAATTTATCTAGATTTTAAGTCTAGGCTAGCCAAATCACGTTTTGAGTATCCTGGAGTATCGGACTGTCTTACAGTTCCTGTCTGTTATTTATATCTAGGAATTAAAATGACAATAGTGTAGACTATAGAGTCTAAGACGGTCGCTAATACCTACCTCGATATTAGCATAATCCAGGCGTATCACTTGGAAACCTGCTAGGCTATAGGTTATAGGTACTGTGAGATGTCAATTCGAACCACAGAAATATTAAAAATATATCTGGGATTCGAACTCTCGAAGTGAGCTCGATCGCATTCTGGCCCGTCATTGGTTGAGATTTTCCTCAAGATAATCAAGTGATCGAGCTCACTTTGAGAGTTCCAATTGATATCTTACAGAATAGCAGAGCCTGTCCATACAAGAAACCACATTAAACATGCGTTTTCCTTTACGCACTCGATTGTATTTGTAATTGAGTTTATGTTCCGATAGAGATTATTTACTAACACCGGAAGAGAAAGAAGTTTAAATATGCAAGTAATTATGAGTAGTGATTGCAAACCGGCTGAAACTCATCTCTCTAGATGAGTAATCTCTATTAGAGAATATTAATTACCTATTAGTACTTAGTACTTACCTTGTTAATTACCGACTTTCGTGTTTAATCTGAGATATCTAATGACCTCTTACCTAGTTACATCGTGGTAAGCTCATCTTCGTCTTACAAAGATTGCACTTGCAAGTCACAAGATTTATTTAAAAAAACCATAGAATGCGTAAATTTAGGTCAACAACGACCTATTTCTCGTTCATCAAATATCAACTTCAATCAATTAAGTACATTCTTATATCACAAACATCATTCAGTATCAATTTCTATGTCAAAACTATTTAACCAATAAAAAAAATCGATAGCTATCAATAAACTTTCACTAGTTACGTCGAACAAACTGCCAAACTACATCATACATCAAGCTCAAGTTGCATTGAATGATGAAAAATTATTATTTTATTGACCTCTTACAACATCTGACAGTTGCATCGACATCATTGAAGATCTGTGACCAGTATTATAAGACTCCCCATTACGAATAGATGGCATAGTATCAAAGGGTCAAAGTAATTGACCTTACAATCGTAAACTCGCAACAGTTGTCCCTAATCTTTTTGCCCCCAACAAGTTGATATTGAGTACAAACTTCGGTAGTATTGATTGAAAAGTGAGTACCTAAAAGATAGATCCGGCGCAATGTTGTATGCTTTTATTGGTTCAAGTTGACGCTAAATTATACAATAGTAAGAAGATAGTTACTTACATAGGTAATGATTGTATATTATGTGTACCTAGTCTTTAACTTTCGCGTGGGAATTTAGATTTTATTACTTTTATGGCTACGATAGCGCATCGCCTATTTATTCGTTAGTCTATTTCTTGAACCTCGATGACAATCTAATCGTTTATACTACATACCTACATAACCTACCTGTCTCCCATGGGGTAGGCAGAGACTATGGAAAGCCAATTGCTACGCTTCTTATATAATTATTTACCTCTTTTGCTTCATCAACAGTCATCAATGTTTTTATGCATCAGTATGCTCGTCGGTTGAGGGTACATTTAAATCAATAATAACAATTCTAACCGTTTATGATGTGGTATAAAACTTTGTTTCATTGATTTCATACTTGGGTCAGTTTGAAGTAGGTATGTACATACTTAAAGGCGCTATTGCTGTCACTGTGAGTGGTTATTACGTAAATTGGGAAGCTCTATTTATTATACTGTCTCAAGCAGATTCTGAACATGACAATGGCAATGGCAACCTATCTAGATACATATTTATTTATTAAACTAAGATTTAACACAGATTGAAATCAAACTTTCGCTACGAGTTGAAACGGTCTTATTAGTCGAGACGTGCTCAAGAATTCATTTCCGTCTATTCTTCTCTTACTTTAATAGCTTAGCTTAGGTCTCCGCGAGCTCGTGCCCATTCGAACTCAAGCTATCGCTTTAAGAAAATCTCGTAGTATCATAAATTCGTACCTATTAACTAACGGTTAGGTACATTAGGTAGTAATTAAGAAATAAGTCTCCTGAATACCAAAATCAATTTATGAGTGTGTGAAGATCCTCTGAAAACAACTCTACTGTATTATTTTCAAATTGACTGCACGGTTGCGTCAGTACCCGAGCGATCAGCTGCTGCGTAACGTGTAGCGGGTTCGATCCCCGCTGTCTCGCATCACACAGAATATCTTACTCTTTGTGTGATGCATGCCTTGTGACTCTTAGTCTGGGTTTGATTTGTATATAAATCTGTATGTTTGCAAACGCATCCATGACACAGGAGAAAGTATTTAAGTAAGTAGTAATAAGTAGAAGGTACATACGAATTGGTACCTATTTATCGCAATGGATCCTATTTGCTTTACCTAAAACCACAAACCGCCTCAAACAGGTATTCATAATGAAGCGAGCAAAATGCAGAAATTTATGTTAATAAGATTTTATAAGCTCTATTGAGGATAATTATAATAGACCTACATTACATTCCTACGCAGTTGCATCTTAGTAGGTACGTCTATGCTACATACCAGTGGCGTAACTACAGGGTGATGGTAAGACGGCAAAGTATTTGCCTAGCATGTACTAAGGGTTGCCAGCCGTAGGAGCCCCTGTTTAAGAGGTTTTCATCTGAACTTCTCTCTTTTTTGTACGGAACGGGGACCCATCCGACGAATTTGCCACAGGCTCCCAGCGGCATAGTTACGCCAATGCTACATACATTCATCATCATTATCAGATTATCATCACCAGCTTGTTCTTGCCATGTACCATAATAATATGAGGTATGTAAAGTACCTATCTAGTTACCAGACAAGACATAAAATAATCCCTGAAGTGCAGGCAGTGCTGCACATTTGATTATAAAATTTGGCATCCTCTTTTCACCAAATATGTTATTATACCATTTTACAGAAGTCTTTTGCGGCATATTAGGTACGATAAATAAAATAACAACAATACCTATGCTCGACCTAGGAATAATTAAATCCGGAAAATCACGTCACTGTTTTCTAGGTTTATAAGCAACATGGATGGGATGCTATGGGATGAACATAGTGTAGAATTTTGTCTACCTACATAATTTCTGGTCTAAAATATATCTAAGTACCTATAACTCAATTTTGTTTGGTCATTGCCTTAGCGGTTGTATTACTTGTTAGATATCAACCACTGTTCCAGCTGGGTCAGCGGCGGAACTTATTAGAGCCGGCGCCATCGCCATATGTGTTCATTCAAGACTTGCATGCGTTCCTACAGCATGTATGTAGGACATAATTATTTCTACAATTAACATATATTGTACCTACTTTTGTGTAAGGTATATTTATTTTATTTTATAGAATTGGTTTATTAAATGCGGTCAATAGTCAATCATTCAACGAGAGCGGTTATATCTATATACTAATAAACCTAATGATTGAATTGGAGTTACTACTTAGGTCTGTAAGATGAAAAATAAGGTTAGCTTAAGAAACCTATTAATAAATTCTAAGATAAATGAAACCAATAAATGACAAAAAGTTGAAATTATAAAACGAAGAAACTCTTTTTTCCCCACACATATTTTGGTATTTTTGGAGGCAGATAAATGACGTCCTAGAAACATTAGTTCTTCCTATTTCCTTATACACATATTATGTATGTATGCTAACTGCAATACAAAGGCTCCACTGCCATGAATATTCAGCTGAACAGTGTGGTAACATTTTAACATAACGCCTCGTGAAATAGAATAGAAAGTGATTTTACACCTCCATAATAATGCAAAGGGACTTGGGTTTCGTTTCACATTTTGAAGACAACTTCGGGTATTGTTTAAGCATCAATTACTTAGATACCTACCTATTATAGAACTATACAGGTGTAAATGGAACGCTTCCGACCATGCAGACATAAAATATTTATTTTTACAATTTTAATGGTTTTTGTTTTCGTGTTATTTATGCAAAATCAACCTTTAGCAGTTGATTACTACTATTATTACATGAGAGAAGTATTTATAGTATTTCCATGCTTTTTTGAAAATGATATAAAATAAAAGACTTCGATTTTTAAGCGTTCCGATGCATGCATAATTGCATGTGTCTATTAATTTCGGATATCAGGCTGAAACTGTTGCACGGTTGGTCTTCCAAGTTTCAAGCACGCCCTCACATCTCACTGCGTGACCAAAGCGGTTTAGCCATTTCAAAATTATAGTTCCAAATCTTTCAGTCGTTACGATTATACTTATTAGGATTCTTGAATCGGATTTCATAAGAGTGTCCCGATGTGGCCAAAAGCGGCATTTGTTCTCAATCAATCCTTTTAATCAATGAAAACATAATTATTTTATCAATTTATATACCTACACTAAGTTCAATTCATAGAAATCAAAGAATGAAATATAGAATGAACATATTTATATGTTCTGTGGGTACCTACATAGATAAAATTATTAACATATAAACATCTAACCGATTTTCTCCACGGCAGGCGAGATACGAGTACGTAGTGTCGTCACGGCTAAGGGTCGTATTATCGCGACCTCACGCTCAATTATTCACCAGTAAATCATATTTAACTGAGACACGGTTATAACGCAGGGCTCCATTGTATTACCATAATCAGACATTTACGATTTATGTATTTACACGGTACAAGCTTAACTTAATGTAAGAATCGTCTGTTCAATGTCTAGCTCAGAAAGCTTTGCTTCACAGTTCCCGTCTTCTTGTTTTTCTACCGTGATTCGTTTCGAAACCTGCTGAATCTAGATCAATCATCCTTGATTAGACCTAAATCTGTTACGATATTCATATAACTTTTTCATGATAAACAAAACAGAATTCCGAAGAGAACCCGATAGACCTTATCTCAGAAACTTCGGAGTTAACAGAATTATTTAACTAAAGCTAAATTAGTTGTTTTTTTCTAAACTGTAAAAATGTATGTTGTGCGTTGTGCGACATGTTACCGAGTCTCCAAGACAAATCGTGCCTCAAAGGTCTGTTATCTAAATAAATAGCTAGCTTGTATAACACCCATACGAAGCTCTCGTGCATCCGGATGAAGCTGGAATTTAATTTATTCATTAATTACCTCTGAGGGGATTAACTCATCTATTTTGTAATTTGTCATAAAACCTCTTTGATGTCATGATTATTGTTATTCCTTGGTTATTCCACGCTAATGCGACCGCGTTTAATTTTTTCCTTCCGTCGGCGTCGTACTTTACCGAGTTTGTTTAGAACATTGATTTATGTTAATAGTGCGCTTACTACGGTCTGGTACTAAATGGTAATGGTAATGGAGTGCTAAAGGATTAAATACACGACCGGTTTATGTTGCAGTGGTCTTGAGTTACATCTTGATCTAATACATGGACTTCTTATATGATGGAAATACCTAATGCCATTTTCCATTTGGTTATGTGTAGGTACCTAAGTGCAAAACTTTGAATGATTTGTTTACTCACCCTTAAAAACCTTTCTACATTTGTAGGGTAGTGGGCCAATTACTCGCATCTTTATTTTTAATAATTAAATTTTTAAAGGCACCTTTATTGCCACTTAGAGGTAGTTTTCATTTGCAACCAATTTCCAGCATCAGTTCTGGTGCTTAAAACAAAAGCTACTTATTTCAATAAGTTATTTTAATTCTTTGAGTACCGTAATTATAGACACAATTAAAGAACAATAGGTTGCGGTCACCGGTGACCGCGCGGTGTTTGACAGTTCAAGCAGTGTCTTGCACAAGTTACATACTTTCGCAATGGTATATGTATATCTAAATAAGAGAATTTATCAGTCTTTAAGTTACAAGACCGTCTGTCTATCTTAATGGAAGGTCGGTGCATTTGTAGTGTCAGACTGTCAGTACCTATTGCAATTTATGTGCCCTGATAATGTCATCTAATGCACTCGTTGCTTAATGATCTAGTTTCGATCTATGTAAACGTAAAGAGGTACTAACTGGATTAATGCTTAACCACTCAAGTCACCAACTTATTTATCGTCAAACAAAAGTTACATTCGCGTCCTTGTGCGTATCTACTTTAAACAAACTTTAACTCGCTGACTTGACTACTGAAATTAACCCTTTTTTTATAGGTTCTAAAATTAATCTTTTATCCATAGCGTAGATAGATGGACATGGATTCCCTGGACAACCACCCACGTAAACCACTTTATTTCTTTTATAGTATCTATCTATTGAATTAAAACACGGAGATCTCAAAACAAAATAAGCTTCCTACCTACAACAAAACATAATCGTCAACTTGATTCAATAAATGAACTCAAATATCGTTTATTGTTATATACTTACCTAGAAAGGTGCTTATTTAATAATGAGTGAGCACATGGAGCACACTATCCCGACTTTGCTTAGACATGTTTAATATTAAAGTTAATAAAACTGACGTTTGTCCCCAGAGGCTCTGGTGGCTCGCCGTGGCGCTTATGTTGTGGGCACCACGCACACAATGCCGGGAAATCACGTAAGTACATTGCCATACTCCAATGTGTGCTGAGCTTTGTTACATTTACATTAGAACCACCACAATGCCTGGATGGAGCCGCGCATTGAATGCAGTATTCATGCCAGGAGGCAGTCGCATAGCAGCGTTGCTGAATTATTTAAATCAAACCCACATTACATAAGATACATACTCGAAAGCGTCTGGATAGTGTAGTGTAGGCAATGTTTACATTTATTGATCTTGAGGTTGAAGGCATACACAAAGGATTCAGATAACAATAATTGTGACTCACAAGAAAAATAATCTTCTTTGTGATATTTTTCATGAGTTGTTGTGATTTTCTGCGGTCAACGAACTCCCGAAAGAAATATTATGAAAATTTTACAAGCGATAAATATTTAAATCGTTCGCTAAACTGTGAAAGTCGTAAAATAAACAGACGCAGAACTGTTTTACGGGGCAATAATCGGTATTGTGGCGTAAACCCGACGTTAACTACTAAAAAGAATTCAGAGAGTTGACGAAATAATAGTGAACTAGAATCATTTTATTTATCAAAGGCAGCACAAAAAAGAAGCTTGACTTTAAGATCGAAAAATCTATGCGATCAAAGTTTCTATTAAAGTTTTTAATAGGCCTTAAACTTTTAGCACTTCGTTGAATGGTATAGTTGGCCAACTTCAAGTAGATGGTCAAATGATCTTTGATATAAAATTTCAAAAGAAAACTTTATAGCAATTTGCGTTCCCTTAATTCAGATACATTGACAGTTGATGCGAAGCAATGGGGCCGGTCGTAAATCTTCAATTAATATTTTTATCTATCTATGAGTGAAGTGCATCATCAAATAATGCATGGAGAGCCATAAATCTCCATTAAACGGGCCACTGGGAGACCGTAACATACCCACTTCTATTTCAGGATCTGATTGATGTTCTATGAATAGGAAGTTAATTAAAATTTTATTTATTTAGTGGAGACATGCGTCGATTGATCTGTTTTACGATGCAGTCAAGTTTTATAGCCGTTCAATAACTAAATCGTTCGTTGTGTAAATCGTCGACCTAGGTTGATTGACCCAGCTTTTTAAATTATGACGTCAACGATAAAAGTCCCATAAAATTCAAGTCTATTGAAAGGGGTAGGTGTGCTGTGGTTGCGACGGTTTAATCACTCCATGTACCTCCAAGTTTATCAATGTGACTGCACGGTTGGCGCTATGGCTGGGCAACTGGGTGCCGTGCAAAGTGTCGCGGTTTCGATTCTCGCACGGAACAACTTGTGTGATCCGGATATTGTTGTTCTGGGTCTGGGTGTCATATATATGTGATCGTAAATAAATTAGTAGTAAATTGTATGTTTGTAATCGCACTTACGACAACGGAGAAAATGCTAGTGAGGGGCAAGTTTTTAAATTAGTATTTTGTATGGACATCTAAGAACTTTTATTCTCATAACATAGCCATAGCCTTTGCTTCCTGTAATGGTTTGTTAGTATTATGTAAATATAAAAAAAAAACATGTATTCTGTTATTTAGTGATCACTTCTTTTCTCTAACGACGTAAGAGGTAAACTCACGAGCCATTGCACAGCTGTACCCAGCAAAGTGCACATTGTGCGATGTGGAATGCATTATTCTACTGTGCAGTTTAGTAACTAGAACTTGAGGCTATTAATATTGCACTGAGCCAGTTCTGTTTTCTACATTTCGTTGTATTTTAGTTACAGTTACTGAGTTACCTCACTCGAAATAGCTTCGACTGATCTCCGCGTTTTATTGCCTGTGACAAAACACACGTGTAATTTGGGTTCTTAATTGATTTATTGTTGAAGTAATTATATGTTTGGTGTCTGGTTTGATGGTATTATTGGATCTTTACCCGACTGGTCGTGATTGCGACGTTTAAGTAGGTACTCTCGCCGCTCTTTATATGTTCTGTGCTCGCAACAGTCGCAAACAATGATCAAGTTCACTTTAATCTTTCGAATTGACAATTACAACTGTAGTTGTTCTTAACTGACCAGCTATAAAAGCCCAAAGAGAAAGAAAGGAGATTGCTACCTACGAAGCCGTGTTAAACAAACTAAGTTTCGTTTAACAAACCACCCCCACTTTTACAGCCCACCAAAATCTGTCTAACCTCTACATATTAGTCATTAAACACACAAAAATTCAACGGTAGATCTATTCGCAATTGTTTAATCTCTTAATGTGGTCGCTATATTTCACGTCTAGGCTCTCGCTATGAATAAGGAGTTCGTCCTACGCTAACTACTAAAGCTACATCCGTTTAGTTGACACTGTTGATTTAACGTTTAATCATAAAATTAGAACCTCTTTGTTTGAATCAAGATCGTTAAATAACAGTTCATCCACCCCTGCCTGGCTCCACTTGAAATACTGGCCGACAGTAATGTTACGTGTAAATACATAAGCACCCACTTGTGATTTTACTACGTAGGTAGAAGCTCTTCCTACTTAATATTCGTATGTTATTTTGGTTCTACTTACTATGTTGGTACTTCTAATTCTGACTGCACGGTTGGAGCAGTGGTTGGGCAACTAGCTGCTGCGCAACGTGTACCGAGTTTAATTCCCAATCCTGTGGGGCAATATTTAAAGAAAATATGCCTCTACTTCTTATCAGATGAGATGTGATTTCTTTTTTTAGAAGCAGTTTGCAATGATCTTTTATTAAAGCAAATCAAATTGTACTTTGTTTTGAGTACTCTCTAAAGCCGGAACAGTTGTTAGTCTATTTATAAATCATGTATGTTCTTCGAATCGGAAATCGATTTGTAAATTATGTGCTTAAATATTTACCGTTTTGGCCACAACAAGGGCCCACCGCTTATTTTCCAGTCACGTTTGTTATTTTGTTTTAATCATTGTACTTAGTTACTATATACCTTCTCAGAATTAGTACCTAACCGCCTATCTATAAACCTAAAAAGTTAAAACTTTAGCACAGAAATATTTCCGCAGAACCATCTGTAAATTTCATTTTTATTTTCAGACACGAAGACATCAAAGAAGCCATGCTATCGTTAGTCCACATGATCAGGATGTCAGAAGACAAACTAGAAAGGCACGAGTTCAGAGAAAAAGCGCTTGGCGAGCAAGTAAAGAAAATGCTAGGTAACCTAGACAAGAAGCATAGAGCCTTAGAACCGTTGAAAGGCATGATCTCAAGGCTAGATGAGCGGTTGTCGAATGTAGAAACTATACTGTTACAGGTTTGTATGAATTAAAACTATAAATGTGGCTTATAAACACTTTATGGAGCAATTCATAATGAAAGACGATTAGGATAGGTACCTATTTATTTTTATCTTATTTTTCTACCTGCAGAAAGAAGAAAGAGAAAAGGCGTCTCAGACCAAAATTAATGAGGTGCTTGGGAATATAGAGAAGGCTCTCGTGGCACTGGCACCGGACGCCGCGCCTCGAGGAGATTTAGACAACAGTCTGTCTGGCAGCAGTGACGCTTTAATAAGTAGGCTTGATGCTACTGATGCGAAGATTGAAGCTGTGAAGACAGAGATCAAGGGTCTGAAGAGTAGTTTAAGTCCGGTGAGTTCCAAACACAAACCAACATTTTATTCTTTAGAGAGTTTTGTTACCGTCTTATGCTAAATCGGTAATATTATGTTCTAGGAAGCGCTCCGTGGCATGTGTTTAGAAGTAAGCTCTGACATGAATCCGTTCGAGAAGCACATAACCGAAGCCGAGAAACTCCTCAATAAGTATGAAACGAAGCTGAACCAGTACAACGGTACTAAGGTGCAGACAGACTTCGTGCCGCTGAACGAGGTCTCACTAGCTGATGAAGCGTGGCATAGCAAGATGAGTGAAGGTACTCACATTATCTCGATTTGCACTCACTCACTTCACAAAGAAACTCACCTATTACCGGTTATCTTCATCATTTCAGACCAGATTCACTAAATGCTGGCCTTCCCCTTTTTCTGCCGCTCCTTAGAAGTTCCATATTCTGATAATCTTTATCGATAGTATTAATAGTTCCCTTGTATGGAATTTCAACCTCGTTTGCTATGAAAAAATAGCTTTGTTGTTACCTATTTCGATAACTATCTATTCTAAATATTTAAGCATCTACAATTCTACATATAAGTAGGTAGTGTTTAAGTTCATGCTGACCTAGAATAATCCTTTGTGCTGTCGAGCAGGCAGATCGCAGATAACAGCTGATTTAATGGACCTATGGGATATTCCTCGAAACGCACCCATTTTTAACGCACTTCTGACAAAGAATGTTGTTGCGTTATGTTTAATCCATTTCGAACTGAATACCCCGACATGTAGTTTATTACTTACTTGTGTAGGTACTTGGTAATAATTAAGTATTCCATATTCTTTTTAGTGATGGAACGCCAAGAGAAGGAAATAATAAAGATTCAACGTCTGCTGTCTGACGCGGAAAGCATGTGGAAAGATCTGCCCAGACTCGCCGACCTGCACCGCTCCACCAACCAAACCATGGAGTCCATCAACAAATCCACTGAATCCTTACTTATTAACAACGAAATGGGTAAGTATACATATGTGTGTTTGCTTTTAAAAAAAAACAATGTTTTTTATCGCTCACGCACTCGCAGTTGCGGTCAATCCCGTTGACCAACTGTTTATGTTTATTTTCTTAAAAATTATCCATTTCATGAACACCTTCAGGATATTCTTCCTCGTACTTTTCACATCATCATCAACAGCCAGAAGCCGTCCACTGCTGAACAAGGCCTCCCCTTAGTCCTCCACTTTTCACTTACCTTCTTACTATTGCTATCTACTTACCTTACTTACCTATAAGTATGTTATCAAAATTGGTTCAGGTATTTAGGTTTGTAAGAAACCTCTGCTGAGATGCCAAACTCACGTCGCTACTTAGTACTTAAGCGTTATAACACCAAATGACTTAATCCTTATCCTTACTAATATTATAAATGGGAAAGTGAGTTTGTTTGTTTGTTCCACTTTCACGCCGTAACTACTAAACCGATTGCTTTGAAATTTTGCAGACGTAAAGTTAGAAGTCTGGATTAAATAATAGGGTACTTTTTATCCCGGAAAAAATGTATATTATCTAGGGAAAACGAAATTATTGGTATAGATGGCGCTGTGTGTATTGGTATATGTCACATAGGCTACTTTTTATTCTTTTGTGACGCGAGCGAAGCCGCGGGTAAAAGCTAGTTTATGATATGTAATCAAATATTATATTAACCACACCTTGAATTGGTGGTGTATTTACACCCCCATCAATCGATTACTTTGTTTTGATTTACCTAGTCATGGTAAACAATAAGAATAACATTCGACCATGAATTGACCTAGTTACCTCATAGGTACTTTTGGAATTATGATATGAGTAGGTAAGGTACCTACGACAACGTTTAACGTAATAGAACGTATGCGTACGTATACATACATGATAAAGGCAATTACCAACACTTTAATTAATCAACTGTATGAACTATCGATAGGTCAGTACCAAAGAATTACATACTGGAGAACATTTAAGTATTTTAATGGTTTGATGGCTTTACCGTAACTTCGACTTAGTAAGTAAATTGGTGATGTAAGATATTCGAGATTTCGTTTTTAAACGCTATGAAAATCGATGCGATCATTCATGACTTAAAAGCAGCTGACTAATGATATTGTACTTATTTCAGCTGTAACTAAGATATTGAACAAATTCCGTGAGATGGGTGAGCGGCTGGTGACCACCAACGAGGACGTACAGCGCAGCTTGACGCAGAGCAACACCACGACTGAGCGGGCCTACGCAGACATCTCCAGGAGCTACGAAACTTTACGAACTGAGGTACCTAAAGCTTTCTTGAAATATTTGAGCAAGCCTACGCGGTATCAGATACTTTGTCATGTTCATATTTCCATTCTTATCCTACTGAACGAAAGTTTCTGAAGTCCGTAAAGTAAAGCATCGTTAGATAGGTGGGGGCCTAGATATATAGTCCGATGCGACAAACAATACGGACTTATATATACATCTGACAACATGGAAACCTTATAATGGCTGCCAAATAAGTTCATGAGAACTCGCAGAAAAAGCGACTTTAAAAAATGATGGTGCCTTCAATTTCGTTTTGTCTTCGTATTGGATATTGAGAGACCCTATTAGATGTCTATCTCAAGTCTATGGCACAGATTTCAGTGGGTCGAGTGCCAGTTATGTATGTCAAGTGGGGATCGCGAGTCAAGAATCCGCCTGCCAAGCACGCTTCGCAAAATCGCATCGCAAGCGTTATTCTCGAGCTTTAAGTCCCATATAAGGGTTACATGTTTGAGAGCTATATTTTTACATTTTCCCTGTAGGTACTTAGGTACGCACTTCACAATTCTTTTCTCTGTCTTAAAAATTTCAGAAGTTCAAAATAAAACCGAGGAAGCATTCGGTTTGTTAAGGAGTTGAATCAGACCTATTTGTTAGACTTCAAGTTATTACCTAACGCATATTAAAATTGTGGTGGGCTCGTAATCGTTTAACTTTTGTTATTTAGGTACAACTGCTGTCAAAGAGCGAACGTATGATCGTAGACACGGCGGATAACGTCGTAGCAATCAAGAAACGGTTTGAATATGGAGTCCATCAGATACTGATGGAAGTCGGCGAACTCATCAAACAACAACACAAGACCATGAACAAAACTGTCAATGTCAAGTGAGTAGAAAGTCTTGGTATTTTCCTTACAATGCAGGTGTTACTTCTGTACTGCTATGCTGCTATCCAAAGATCATTCATACTGATCATGCAACATGTTGCGCAGCAGCTTATCGTTAGTCAGATGATACACCAAACGTTTGCGTTCAGTTTTGGTAAACTTTTTCAAGATTTCAACCTTCATCAGGTAAAGACCATAATATGTGTCTATTACAGATTAGAAAACATTGAAAAAACAATATCGAAAAAACAGACTATCGCGCTAAACACATTAGGATCGAAAATCGAATCGGAGATGTCACAAGTATGGCGGCAGATCGGCATTATGCACCAACAAATCATGATGAGCAGCCAGGCGTTGAACAAACTCTCAGTAAGTTTTAACTATTTATTTTTGTTGTTGTATTGTCAATGTTAACATGACTAGGTTTTTTTGGTAAGAATATAGCATTTTTCTGGCAATATTAACATTTTCTGTTTTAAATTGGCATGCCACAACGCCTTGTATTTGTCTTAAACTAGTTAACTTAGCGTTTGCAATGTGAACCCGACTGTTGAATAAGTCTCAAAGGGACACTGCGCCCTACATGCCCTACACACTACCTATAAGTATTGCGACGTTTAAAAAAAAGATCACGCAATTAAGTTAACAACTTGCTTAATTAAATTGAAATAAAAACTAGCTAATATCTACATACATTCACAGGCATTCTCAGAGGAGTACGTTAATGCCAGTACACCGAAAATGGATAAAATGAAAAAGGAGGTAAGCTAACGACCTTTATGGTATTGCAATAAGCTGTACGAGTTTAATTAAACGGATTCTTTTTGTTCCCAGATGGACGGCATCACGACACGCATTGTTGATTTAGGGACGAACCTTAACTTCGTGATTGGAGAACTCTCGGTAGCAACCCGCGAGTTCCGACAAATGGCGCTCGGCCTCACGAAAGTACTCAACCAGTCTACTAAGCCCACCACGGCCTCACCTACCACTAAAGGTACTAACTAATAGACTACCTAATAATAACTGTAACTACAGTCAAATTACATTTACGAGTGCATTCAAACCAAAGTTCCATAATGATCAATTAGTGATTATTTCCGCACACAATCGACCTTAATGAGACTTCGTTAAACTTTTCAGACGCCGGCCCCGGACCTCACAAGATTGAAAGCGAAGAGAAATTACCATAAATAAATAACTGATACCAAATAACATAGAAATATTTAATTAACAATTAGATAAGTTCTTACCGCTTAGATGTTACTCGTAAGTCGACTGATGTGAGGTGATATGTACGAAAGTAAAATAAAACTCTTACGATATTAACTTTTGCAAATATTTTAATCTCTTTTATAATTGTGGATCTATATATTTATATTGTACAAGTTATATGATACAATGAAATTTTATTGTGACAGATATCCCAACGTCACTTACAAGTGAACGCGTAAAATTAACAATATACAACTGACAGGAATACTCTAAGTAATGTTGAATCAACTGTACTGTACAATCATAATATTGATATTCATATTTATTATTGATCTTAAATAATATACACAAAAATTATTATTTGTCATCCGTTTTTTGGTTATTTTATTAATCTTGAATACAACCTCATTTTCCTATGTGCAATTAATATTTAATACAACAAATGAATTATGCTTATTGATCCATTAAATACGTAAGTAAATAATTTGATAAAATCCGTGCCCTAATTTATTGAACTGTTCCATTATATAATTATGAACATTGAAAATAGAATACATCATCATAGAACAAACAAACACTTGATAATAATAAGTTGAGTTAATGTGTCTGATAACAATTGTGGTTACGTCATTACGCATTGCTGTACAAGTTACTAAACATTGGGGATGGTGAGTTGGGAGTCCACTTAAAGGTAATACACTAGACACATTCGTTGTTAGTGAACAGCCTAACTTGGGACATCTCTAACCTACGTTACCACGGAACAACAAAACATGCCCCGGTACTGGTAAAGTCGGAACAAAAAGGAATGTTCGTTACTCTAGGCGAACCAGTCGCTTCACGTCTTTGGAAACTTATGTACTAAATAGGATTTTCCTTTTACTATAAATGTATTGTATGCATTTCATTAATATTATTTTAATATTTCATAATGACTTTAAAAAGAAACTTCAATCCGAACTTTAAATCAACATAACAAATAGGCAATCTTCATGTTAGTGCCATACATAACACCCAGACACATATAGCACTTGAACATTTTTACATTATGAACCATTATGTACATGGATAAACGTACATGTACACTATATTAATGCAAAAAATATTTACATTTCCTTAATTAATTGTTTTAAAAAGCACTTAATAGCCAACCCTTTTCACACACCCGTGAGTACAATTCAAATAATAAGAAAAAGCAATAAAAATAATCGATGTAAACATACAAAAGCAGTCAAAACGTGGAGTGTAATTAGCGAAATTATTCAATTGTTACATAGTACATACACTGATCATGCATAGTGGGTATAAATTGTATACTGAGAACTAATAAACAATATAAATATTCAATCGAAGCATAATTAAGCTTTATAAAGCAGTTTAGATAATTCCAAAAACATTTCCTATGTCTATATGATTTCAAAAAACTTAAAAAATCGTAAAGTTTAACGTGAATCTATCAAAAGCCCGAATATGAACGTACAACAAGCTCCCTAAGTGAAGTAAGTCTAAGTAGTCCATGAGATGGACCGTACCACCGACGGCGACGTGACATCTACACTTTGTACAATGTGGTATCAAAACAAGGAGTGCGCGGCGTGACGCGGCGGGTCGCGTGTCGCGTGCCATGTCAACACCGCTTCATATTTACCATATTTACTTAACGCAACGGTACCCTACTATTTATAATTTATTAACTCCTAACTAACTTTTAAGTGTAAAATTGTGCCACACAAGCGATCTCAATGGGACATCTAAAGCCGAACGCAACGAAACAATCGCAAGCGCGCCGCGAGCCGCTGTCCACCCGGCCGGCCACCAGCCCTCGACCGAGCGGTGGGGCGGTGGCTGACTGGCTGACCAGCGGCCCCGGCCACGTCACTAGTTTCGCTGATGATGGAATGTCGAACATGGAATGAATATTATAAATTCCTGTAAAACGACAAGGTTTTCAACCCTGTAAAAATTAGTGAATGAATTACATTATGTAATTTCCACTACGACTCGTATCATATAAAACACCCGCTACTTGTTACTCCACCAGATAACTATGTATAATAATGACTATGCCCAAATTTAGATTCAATTTAGAGCCCCTATCGCGATAATTTCAATACATTATCTAATTTATATAGATGTGGCCGGATATAGGTGATGGTTGTATACCCTAATACCGTTCACATTGTTACATTATTCCGACACGTTACGCTAACTTGTTCTTATGTGATGGAACTTACATAGGAAGACATACAACTATACATATACGCCTTTATAGACATCGCGAAATTAATTTTAACTATGATTTAGTACATTTAGTAATCAAAGAGATTATTGCAGCTGTGTGTAATATAAACCACGTAATAAATAATGTAAACGTTGCAACAGATGTGTGGGACCGGAACACCCGACGGCGTCAGCGAGCGGAGTCTCTGCCCTGGTTCAGTCTGTCTAACACGACTCACATACCTAGTCTCGGAATCGACTCTGCAAATTATACATGACCACCCCATAAATCCGAGGCACTTACATGATCTTAACAGTAATGATATACAACTACTAACTAGTGGTACCAAATGTTAGCTCTTTGTCATCCCGCGAAGGACCCGTTGATACAACGGGCGTGACACAATTAAAGCTATGGACATGTTCCACGTACTAATCGTTAATAAGGTCTAACCTAACACGGAGAGAGAAGGGAGCTATCGTACACGTACAAAGTACTTATCTATGTAAACCTACATTCAGCTCTTAAATCTTACACGAACTGACCATTAACCAGTGCGATTACATACAAAATTAGTGAATAAAATGAGTGTCCGAATTCATAAAAATGTCTAATGTGCTGCCATGTTAAAAAATATTGTGTCTTCCAGTGTACATTGAAAAAATTTAAACGAGTGCAGTAGTGAAAAATATTCGATCCATCCAAATCATTTCTCCTTATCTCGTAATTTGTCCTAACATAGTAGAATGTGATTATAATGGTGAAACTCGGTGCCACATGAACCTCCTCCACGACCGAACCGAACCTACGAAGCAGAATGTCACAACGTCCACGCGTGATCTATGTACATTTTATCGACAAGTTGCAATAACAAAACAACAATTACTTTATGTATACTTTAAAACCATCGCACATGTATATGTACAAGTTCAACGGGCTCAGCTCTACCGGCTGAACATAACATTACAATGTTTCAGAAGTCGCGCGGCACCTCGCTGCGGGACGCGGCAGTGAGCTGCATGACGCCAGGGCGCCTTCAATTCCTAGGACGCTATATTACAAACAGGAGCTCGGCCCCGTCGCCGCGCCTGCATCGGCCGGGGCTCGTGAGGGCGTCCCGCGCGAGGTGGCTCGCGAAGCGTTACAAAATATTTATCTTATGTACATATTGTCGTTCGAAGATAAGATTTATAACTATGTCTAAGTGCGGGATATAAAAGGTGTTGGCGCGGGGTTTACCTCCGCGTGTTTTTGGAGGAGGGGCGCGAATGAGAGTGAGTCTGGGGGGTCGCGCCCCCCCCCCGCTCCTAACTGGAACACGACGCGGCCGATACAGGCGACAGGGGGGAGTCACGGGGGCACCCTGACAGCGTCACTACCACCTGCATACAAACAACAAATATGTTAATAGTATGAAGCATGTCCAAGAAGCTTGATAAAGCCACATAAAGTATTCTAACTGCTACTAGTGTTTAATATTAAGTTTCCCGCAGACATTTCATACCACCCCGCATTACAATTCATATTTCTTTATGCACAAACATTGTCTGTTTCCAAGTTACAATCAAATCCCACAGAACAGACACTTTAAAAGTCAAATATTTTTAATTGTTTTCGATCTAAATATATTCTAAACATGCTGATTTTATAAATAGCGTCATATCATATTCTGATTATAATTAAAGAATGATACTAATGTTCAGGGCATCACTTTATGATAGGGCAGACCTGCATAAATTCATGAAATGCCATGAAATGGAGTCAAATAAATAGTAGTCATCAAACTGTCTGTTAAATTAAAGATTGGGGTAACAACTAATATCCTATCAGATGGTACTAACAACATAACAGGTAAAAAGTGAGTGTCCTTATTAGATTATATTAAGAATTTGCAGATCTCGTAAATTCTTTGAAGAACAAATGTTAATAAGTTATGGTTGTTATATTATTAAGTTAATGTTATGCTTCAGTACAAGTTGTACTACATTGCCATATCTCATACCTGATGAAGTTTTTATCATCATCCTAAAGTTTAGAGGAAAAATAAACTAGTATGTGAGATGAATTACCTTTCGGCTGCCAGCGTGATTCCTATGTTCGCAGAGCCAAACTCCTTGCCAGGTGCCAAGGTTTAGCTTTCCATCAGTGATGGGGATTGTTAGTGAGGATCCCAGGAAGCATGCCTTCACATGAGCAGGCTGTGAGATAACATTAAAGTGCATTAATTATTAAGTTCCATTAGTCAAAATAGCTCAAAATCTTATGTGACTTGTATTAGTACCAAAATATATTTTTTTATAGTACTCCTTTTCAAATAATAATGTGCCTTGTTTGGTATAAGCAAATCAGTAATCAATCAGTTTAACCTCTGTTATCATGAAATGAAACAGTGCAAGGTTATTGTTGCATATCAAATAGCCTTTAACATCACTTTAGCACTGATATGCTAATGTCAATACATAAGTAGAGGCATAACTAGAATACATATATTATGTTCAAGGACATAAACATCTTTACAGTAAATACTAATGGTTATTTGTTAAATATTGTAGCAGTGATGTAAATATGATCCCATAGCTGCATTCCAAAAATTTCACACAGCCAAGTAATGTTTTAATTAGCAATACATAATAAATTATTTAAAGTTATAGCCAATGCAGAACATACTGGCAGGTATGTAGCTAATAGCTTAGATGCATACTTCATTTGTTATTGATAGAACAAAATAATTCACTTGCAAATTAATAAAAACACTCCAAATTCAAATTTAACACTGCAGTAAAGGTTAATGCCAGTATGACTCTGATAGGTTAATGAAAATTGATGAATGATTAGCACAACAAACACTCACCATGTCATCAGGGCCTTCACACGAGTGTCGATAAGGCAAGCCTTCCGGCACTATTTTATTGAGCATCATCTCCATATCATCTCTAACATCAGGATCCCAGCTCTCGTTGAGTGCGAGACTTGCCGATGTGTGCATTACTGGAAACAACATTGATTGATCAGCTGGCTACCGCGCGACTATCACGTTGCTTAGATTTCACAACAAATTTTTCTTGTATCACTTCACATCCTATGCATCGTAAAATAGCGCGAGATTTTAACAAGAAGGATAAATATGACAGTCGGCAAGGATGCAACATCGGCGGCAAGACAGGAATGCTGTCAAGGCAGCGGATACTCACTCTGGATATGGCAGAGACCGACTGCAAACTGCGAGAGCTCCGGCACCTGCTTGAGGATCTCCTCAGTGACGAGGTGCACGCCCCGGTGCTGCGGCCTCAAGTTCAGTTTCCGTTGAAACCACGCGGATCCAATCTGAATTCCTCGGTTCGAGGCCATGTTTAATTTTTTAAAACGCTACAGAGTGATCGCAAGAACACAAACGATCTTACACAACATCACTTAGAACAACCTTTACATGAATTAATCCACAATTATCATAAAAGATGCATCTTCGATCTTTAAATAGTAATAAATATAACGGAGGTTATAGGACAGATTCGACACCCTATTTTCTGCGGGAAAGTGAAACAGTCTTCAAACGAAAGAGAAAAACGAATAAATGTTGTCAGTGTTAAAAAAATACTAAACCACCATGAATTTCATTCATAAAATTGACGGCGCGGTAGGCCAAGTCTACGAGACAAAATATTATGCAAGCAAGTAAAAAATAGCTATTTATGTAAGTGTTTACCCTTAAAATCTTCAAAAACATCATCTCACGATTGTAATTTCGTAATCAATAGTACGTTCATATAATGTTGTTAAAAAGAAATGTTAAAACGTTTTACTCAATATAATTCTTGATCAATTATTAAAATATATAGTAGCTAATTTTGTAACTCCTTATTTTTATTGATTCTTTTGTACAAAATAATAAATGTGCAGAGAATAATATTATTACACCCTTGTTTGCTTCTGCACTATTTAGAAAACTTTTGAGATTGGCAACAGTTATTATTTCTGTAGAGCTGGAGGGGATGATTGGCGCGAACATTCAAATAAATTATTTTTGATGCAAAATTTTATAGGTAGATTGTTTTATCAGCATTATTTTAATTATTTTATAAGCCATGTAACAATAAGTTAAACTGACCACGTCAAATGGTTGGTAGGTAAGTATGTGTTACATTTTTCAATAACAAATTGCTAACAGAGTAAAAGAAAATGATAGAAACAACGGGAGTGTCGAGGGTTGATATTTTTAGGTGTGGCATAGAACCACTCCTTGAAATAGTAATTAGTTCCTAACTCAGTAGGAGTCAGTGCGACCGCGTATTGTTTTACACAATAAGTATTCATTTTTAATCAATAACATGGACCCAATTATGGATATTATTAATAATTCAGAAGAGCCAGAATGGCTTGAAAGAAATGTGGTGGGAGATCTGAGACTATGGCAAATTATGTTTCTGTGTTTGGCAAGTGTTGCTTCTCTTAGTAAGTACTATACCTTCATTTCATCCCATTCATTACAAATCAGTAATTTAAACCAGTGGTTAACGTTTCGGAAACAATATTATGGACTTACTATTCGATTATTTCGATTTATTTTAGTCGTGATCGTATGCTGTTGTTTCCGGTACCGTATTCCTCGCACGAAACAACAAATCGAAGCTGACTATCAGAGGCGAAAGATCACCAATAAATTCCGTGCGAAGTTAGAGACCATACAGGATGCAAAGATGGACGCTATGTCGTTAAAAGATGGTAAGTAGGTAGGTAATTTGCCTTCTGTGAAAAAACAGCTTAGACTACGAGTTGCAGCATAAGGTTCTTGACAAATTGTGTAAGTAATTACATTTTCGGTGGTCGGCACCGCACTCGTGATGCCTCAGTTGTTGCAGATTTACACCTGTAAACCTTATTGCTACCGTAAGTGGTATATTATGTACATGGTAAATGGGTACATTTCACCTATACCATATTCGGTATGTCTTTTTCAGTAGGTATTGCACGGTTATTGCTGGTTTTTATATCACTTTTACTATCACAAGGAAACAAACAAACATACCTAATACCTTTATTTTTAAACAAACAGCGTCATACCTACGACTGCTTGCCACCAGTCAAATGACCAAACCACTACTTCAGATTTATTTGCACTGAACAACATCTTAAGATAAGATAATAAAATATTTTATATCAGAGTCTAACTGGCATTGTTCTTGCGTATTACAGCGTTGGATATACTGCACGAACAAACTGCTATTAACATGGAGGGAGAAAATCAACAGGGATCGCAGCCAAGCTCTATCATGTCACCGCAACAAAGTAAGTAGTGTAAGACCTTGACTCTTGCCACATTACCGATTTATTATTGTATTTTCCATGCCCAACTAAAAATAAAACAATCAGCCGAACATAGTACCTCCTCCATTTTTGAAGTCGGTAGAAATAAATTACTATCAATCTTACTATGTTTTGTGGTATAACGGCACTTCAATAAATAATAAGGTACTTTGTACTACGACATAAGTAAATAAGTTTGTTGTTTTTACAGGTTCATTGGACGCATCATTTCAGCCTGAAGGCGGGCAGAAACCGGAGCCTCAAGCATCGGGTCTTAGTTTTGTAAAGTTTGCGTCCAAAGTTGCAACTATCTCCAAACTAGGACAACCCAAGTCACCAACATCGCCCACACCCTCGGGAAACAAGATGGAGTTCTAAATGTATTTATAAGGTTATTAATGAATTATTATATGCTTATTGTGCAGTTGATATTATGATATATATTTAAGTAGAATATTCTTATAGGACAAATAAAATAAAATTTAAAATGCAGTAAGTTTTCTTTAATCTAGAAAATAAAAAATACAGTATAAACGGATTTTAAATCACAAGAATAATTACATATTCACAAATAACTTCGGTATTCTGCGCTGTTTACATAATCTCGCATTAAAACTGACAGTAAAAACAATAATTGTCCAATGTAAGCAATAACTTTAAAGCAACATTTAACTTACACTTTATAATACATAAATAATACATCTTGCAAATAAAAATTACATAAATTCAAGTTAGCTAAGTTTTATTAAATAGTTAAATCGTTCTACATACTTGTATTACGCTCCTTCTTAATTATATTCAATGTTGCTTTGAGAACCTTCAAATTAATTTCAGGTTGAATGTCACTAACATTTCATTTTCTGACTTAGTGTATTATATTAAAATTTTATTGTAATCCCACTGACTCGACACACTTTAGATAGCCTAACCTCTCAGTCCTTGACTCAATATAACTTTACCACTCTCATCCAGACACAGGTAATAATTTATTAATCGTATCTTAAACACTAGACATCGCATCATCTCCCGTAATGCAAGTTGTTCTATTGTTCACTCGATATCCACGCCTCTTGGTGTTCACAATACTTTGAGCAATTATTGATGTTGGTGCAAATATGATACGAACACAATACAAACTTGCGTCGAATGAGAAGTGTTTTGTTTAGCTATGGGACGAAACTAACTATACTCAAAATAGTCTTAAATCGTGAATAAATTTTTGCTAGAAATAAGTATTTTTATAGAGTTTTTATTCTCTGCCTAAAACTAAAAATGCAATTTGGAATAAAAGAAAGTGGTGTGTAAACAATCGAATTGCACTTACAACGTTAGATACATAGTGTATCATGTTCTAAACTAGCGACTCTATCGATTCGAAGCACCGACACGCGGCGGCCTCGTAAACAAATTGCAAATTGAACTCAACCTTTATCATAAATAAGGCCATTATGATTTCTTAGAGTTCGTTTTGACTATGGAAGAATCTATTGAGAAATACTATACACTTTCACTTACATTATAATTGAATCGGACCTACCTAAAACATAAAGGTGAAACTCTTATTAAAATTATTGTTCGTATATATTGCGTAGCATTATTAAACTAAACATAGGAGTGGCGTAAAAATTATTAATTGAATATAATTCGTACGAGTTTTGTGCATGATACCTGTCTCGATATTTCAGTGATATACATTTTTACAAGTTTGTCAACCGAAACGGTAAGTATAGGCTAGATTTTATAATACACTTTATCCTACATGAGGATTGGTAATGTCATAACTTACAACAAAATTACGTAAGCTACAAGACAAGATCGCTCTCGATGGACACTACGTTTATCTAACGCGTAACAATGTAATGAGGGTGTATTCTAACATTTTAGGAACCCAAGTTTTGGATGCCGCAGTGCCATCGCTATAAATAGAACTCTTGTAATAATAAAGCATAATTTTGTTATCAACAAGAACTACGGCAACATTATTTATTGACTTTAACGCTATGCTTGAAGAGTTGACAATAAATATCTATGATAAATACAATGTGCACATTTCTTTTGCTAATATAAAACGTCGATGGGCAGTACACAAGACATTGAGCACAACTGTGTTTATTTGGCAATTTTGTTTTAGAAATGGCATCAAGATGATTTTAAGAATAAGTACTTTGTGACGTTTGAATCAAACAAACAATTTATTTTAATAAATAACTATCTTATATGTCATTCCATTTTAACTTGGATAATATGAAATACGCACATTGTCGGAGTTTCTTCGTGGGTAACGCGTCCACTCGAATAATATCTCTGGTTGATATAGGTGTGACTTACAATGTTTAATTCGCGGGTGAATGTGGGCAGTTTGTATGAAGTGGGTAGTTCTCCCGTGTGGTAGTGTCCTGCAGGGAGATGTTACCGGAGTGGTGGCGTTAGCTGGAGAACGTAACTAGTGACAGCTGAGCTGTGGTCGGCGCCTACGTCCCGCCGGCGCGCAACACTCAGTCTCGCCTCACAAATGTTCTTCCACTGGAAAAATAACTTGGTGTCAAAATTGAAGCGTGTAAATAATAGAGAACGTACAGTAGAGCTGGAGGTATGGCATACTGACGTGATAGTCTTGCGCTCGGTGGGGCGCGAGGTGTTCTGGGGACGCGCGCGGTTGAGCACCTTGAGCAGGTCGCCGGCCTTGGCGCGCATGCGCGAGTGCACGTACACCTTGGAGCACTTGATGTGGTAGTGCAGGTAGTCGCGGAACATGTGCAGCAGGTCGATCGTGTTGTCGCGGGCCGCCGAGCACGTGTGCCGCGGGAACAACACTGCAACACACGCGTACATTGTACATATTCTCATGAAACATTTCAAGCTTTTTTATTTTCAACTAGTAGTAATTACTGTAGTATGCACACAGTTTCAAAATTAATTTATAAGTATACTAGCGACCCGCCCCGGCTTCGCACGGGTGCAATATGCATGTATTATACATACAAACCTTCCTTAAGAATCACTCTATCTATTAAAAAAAACCGCATCAAAATCCGTTGCGTAGTTTTAAAGATCTAAGCATACATACGGACATACAGCGAAAGCGACTTTGTTTTATACTATGTATTGATGTATAGGATTTATATTTGTTGACTATGCGTCGTTTCTTCAATCTTTACAAATTACAATGTGGCACCCGAGTTTATTAAAGTAGAATTTACAAAATGTCTTACCAAACGTAACATAACTGATATTGTCGCCTACTCTCGCGTCCGTGTCCATTAGTTCTAAGGGCGGTTCCTTATGTGAAAACAATACCTGAAAATAAAAATTGAATAAATATAAAACAATGATACATGAAATATTAATGATAGCCAGTTGCAAATATAGACAGTGAATGAATTATTATACATACAATGAAATCTTTTGAATATTTACATAAAGTAAGTACTTCATAACATATCACTGTTGAAAACCCTGTAAATTGTAAATACTCACAAAATTAATTACATTAACAATCAAAAAGAGCAACAATCAGTATGCTCTCAATGAGTCTGAATGACGTCGAGTCAATGACCTAATGATGATTCGGGTCGCGCGGGAAGCGGCCTGGTAGCGGAGCGCCGGTAATCTACTTTGACATGAGGGACAGATCAGATGTGACAGTGACGACTCTAGTACAGTTAATACTTACTTGCGGCGCGGTGTGCGATGCTCTCCGGCCCTCCTTGAGCTCCTGCATGAACACCTTCCCAATAACCATGTCATCCTCGTGTCGGAACACCGTAGAGAACACTACTGTCACGCGGTCTTCTTGCGCTTCCACGTATCTGGAATTTTATACCATTTTATAAGAAAACTTATTAAGATGGATTAGTCACTTTATCGATCTATGATTACACCAGAAAGAAGTGCCACCGCACTCTAGTCAATTTTTACGGCTAAATTTAAGCATTTAAGATTCAACTATTTACTTACAACGTCTCGTCCTGTCGGTAGTTGATAACGGCGCGTTTATGGCTGACATCGCCATCTTCTTGCAGCCGGAAGTAACGTTCGAAAACTGACGCAAAGCAGTTTCTCTTTAGAAGACCGACCTTTTTCACGACGTCTTCCCAGTCGTCGGGAATGTTCTCCAAGTCGAGTAACAAAGAGATGTTGTAACCTGCAGATAAAAGAAAATATGGATCAAATACTTGGAATAAGATGTAATGTAGGAGGGAATTTTAAATGGTCAATAGAACTTGTAAAGCAACATATCCGAAAACATAATTTTGAGTATAAATATGTGCTTCAATTATATAAATATTTTTAAACGTTAAGTTGAAATATCTATTGGCTATTGAGTATCTATGGAGACGACTATAAATCTCCAGTTTTATTTACACTGACGTATTTAAATCAACAAAGCGACTCGTGCATTGTGATGGCTTTGGCGATAGATGTGGTTTTAAAATAAATATGGAAATGCTAATTGTGCTCGGTCAATTTCTATCGGGAAATGACGTAACGACACAATAATACTCCATACCATAGTAACTTACGTACTACCTAGTCACGTCCATGTTTTTCCATAACTATTTCCCTAGAGACAGTTGCTTTGATGATTATGCAAAGGTGTGTCGCTTTATGACTAATCAATACGAGAGTTCAAAGCACTACTTTATCATTTGGCAGTGAATATTTTATGCTAACAAATTGTCCTTACAAAGGGGACTGTCTAATAACAAAGAAGATTGATTTGACCGTCGGCTATAATGTTCAAGTATTCTGTAGGTCAATACAAGGTGTTTTTGCGCTAACTTTGCCAGGTGGACATTACCCAAACGCAAAGATAATAGCTGAAAATATATGAGTAATAAATAAATACTAGAGATAATACGTTGATGATTTTACGTTTTAAATATTTAACGAAAAAGGAAATTCGTATTGAAGCGAAAAATACAAGTGGAGATAAGCCACGAGTTTAAAATTAAAACATTTTATATCTTATCAATAGTGTTCCATACTTGTCCACACTTGCAATCTTATCATAATATGTTTTCAATATGTGTGGATACAAATAAAGAGTAATATTTTTGTCAAAAAATGCTATTCAGTTGTTGATGTGTCCATTGCTATGGTAAATGTACGATCAATTAAATGCAGTTCATACTGCCTCTCAATGAGATACTGGATGGCCTAGACATTAATAGATTGTAACAGACCTACTAGTACTTAAAATGTAGGACACACTTGTAATGGGAGAGCAAAAACAAGTGAATAAAGAACATGCAAGATGGTATTAAAAAAAAATTAGCAACTTTTTTAAATAGTTAAAAATAGTCAATGCTATACTAAAGTTTCAAAAAGTAGATAGTATTTATCTGCTTTTGAGAATGTTTTTCTCTATAGAAACAAACTTTTCTCCGTGTATTTGAAAAGTGTTTTCTTAAAATGGATTTTTTGTGGTTTGATAATAACAAATTATGTAGGCAAACGTTCACATAACATTTTTCAATAGTACTATTATTAATCAAAATATGACTCACTATGAGGAAGTTCAAATGTACATGGCACACCCATTATTGTCCTTAAATGTGACAGAAAACTAGTAATATGAGATATATTTAGTTGATATTTGAACTGGAACAATAGCTGCTCCACTGAACACCAGCAATTATGCAACGTGTAAAAACAAGGCTCACATACTCGCTTTCATTTTATGCAACTGTTCAACAACTAGTTTTTGCAGAGCTCTTGAAGTTGTGCAGATGACTTAGACATTACAAATATTTGAATTGAAACTTATTTAATATTAGAATATAAATTAAGAGTAATAAGTTAGTTAATATTTTTTGTTATTTTAAAGTACATATCCTACTTTACTGGGACACGACATAATGTTGTTACTTATAGGAATTATAGTATTCCAACTGAAGTTTTCCTTATAGGAAAAACTAAATTTATTATTTAAGGTAATTGTGTTATGCTTGTTATAGTTATTATTTTAGAACCTGGTTTACCACAAAATCCAGTTATTTAATGAATGCATTGAAGGGAGTAAAGTGATGTATTATTACCTGACTCTGCCTCAGTGAGGAGTGGTCCATATACTCTTTTGAGAAGCTCATCTGCTCCATGTTCTTCTAACTGCTTGTAGAACTTCAATGATATACTAACCTACAAACAATATGGATACAATGTTATTATAAACAATACAAATAAAAGACATTAAAAAGTAAGTTCAGACCCACCTATCAAACATTAATCCACTTTATCAAAGATAAAAACACTAATAGATTAACCTTTGTTTATTGAGTGTTAAGTATGAACATTCAAATATAATGTTAGGCTCAATTTCTACATTATTCTAGTTACAAGTGAAGCTGTGTAAACATATTAATAGGTCCCATTTAATAGGGTCACCTATAATAATTGGAGTGACAACATAAACATGATATATTATTTTCCTCTTTTACATGTCCTTATAGGGAAAAAAGCATGGTAAAAGATAACATTTTAAGCTTTACCCTAAGGTTTTAAGCACAAATTAACTGTATGGGAAAGTATTAATGACACAGTGTAATAAACACTTAAAAGTCCACATACCCTAACTTTGGTTTTATCTCCATTCACATTGGATATATGAAAGAGTACTCCATCAAAATCTGCAACTTTCACATCTATTGACTCTGGCTTTAAGCTGGAAACAAAAACATAAATAAATAAATATTTGTGGGATGACAAATCAACATCGAATTACTCATATCCTGGAGTATGTCGCCACATTATTATCATGGCATTCTTCCACTATACCAAATGGATAGCAGTATCACATATCAGATTCATTACATTGTTTACCACCACTGGAATCCAAAAACATTATGGGACGTATCCGCACACACACTACCGAACACCAATAAACAACTGATGACTCATCCATGCTGAGATAGCCACTATCACGTCATATTCACTACATGACATAATACACATCAAATCACTAGGTGCCCTTTTCCTATACATTTATATGGACCTGCTGTGATGCGGCGGCCAACGTGGGCCCACCCCAGGAATTTGACACTTGTCAAGTTACATCCGAAAAGGGGTTATGGCCAGGAATCACCCCCTCGTAGACAGTTCCACTGACGCCACTGTACGGCGGAATCCGTGTAAATGGGCTGCATGCTCGTTAAACACATCACATTTATAAAAAAACAGTACACTTTCTAAGCGTAACGTACTCACCGCGCCAGTGCATTTTTATATTTAACTGTTAAAGTATCTTCTATAATTCTATTATTGATCTCGAGTAAGATCATTATTTAACAATTTATAACCTACAGCTTTTTCATAAAATCAACGCTTATAGCACCTTCATTTAATAATTTATACGGAAATCTTCAACGATGACCGCCCGTATATAGATATCCATAAACGACAGAAAGAAAAGGAAGCTCCAAATGAATGAAATATCGGCCATGTAACCATAGAGCACGGATAATTTTATTGAGTGCTCACTTTACACTTGCGGTCAAATAGTATTATTTTGATTGAAAAAAGTCAAAAAGGATTAAGATAATTTTGTGTTGAATATTTAAAATTACAGTAAATTAACTATTTACATAATTTTGCTTTCAAAAAAAAATAAAAAATAAACAAAAATCCGTAACTTACTAAAAGACGATTCACATCCCTATTCAATGACATGTAATAAAAAAACAAAATTTCTAGTCTATGTTTGGTATTGGGTTGGTGTGGAGCAGTACCTGCCACTACTTTGTTTATTTTTATATTGAACTGAAAAACGCGTGATAAATTGCGCGTTTTGATTTCTACGTGCACGATGAAATAATTTAAAATCAAGATGTCTAATCAAGTAGGTGCGTTCGTTGCGGGACTTAAGTCCCGCAATGTCGATGTTCAAATCAGGACGGCCCGTGAGCTTTATCATTTTGCGAAGACGGAACTCCGAGAAGTCCCACAGGAGGAATTGACTCAATTCCTCGATGAATTTAATCACCAGATCTTCGAAATGGTGTCCAGTAATGATGTACATGAGAAAAAAGGAGGTGTTTTAGCAATAGGTAAAAATAATAGTTTTCTATGTACCATCTTTTAATTTTTATGTTATGTCATGGAGAATGCTCTTTATGTTATTTTAATTTCAGTATGCCTCATTGGTGGTGATTGTGATACGACTAAAACGCGAATTACCAGGTTTGCAAACTATCTTCGGAACCTACTACCTTCTTCTGATGTCGGTGTTATGGAACTTGCCGCTAAAACTGTCGGCCGCCTCGCCACAGTGTCCGGCGTCAAACGAGCAGAATATGTTGAGTTTGAAGTTAAAAGAGCATTTGAGTGGTTGTCTGAAGAGAGAAATGAAGGTAGACGCCATTCAGCTGTATTGTTGCTGAAAGAGTTAGCTATAGCTATGCCCACTTATTTCTACCAACAAGTATCAGGATTTTTTGATCACATTCTTGTCGCATTGAAGGATCCAAAGCCTCAAATTCGTGAAGCTGCAGCAAAGGCTTTAAGAGCAGGTTTAGTAGTGACTGCGCAGAGAGAAACAGCCAAACAATCAACTGCCAAACCACAATGGTACATGCAGTGCTATGAAGAAGCAATGCTGTCCTTTGATGAAATTCCAGCAAAAGAGAAGGGCATTACCAAAGAGGATAGAGTCCATGGAGGCCTGTTAATCTTGAATGAGTTGCTGAGATGTTCCAATGCTGTGTGGGAGAAAAAGTATTCGTATCTAATGCAGAGTCTAGATTCCCAGAAAGACATCACAGTGTCTGACGATATTATTTTTATAAGCACTAAGTTACACAGTCCATCAGTAAAGAGAGGATATTTGTGTGATGGCTTCAAGACTGAAAATGTTACATACCCAGTTCCTATTTATGAATCTGAAGTTTGCCGTAGACTTCTTACTAAGAGATTTGAAAGAATTTGCAAAGGTAAATGCTTTAAGCTATAACATTAAGCAAAATTTGTTAAAATTCTAATAGTAATTTTTTTTAATTTCAATAATGTTAATTGTTTTTTGCAGATGTTATGAACCAACGCTTCCTCAAAACCCAAGGAGTTCCTCAAATTCTCTTTGTCATTATTCCACGACTAGCTGCATTTAACAAAGAGTTTTTCTTAAATAAATACCTCACTTCTACTATGAGCTACTTGCTCTCTTGTCTACGCAGTAGAGAAAAAGATAGGAACATGGCATTTACTACACTGGGACTTATGGCTGCTGCTATAGAAAATGACATTAAGAACTATATTCCCTGCATTATGGATGTCATCAAACAAACACTGCCTGTTAGAGACACACAAACTAAAAAGAGGATTTGGATTGATCCCTCAATTTTTGCCTGCATAACTTTACTTGGGAGTGCAGTGAAAGATCTAGTCACCACTGACATTAAAGAGTTGCTAGACGCCATGTTTGCTACTGGCCTGAGTCCTTCTCTCACAATCTGCCTCAGAGAGTTGAGCAACAATATACCTTCCTTAAGAGCAGAAATATCGGAAGGTCTGCTAAATATGCTTTCTCTTGTTTTAAGAAATAAACCATTCTTACATCCAGGTGTGCCGAGAAGTTTGGAACAGCAGATGAGTAACATGAGTTTAGTAATGGAACCCCAAGATACTGCTAGCATTGTTCTAGCTTTAAGAACTCTTGGATCATTTAATTTTGAGGGGCAGCACAGCTTGCTTACTTTTGTAAGGCGCTGCGCTGACCACTTCTTGCAGAGTGAACAACAGGAAATTAGATTAGAGGCAGTGAAAACTGCTGCAAAATTATTGGCTGATTCAATGATTAGGACTATGAAAACTCCTTCAAGGACTCTCACTCTGCTGACTGCAGAAGTGGTGGGCAAGTTGCTGGTTGTTACTGTAACAGATCCAGATTATGAAGTACGATACTGGGTACTGGAGTCCCTAAACAATATGTTTGATATACATTTAGCTCAAATTGAGAATTTGAGTTTTCTTTTCATGGCCATGAATGATGAGCATTTGGCTATAAGAGAACTTGCAATCTGTACTGTTGGCCGATTGAGTGTAGTTAACCCAGCTTATGTCATGCCGGGACTACGCAAGACATTGATACAGTTTTTAACTGAACTAGAACACTCTGGAATGAGTAGAAACAAGGAACAAGCGGCCAGAATGTTGGACAATCTCATTCGTCATGCTCCAAAGCTGATAAAACCTTATATGGAGACAATTTTGAATGTACTGGTGCCAAAACTCAGAGAATCAGACTCAAATCCTGGTGTGGTCATAAGTGTTTTGAAAGCTATTGGTCACTTGGCTGATGTCCATGGTGATAACAGTGGTCTCAAGAAATGGCTACCAGACTTACTAAGCATTCTTTTGGAGTTGTTATCTGATGCAAGTGCAACAGAAAAAAGGAGCGTTGCTCTTTGGGCGTTTGGTCAATTGATCGGCGCTACAGGTCACGTCGTCACTCCTTACACAGAGTATCCCACCCTCATGGATGTCCTATTGAATTTCCTCAAGACTGAACAGCAACCAAAAGATAGGAGGGAAACCATCCGTGTTTTGGGATTGTTAGGAGCTTTGGATCCTTACAAACATAAAATTACAAGAGGTTTGATTGGCGAAAAACCTGATTCCAGCTTAGTACCTGTTGCAGATAGCAAAGCCGAAGAGAATAATTTCGATATGACGACAAGTGAGATGCTAGTGAATATGTCGTCCACCGTCTTGGATGAATACTATCCAGCCATAGTTATATCGACGCTTATGAGGATCCTGAGAGACCCCACACTGCAACAACATCATACTAGTGTTGTCCAAGCTGTCACCTTCATTTTCCAGTCTCTGGGTATCAAGTGCGTGCCTTACATATCTCGAGTTACGCCAAGCCTGCTTTACGTGGCGAGGGCAACCGACAACAATACCTTTAGAGAATTCCTATTTACTCAATTAGCTAGATTAATTGCGATAGTGAAGCAGCACATTCGCAATTATTTGGACAAAATATTCGATTTGATCAGAGAGTTTTGGACACCTAATAGTTCACTACAACCTACATTGATTCTTTTGGTGGAGTACATCGCGGTTGCTCTTGGATCAGAATTTAAAGTGTACTTGCCTCAGTTGATGCCACAGGTTTTGCGAGTTCTGGCACACGATACGAGTAAAGACAGAATAGTCACTGAGAAACTTCTGTATGCCCTACAAAAGTTCGAAGACAACTTAGATGACTACATGCATCTAGTCATACCGTCAATAGTCAAGTTATTTGATGCGACAGACTGTCCAATTGGCGTGGCCAAAGTGGCCATGGAGACGGTGGACTACCTGTCTGACACTCTAAATTACGGTGAACTAATTTCTAGAATAATCCATCCTCTAGTCAGAAGTCTAGACACCTGTGCACAACTGCGACCAACTGCGATGGACACTTTATGTGCTATTATAGTACAGCAAGGTCGCAAGTTCACTGATTTTATACCATTGGTACAAAAAGTGGTGGGTAAGCACAAAATACAGCATCAAAACTACGAATTACTACTATCTCGAATGCAGTCTAGCCAAAATTTGGCTATGGATGAGTTCCTACAAAGCACTAGAAGGAGACCACGAAATAATAACCAGGAGGTAAAGTTCTATTCTATTATTTATGCAAAATATAATTATTTGGTCACCTATGTATATCAATCATTTAATTGTTATCTTTGACAGGCTCGAATCGGTTACACCTGCGATACTTCGCAATCCATACGCAAGTTGTGTGTTAATGCGCATAATCTGAAGCTGGCGTGGACAGTCAGCAGCCGAGTGTCGAAAGATGATTGGCTGGAGTGGCTTCGACGATTTAGCATTGGATTACTGACAGAGTCACATAGCCCTGCACTGAGGTAAATATCGATGAATATAGAGCTGCATAACAATTTCACATTAAATTATACACTATTTAAACTGTTATGTCACTTACAGGGCCTGTCTGGCGTTAGCACACAACTACTCACAACTTCTCCGGGATTTATTCAACGCGGCCTTCGTCTCATGCTGGACAGAACTTGACAAGACGTCTCGCCAAGAGCTGTCGAACGCTCTAGAACAAGCCCTCACGGCCCCCGACGCGCCCGAGCTGGCGCACACCGTGCTCAACCTCGCCGAGTTCATGGAGCACTGCGAGGGCGGCGCCCTGCCTATATCCACGCACCTGCTAGGCGAGAGGGCGATGCATTGCAGAGCCTATGCAAAAGCTCTCCACTATAAGGTCATTTCAATAATTTCAATTTAATATTGCTTTACGCCTTATTTTTTATTTATTTTATTATTTTTTTGTTCTAATAATATTTTTTTACCACAGGAAGAAGAATTCCGTAACGGCGCTACATCTCAAGTAGTAGAGGCTTTAATCCATATCAACAACAAACTACAACAGAAAGAGGCCGCCGAAGGGCTTCTCGAAAGAGTGATGGCACAGCGTGAAGCTGGAGATACCAGCCTGAAAGTACAAATACGGTGGTATGAGAAACTACACAACTGGGAGAAGGCTCTTGACTTATACGGCGAGAAACTAAATGTTGATATGGGCGATATGGACTCGTATCTGGGTGAGTTGCGTTGTTTCGAAGCTCTGGGAGAATGGGTGGAGCTTTATAATACCGTATCCAAGAAATGGGTCAAAATGACCAATGAAGAAAAGTGCAAAGCTGCGCGTTTAGCCGCCGCGTCTGCTTGGGGTCTCAACGAATGGGACTCCATGGCCAAGTATGTCAGATTCCTCCCAGAAAACACACAAGACGGTGCATTCTACAGAGCAGTTCTCAACATCCATAATGGAGAATTCGAACTATCTAAACAGTACATCGATCAAGCACGAACTTTACTTGATTCTGAGCTGACGGCAGTCGCCGGTGAAAGCTATCAGAGAGCATACGGTGCACTTGTTAACGCTCAGCTGCTGGCAGAATTAGAAGAAGTAATCACTTACAAGTCAGTCGTGGAGAGGAGAGAGTCTATAAGACAAGCGTGGTGGACACGACTGCAGGGTGGACAGAGGCTGGTGGAAGACTGGCGCAGAATTCTACAAGTTCGTAGTTTAGTTCTGACACCGCAAGAAGATATGGCCACATGGCTCAAGTTCGCCTCACTTTGCAGGAAGAGCGGCGCTCCGCGACAAGCTCATAAGACTTTGGTAATGTTGTTGGGAACAGATCCTAGCAAGAATAAAGATATGCCACTGCCTACACACGAGCCAAGACTAACTTTAGCGTACGCCAAACACTTGTGGGTAGCTGGTGACAAGCAGTTGGCATACGACCAGCTACAACGGTACGTCGACTCTACGGAAACAGGCGACCCGGAGCACTGCCGACTGCTTGCACGGTGTCACTTGAAACTAGGATCGTGGTGTGAATCCCTACTTGGTATTAATGAGCTCTCTATTCCCGAAATCCTACGAAACTACGCAGCTGCTACGGACCTATCTTCTGATTGGTATAAAGCCTGGCACGCGTGGGCGTACATGAACTTTGAGACTGTTCTATTCTACAAACATCAGGATGCTAATGCAGGCCAATCGGAAAGGCGTCCCTCGCCGGAGTGTATACAGCAACATACCGTGCCTGCCGTGGAAGGATTCTTCAAGTCCATTAAATTATCTCACGGTAGTTCGCTACAAGACACTTTGAGATTGTTAACTTTGTGGTTTGATTATGGTCACTATCCAGCTGTTCACGAGGCGCTCGTTGAAGGCATTCGGACGATCGAGATTAATGTCTGGCTCCAAGTGATCCCGCAGCTTATTGCTAGGATCGACACGCCGCGAGCATTAGTTGGAAAGCTGATTCATTCCCTATTAATAGATATCGGCAAGTCACATCCTCAAGCTTTGGTATATCCCTTAACGGTGGCTTCGAAGTCATCGTTCATCGCTCGGAAGAATGCTGCGAATCAGATTTTGAAGTCAATGTGTACCCATTCTAGTAACTTGGTAAACCAGGCTGCCATGATATCCGAGGAGCTGATCAGAGTGGCTATTCTGTGGCACGAACAATGGCATGAAGCTTTGGAAGAAGCTTCCAGATTGTACTTTAACGAGAACGATGTGAATGCAATGTTTAAGACATTGGAACCGCTGCACGCTATGCTGGAGCGGGGCCCGCAGACACTGAAGGAAGTCTCGTTCACTCAGGCGTACGGAAGAGATCTGAATGAGGCACAAGAGTGGTGTAACCGATATAAGGTATGTTACTGTTGTAGGACATTTGTTAATGATAAATATTTTTTTCTTTTTTGTTAAATCATTTGTACTATGTAATATTTTAGTTGTGATTTCCTATCAGCTCAGCAACGATTTATAAACTTGTCCAGGAGTCGGGTCAAGTCCGGGACCTGAGCCAAGCGTGGGACCTGTACTACCACGTGTTCCGGCGCATCAGTAGGCAGCTGCCGCAACTAACGTCGCTAGAGTTGCAGTATGTGAGCCCGCGCCTGCTTAACTGCCGCGACCTGGAACTCGCGGTGCCCGGCTCTTACGTGCCTGACCAGGACCTCATCCGTATCGCTAACATACAGAGTAGTCTGCAGGTTAGATATTCTTGTTTTACTTAGTCACAGTACTGTACGTGATTCCAATGCTATCTGCCTTCCACAACCCGTTGATTAGGTACCATGTGGATTGTGAAGAGCAGATGGTTGTAAGTTTTATTAATAGTTTCTAACCGTAAAGACTGTCATTAGATGTTCATAACAAATGTCAATTATTAGTTCAAGATTACTGAAAATATACGTTTGATTCTCAAAAGGTAATCACGTCGAAGCAGCGCCCTCGCCGTCTGTGTATCCGTGGCTCCAACGGCAAGGACTACATCTTCCTACTGAAGGGTCACGAGGACTTGCGCCAAGACGAGCGAGTGATGCAATTATTCGGTCTTGTGAATACTCTGCTGCAGGCTGACCCTGATACCTTCCGAAGAGATCTTGCTATTCAACGATATGCCGTCATACCGCTTTCAACTAATTCTGGCCTGATTGGATGGGTACCTCATTGTGACACCCTGCATTCGTTAATAAGGTAGTTTATAAAAAGCTTTTGATGATAGTAACTAGTGAAATTAGTTTTATATCACGTGAGACTAAAATGGCATAATTTGCGGGTGTAAATTCTTACATCAAAATTATACTTTAATCATTCGATGATTATCCCTCCTTCAAAAATAATTATAGACTAATCAAATGTGCAATTATTATTTGCAGAGATTATCGAGAAAAGAGAAAGTGCCTGTTAAATATCGAGCATCGAATTATGCAAAGGATGGCTTCCGATTTGGACAAACTGATGTTAATGCAAAAGGTAAGGAAATACAATGTACATATTTATTTGTCAGGATAATATGGTTCACTGTAACCATTTAATTTTACGTTTTTATTGTCTAGGTGGAAGTCTTTGAACACGCTCTAGAGCATACGGCAGGTGACGACCTTGCCAAGTTACTCTGGTTGAAGAGTCCATCTTCCGAAGTGTGGTTCGAGCGTCGAACTAACTACACTCGGTCGTTGGCTGTCATGAGCATGGTGGGCTACATCCTGGGACTCGGCGACCGACATCCCTCCAACATTATGTTGGACAGAGTCACCGGCAAGTTTTTACACATCGACTTTGGAGACTGCTTTGAAGTAGCCGTCACTAGGGACAAATTCCCTGAGAAAATACCCTTCAGACTGACAAGAATGCTCATTAATGCTATGGAGGTAAGATTACAATGTATTATATGCATTTTGTAAATGGTCTGCGCGTTATATCTGACAGCGATGTCGCCGTTAAATCTTAAAACAAAAAAGCTGTAGTTTTCTGTATCACAAATCAGTACAATTAATTTCCCAGCAAAGCCCTGTTTATTATCACTCGAAATTGTACACAATGAGTATTATCGGTAAACATACCGCTGATTTATTGATTTTTCGATCGATTCCGTTTCTTCACGAAATTTCACTGATAACCTTAAAGACCTTCAGTGGATTTAATTTATGCAATATATTATCTAGGTATCAAATCTTTCCAACCATCCATTCTACATTTCAATTCTGATACTATTTTTTCTGCAACCAGGTTGTTAGTTCATATGTAAATTAAAGAGTAACCATGTATCCAGACCTCTTTAAAATTATTTTATAATGCCATAAATGAAAACTAACTACTTTCAATAAAATAATATTGTTACGTCATTACAACACTGTATGTTCTTCATTTATAGGTGACGGGTATTGAGGGCACGTACCGTCGCACGTGTGAATCTGTGATGGAAGTGCTGCATCGTCACAAGGACAGCGTGATGGCTGTACTAGAGGCGTTCGTATACGATCCTCTACTAAACTGGAGGCTCATTGACGCTGGTCGGCGGTCCCGAGCTGATGCAGAAGTCTGTTCCACGTCAGACCCGACCTCCTCACCACAACCGAGCAGGAACAGAATACATATTGGGCTGAACGACACCCTCGACCAACCTGCGGAGACGAATTTGAACAAGCGAGCCCTCGCCATCGTCAACCGAGTGAGGGACAAGCTGACCGGCCGAGACTTCCCCCACATCGACGAGATAGTCTCCGTGCAGAAACAAGTCGACCTGTTAATACAACAGGCCACCAGCAATGAGAACCTCTGCCAATGCTACGTTGGCTGGTGTCCGTTCTGGTAATACCAAAGGATTTTATAATCGAAGTTTTTTATCTTAGGCTAGCGATATCGTAAGCATTATTTCTCGTTTATATCAGTCGAATATACCTCTGGGAATGTTAAGCACATAATTTTGAATGCAGCTAGTGACTTAGAACATTTAGTTTTAGGTTTCAAAGTCACACAAGTATACATATTATATAAACGTTCGTCCGTATTTCACGATCCAAGTGCCTAATTGAGTACGATTGTACTGTACGTGTGGTTGAAATCGGACGCCAATACAGCTAAGGGCTGTTATTAGAAACTCTATAACAACTAAAATGCATTTAATGATAACTAGCATTTAGTTTAACTCATTTACAAATTAAGGTATAAAATATAGGGATAGATAAATATACACTATATTTAGAAGATCCGGTTATTTCTCGGGTATTTTAGGGACTTAAGGATTCATGAAAACACTAGCCATACATGTAGTAGTCACGTCTTTTTACTTTTGTTAATACTGTTTCCTATCACTGACGCCAATCCAAGCAACTATATTAGTTGAGCAGTAATATTTTTGGTGACTGACAACCACTCTTAAGCGTAGGGCCGTACCACGATTAACCGCAGTAACTTTAATCGCGCACGACATGTCCCAAAGGAAGCAGTGCAACTGCACGCACTAAAGATTTTATGCTTCGATCGATCTAAAAACTGCAACGTGCTTGAGAGACCAAATCGCGCTACGCTACAATACGAAACCGATATTTAGTACGTGTTCTTTTGCGATTAAACGCAATACGCTGTGTGGCCTAAAGCTTCTACAGACGAAATATTATATCTTTTTAAAAAAATTGGGATGTTTTCTGTAACAATTTATTCTCAGTGATTTATCTTAAAATGATTATGCTATCATTACTTGATTATATAATACCAATATATATAATATAGGTTTTTTACAAAATATATTTTATCGTCGATGTGTATAATACCGGTATTTATCGGTAATCGTGGGTGCAATACACATCACACTCGGGTTTGGGTCTGGTTGTCCAGCCACTAAGCTATACAGTCAATATTGAATAAAACATTAAACATTGATACATCCCTATTTTAATATTACAACTCTGTAATCTTCAATTTAAATAAAAATAGTGGTGATCTGAGCCGCGAAGAAGAAGTTTTTTACTATAATTATGTAATTAGTTTTCTATTTCTTTCTATTGACTATTAAATACTGCACTGATGACATTAGCTTATTATTGAAAATATTACAACAAATTGTGTTGTTTTGTGGTTGTTTTAAATTAGAGTGTCTCGTGGATATATTGGTCACAATCCCTATACTTTTTGCATACTTGAATGTATAAATGATTATGTAGTTAATGCATTATTGCATAAATTATATTTTGGCATAATTTTATGAGTTCAATATTAGTGCCTGTACAGACGAATGACTGTTGTTCCACTGACTCACTGCATCACAGACTGCACTTAATCTTCTAGGGTTATTCCGTATAGGTACACTCAGTCCCAATAAGCATCTATGTACGACCGACAAACATATTATTGAGAGAACCCGACAATTTATAGCGCATCTAAATTGAAAAAATGCATGTACCTGTGAGGCAGTTAGTCAAGTTCTTTATGAGTCATTAACTGATCCTGAAGCTCTTCGTCTGCGCTGGCCCAAGTGTTATGCAATGTGTAAAAAAAAAATAGTGCAAATGGATAGGGAATCCAATGAACTCACTCATACGACTAATAACATAACTAGTGAATCTATTACACCTCTATGTTATGTTATTTCATATAATTATAAGAATTAATATAAAAGGTAAACTTATTTTATGGGAAATGTAAAATTGTGCCTATATTGTGATAACATTATATCGTTTCCATAATGTTATGGAAGTGATTATATTAATAATATGCTACTTGTAAATACGCCATGTTTATAATATCTGAATTGAAGATTGTTTTTCATGGAATAAAAACGATTAATTGGTATTTTGATGTTTTCTTTTATGCGTTTGACAATAAAATAACTCTCATTATTTAATTGTAAATAACAATTGGTCATAGGAGGTACTTCCTTGGTGGTATAACTGTAAATAACCCTTGAATAGCAGTTGGGTTAAAGTTATTGGGTTTTGGTTAAAAGACTTTTTCCCACAATGCCCATTATAAGGTAAGGTGGCGGTGACGTGTGTCGCTCGCGAGAAAGGTAGGAGGTGTAAGATTCTTCTCAAGTTTCATACAATCAATGAATTTCAATAGTATTTACAGTGCTACGGGGATTCCCCACTGACAATACGTGCATTACCTGCCTACATACTGCATTATCCACTTTTAATAGTAATGCTTTTCATTTATGCCCGATATAAGGTAACATGCGATACACAAGATAACACCATCTCTGGCAATATGATCGTAACACTATGTTAAAAAATTTAATTGTTTCGTCAGGTGCAGCTATTATACGGACCTTGTGGAATCTAGAACAAATTTCCGTGCGTTTAGGCGCTTTTGGCATACCAACCGGAAGCAAGTATAACAGCTCACAAATAGAACCCACTTAATTTTTAGTCAAATTTCCGTGGTGCTTGGCGACTGGGTTTCACCCAGTTGTAGTCTCTTTTCTTTGTGCGTTTAGGCTTAATTCACTCTGTCTCCTGCAGTAATTCACCGAGGGAAGTGGAAACTATCGTTTTTTTTCTTCTCCTCTTATAATATTATCTGATTCACTTCGTTGCGGGAACCAAGACATTTATTCATGTCCCTGGGACGCGCCGGACTTCAGTGTTCCGGTGTTTTCATGGTTGTATCTACTGTAGATCCTGGCTTACAGGAGTTGCAGCAGTTTTGAGAGTGGCGAGCTTGTCCCTAAAAAGAAAAGGTAACATGCTACTTTTTTTATTTTGTAAAAGTGGGCCGTGTAAAAAGTTTTGTGTACTCCTACTTGCCGTGATGTTATGATTTTCATTAACAATATAGATACATGTACCTACCTATGTTCGATATTATCACCTGCGTTATCGAATATGAACCATTAGCTGTTACATTATTAACAAAAAGGAATTATTCTGATATTATCTCCGGGGTATTAAGGACACTACACATTGACATATATGACACATATATCATACAAGTAATGAGGCAGTCTGTCCTATAGGACAGACTGCCTCATTGGCTGGGCAAGGGGTCTCGCGTTCGAAAAAATCTCAGTAGCCCGGAGCCTGGAAATGTGCCTGGTATATGGCAATAGGCTCACCCCCTGTTACATGGGACCCATAACATAAATAGTGAAAAGTGGTTGTTACATTGTAGGTAAAGTGGCATTCGCGTTGTTTGACAGTTTATACTGTCACGGCGAGGACACCGGTGACTGCAACCTATTGTTCTTTAATTGTGTCTATAATAACGGTACTCAAAGAGTTAAGTGATGTAATGTGCACTTCTGCCTACCTCGTCGGGGACAAAAGGCGTGATGTTATGCCAATAATAATATGTAGGTTTGCTAATTTTTTACCTTGTGTGATTACCTTTCACATTTTAGATTTACAAATTAAAACCGATGTTAGAAACGTATGAACGCAATGTCGTTACGTTAGTTAGGATACCTATCAATTAAACTAATACCTATCTAAATATCTTTGGTACTAAGGTAAGCCATGACGAATAAATGATATACTTTATGAGCTTACAGCATAAACATGATTTAGTAGGAAATAAAATAAAGACGATAACATTGAAAATGTCCTCGGCTGAACTTGACAATGAATTATACCTATTCTTAGCATGAAGTGCGGCAGCTACCCACCTACAAATTGCTTGCACTTTCACTTGTCATTATTTCATGACCCATGACATTCCTACCCATTCTGACTCAGTCTTCCCAATCTGGCGATTGCTTAACATAATGTTCGGATAGAAAATTCATTCATAGATTTCTATAAATATTTGTGGATATTGCATTTCATTGACACAGCTGATTACCAAATATCAACCCATTTTAGAGGATAGCGAATCCACTGCTTAGTCCAGTAGAACAAAGCCGTGTACAAAGGTGATTTTTACCTATTTCCTCTCTTGACATCATGCACGTATTTTGCAATAAGTAAAATCCTAGCAGGGAATTTTAAAACCACAACGTGCGCCTGATTCAGCAACAATGACAGACACGGCCCCCTCGTGCGTGAAGAAAGCAATTGTTTCCAGTGCGCGCGAGTCATTTGAAACAGTAACACCACGCCGTTTGTCACAAGGGATATTCAATCATAAAGCACTATCTAATCAACGATCGTTACTTAAGTAATCAGTTGGCCGCTGACCGCAGAGAGCGCTGGGCGCCCCTACAGCCGCTTCATACGAATTACTACGCGAACAGTGAACGCGCGCACATGGCGAATTACGAAATTGTTGACTTCAACTCTTTGAGTAAGTGTTATTATTTATTGCCAAATGACTTACCTACTTATTTTTACATCGTCTTACTATTTGTTGCTCAAAGCGTTTCGAAAACATGTTTCTAATATTTGCGTCAAATAATTTTGTTATTTTGCATTAGACGGCTAACTTTTAAGACATGATCTCGTTACTTACATTTAAATAATTATACCTGAGACCACAGTAAACATTTCAATAAGTGTTCATAATATTGCATATAATTATTATAAAGCTGCTAACTCGTTACCCTTCCAATCGACACAAGTGTCGTTTAAGTATGCACCAACGATACTTGTTAGATCAATACGGAAACACTTGCCATTTCCTTATTATGATTAGTATAAGTACAATTTAGCACAATGATAACAAACCTTTCGCATTATTGTAACTAACAATATCTATTTAGTTATCTCAATAAAATTATTATATTATCAGTCATGACGAATTAGTTACTTTTGAAATTTTACCATTAGAACTACTTCGCGCATACTTAAGATTTTATGAAACTGCACGGTTCACACAGTGGCTGAACCTGAACGACGAGCTGTGTTGTGTATCATATTTCAGGTGCAACTCCCGCAATATCCACTAAATTGTGCTCGTGTCTTTAAATTAAAATTATTTCTCTCGTGTCTTGTAGAGCATAGACGTAACCATTAAAGAAGGAACAGAATTATTGAAGTAAGTACTTACCTAAATCTTTATCAACGTTAAATTTTAATTAATGTTTATTGGTTTACAGGTGAAACTGTGCAAAATCTATTGAGAACGGCAGCGGAAGTGAGAGAGAAAGCATATTGTCCGTATTCGAACTTCAAAGTCGGATGTGCTTTACTGACAGAAGAAGGAAATAAAGTGTATACAGGATGTAACATAGAGAACTCGACGCTGTCACCGACCATGTGTGCTGAGAGAACAGCTATTGGGAAGTCAGTGTGTGACGGGTATATCAAGTTTAAGATAGTCGCGGTAGTGGCCCACCAAGAGAACTTCACGGCTCCGTGTGGAGTGTGCAGGCAGACACTCAGCGAGTTCCGTGGCTCCGACGGAGACATGGAGGTATACCTCGGCAAGCCCTGCCACGACAAAGTACTCCGCACCAAACTATCCAACATCTTACCTCTGGCATACGTCAGCTACAAGAAAGATAGCATATTATCATAATAATAACTATACAGCTCCACTCAATAACGAAAATGATTTTGTAATAATTACCAAATATTTTATACGAAATTAAACATTCAAAAAGCTTTAACATATTTATTGCGTTTTATATTTACAAAACTTATAGGTACTAATAGTACAGTCCAATATACACAGTGTAACGGCAACGCGTTTAACGTGAGGCATTCATTTATACTTAGTAGGTTATTTACAACAAGGGAACCAACAACAAACATTCGTTTTATATTAATAAAAAAATGTAATCAATGTTTAATAAAATATGTAAAATCATTATTGCAGAACATTTTATCAGCGGCGCAAACTATAACATCGGGCCCTAGTAAAATATATTAGAAAACGTAATCAGGAAAATGTAGTGTATATTTACTCACAAACAAATTGCCAATTAATTTTAATTAGATTACAATACTTATTATACACTTTTGATAAGATGAAAACTGATAGAGAAAATTAGATAAGGAAGACACATTGTGTCGATCTCAAATAACTTGGGTCTTGGGATATGGGCAGGAAGAAGTTTATATACATATAACAGTTAGTGCCTGTGAGTCGATATTTTTATACACTACCTTTGATTAATGCATGGTTGAAATAAAGCTAGTGTTGTAGTGTAATGCATACGTGTTTACGTTGACAAATGTACATCATTACTGTTAATGTCCTTCGGCACCTATATTATGATGCCGATGCGGTGTTGATGCATATAAAATTATGTACGACTCGAGTTCGAGTATGTTCCTCATTCGATCTCAAGATGTTTGTCTTTTCCATGAAAATTCGGTGGTAAAATTACAAAAATACTGTCGAGTAAACGCAATAATTCATCTAATTGTACAGGATTATATTCGTAACACTATCAAACGAGATAAGTGCCAAAATATGTGTTTTCAGTCCAGCCAAAAACACTTCGTAGAACAATAACTCATATTGAACAAAAAAAGCGTAACAAACTTACAAACTAAATCTTTATAAATACTAATATCATAACATAAATAAAATAATTAGTCTTATTTAGTGACTACATTTCCATATTATAAACACGGTTATAATTTTTAATAAAAGTGCAAACAGAGATAACACGTGTAGTGTAGTATAACTGCGTCGACACCTGATATAACAGATATTTACATGAAATATAAAGACCTTATATATATGACGGGCACTTACAGTTACAGCGCATTGGAAACAAACTATTGGTTACCTGTACTACCAGTAGGGGCACCAGCCGATGTAACACTGGCACAGGTTCTCATTATTCGTCGCCTGCTTGATGAGCAGGTCCACTTGCTTGGGCACGCTGACGACCGCCTCGACGTGCGGGAAGTCTCTTCCAGTCAACTTGTCTCTTATTCTGTTGAGGATAGAGAGC